ACCTCAGCCTTAAATGATTTCTCCTTATTTTGAAGCTGTGCCTACTGATTCTAAATGTCCCACCCAAGAGAACCATCATTTCAGCATTACACAGTCTAGCTCCTTAAGAACTTTATAACGTTCAATAACATCACCTCTCATTCTTCCAAACTCCAGATAATACAGGCACAGTGTCCTCAGTCTCTTCCTCATGGCACAAACTAGCCATCCCAGGAATTAGTCTGGTGATCCTCAATTACATTGACTCTATGGAAACAGTCAGTCATTGAGCGTCCCTAAACCTGTCTTGCCTGGCTGATCTCAGTATATCCTGCTGAAGTTCCACATCCTTCCACACCTTTGGGCAGTATAGATTTGTCAATTTCACATTTAATTTTTTAAAAAAATCTAATTCATTAGTATTTATCAAGGAAAAAGCTGTTTGGTGAAACAAGTAGCTAGTAGTACACTACCTGACAGGATATAATTTCAATAGTAGAAATTTAAGAAACTGGAATAAATACTTCAAGTAGAAAATATGCAGGGGTAAGCAGAAAGAAAGGCACTGCAATTGGACTAACTGAATTTATCTAAAAAGAAACCTATGCAGACTCAAAGGGCCAAATGACTTTCTTCTGTACTGTACTATTCTAGCATTAACTGAACTAAATATTCCACTTGCTTCAAAAATGCTGGATACATTTTCTAACTTGTTTTGGTATGAATTATTCATACATCTCGTCAATATGAATGACAAATATAATCATTTAGTAAAGAACTTTCAAAATGCTATTATCATCTAACACTAAGTCACCTATATCAAACCCAAGTCACTCACTATCCAGTGTGGGAAATATATCACTGTTCCTTCAGTGTTGCTGGATCAAAATCCTGGAACTTCCTCCTTAAAGGCACTGTGTGTCTATCAACATCAAATGGACTACAGCAGTTCAAGAAGACAGCTCACCTCTACCTTTTCAAGGGCAAATAGGGATGGACAACAAATGCTGGACCAGCTAGCAATGCCTACATCCCCATGAGTGAGTAATGAAACCTTGTAAGGACATGGTTTACTGGGTGGCAGTGATCTCCAGGCCCCTTTACTGAGGAAATTCAGACAACCTACAGCAGGTACCACAAAGATCTGAAGAAATACCCCTGATGCATGGCAATGTCTGACAAGTTGACTCCGACTCACTTTGATCCAATGTTCCTCTTGCTGCAGACATTTACTGCATGTTGTTACTCTGGATCATACAGGTGTCCACCCACTCCCACATTCTCAGGCTGCATTGTCTGTTCTGCCATCTCAGTTGTGTTGGATTTAAGTAATTAAGCTTCAAGCTTAGAAGTACCCCTTGACAACAGTTTGTAATTATTTTAAAGTTTAACAAGTTAAGTTATACATTTAATACTGGTGTCTCCTCAGTATTGTTTTAAAATTACTGACCCTATTTAGTGATTAAATCTCAAAACTTACAAGCACTGAGTTGCTAACCTAATTAATACCTTTGAACATTCGCCAGCTACAGGAGGTTGAAGAAAAATGTATAAAAATCACTATCTCTTTCCTCACCTGCACCAAATCCTAGGTTCAGTTTCAATCCTTGTTGCATTGAAGACCTTGTCATCTCCAGTTGGTGCTTCCACTTTCCTACCTCTTGTTTTTTATGCTTCAGTCTTAAAATAGCACAAGAAGCACAAATGGGGAACAGTCACTGGAATCAAAGTGTTAACTCTGTTTTCACTCCACAGATGTGGCCAGATCCACTGAGTTTCTCTAGCAACTTGTTTTAGCATGGGGAATTCTTGATTAGCACGGTGACTCGATGGTTAGTACTGCTGCCTGACAGAACCAGGTACCCAGGTTTGCAGCCTTGGGCGACTGTGTGGAGTTTACATGTTCTCCCTGTGACTGTGCAGATTTCCACCAGGTGCTCCAGTTTCCGCCCACAGTCCAAAAATGTAAAGATTAGGTGGATTTGGCCTTGCTAAATTGCCCTGCAGTGTCTAGCAATGTGCATGCTAGTTGTGTAAGCCATGGCAAATGCAGGGTTACAGGGATTGAGTAGGGATTCAGGCGAGTGTGCTCTGTGGACAGTTGGTGCAGACTTGATGGGTTGAATGGCCTCTTTCCACACGGTAAGGATTCTATGGTTCTACATCATGATCGTAGTGAGTAACTAGCTGATTGTAATAGACAATTAAAAACACAGGATGTTCAGGAATTTTTGCACAGAAGGGCTGTAGGTAAATGTAACAATGGAACCTATTAGAATTTATTACACTGGTATTTCCAAAGTGTCAGAATCGCAAAGATCTACAGCACATAAAAAAGGCCCTTCAGCCCATTGTGTCCATGGCAGTTAAAAACAACCACCTATTCACGCTTTCCAGCACTTAGCCCATAACCTTGTATGCCTTGGCATCTCAAGTGGACATTTAAATGCTTCTTAAATATTATGAAGGTTTCTGCCTCTACCAGCCTAACAGGCAGTGAGTTCCAGATTCTCACCACCAATTGGGTGAATGCTTTTCCTCTCAGGAAACAGGAGCACTATGTTTTAATGTACTGCAATTTCAGTTTAAGATTACTTCATTAACTCAATTAACAACTTTCCATGAAATCTTGATAGAAAGCAGCACTGGCATTGAAAAATAAGAATGTGCCACATAAGACCAGGTTAAACAAAAATAAATCAACAGCAGGTCACAATAGCTTTCAACTGGTTTAGGTTTTGAAAACGGTCATACTTAATCAGATTAATCCAGAAAAGTATGTTGAGTGAAAAGCTGTTTTATTAGACCTAATTTGTAATGGCCTCTTACTGCTGTTAACTGTAAACTGATGGTCATTTATAGAATCATAGAATGGTGACAACACAGGTCATTCAGTCCACTTCCATGTCCACTCTCAAGGGCAAGTTAGCATGTGCTACTCCCCCAACTTTGCCCTGTAACGCTGCAAATTTATTTTTCTTTTCAGATGAAGACCACAAGTCCTTTTGAATGCTACAAGTGAATTGGGAATCAAACACACTGACAGTACATATTCCAGATCCTATCTACTTGCTGCACAATTTTATTTTAGCTCCTCGTTTGTTTTGCCAATTAATTTCATCCTCAGGCTTTGATACTTTCAGTTTCTTCCCATTGCCCCTATCTGGACCACTCACCAGGTTATGGCAGAGATTGCATGCCTGTTGGCCACAAGTTTGACTCCCATCCATCAAGGAAATGTCACGTTTGAACAAATTGATTCCGATAACGGTCAACATTTCAAAGCTCAACTGCGTCTTTGGATTTCAGAGCAGATATAATCACAGCCAGAAGTATCACCATGCTACACTTTTAGAGAAGATTTTGAAGATTTTCAGTTCCTGTCAAACCTTCTCCAAAAATAATGCTTTCTGCTGTGCCTCTAATTAACACCAATCCCAACCAGCATGATGCAGAATTTCAAATCATTATTGCTTCGAACGTTGGTGAGAATAATGGTTGAAGTTTCCTGGAAGTACGTGAAAGCTACTGATTGAGTGACACAGCACAGAAAGATGCTTTGGACCAAATTATCTGCACCAACCAGATATCCTAAACTGATCTAGTCCCATTTGCCAGCAATTGGCCCATATTCCTCTAACCCCTTCCTATTCATGTACCCAACCAGATGTGTTTGAAATGTAGTAAATATATCCTTCTCCTCTGGCAGCTCATTTCATACATAAAGTCAAACATTTTTGTATGTAACCCAAATACCAGTTCATCATTTTAAAAGAAGTGTAAAGAGGGGAATAATTATTTTTCAGATGTAATTTTCTGTTCTGTTCAGTGTAGTCACGTCCTAGCACAGATTGTACTTGGAATTTCTATTTCCAACATTCTTTAAAAAACTGTTGGCCAATGTATTCTTTTGAAAAGGTGGTACTGATCACACACATTACAAGGCTTCTGGTTACTAAGTGTATTGATTCCTTTACAGGATACAGTTCCAGAAGCATTATGTACCGTAAGTAGTCATCCTCTGTCTGCAGACCCAGAGGAGCCAAAGCAGACACTATCATTATCCCCAACCTGTGTGAACCACGTTTATTGTTTGTGGGGGGAGGTGCCAGTGTTGGACTGGGGTGGACAAGGTCAGCAATCACATGACATCAAGTTATAGCCCAACAGGTTTATTTGAAAACACAAGCTTTGGGAGCCGTGCTCCTTCTTCGGGTGTTAGTGAGGTGGTATCAGACACAGAATTTATAAGTAAAAGATCAAAGGGTCACACCACTGATGAGGATGTATTAAACAAACCTAAGATGCTGTCAAATCTTTAATCAGTTTGATTGATTAATACGTATATGTAAATTCCAAAATTCCTTTCAGAGAACAAAAAAAGTTTTATCAGTGTAAAGAAGAAGTGACATTTTAGGTCAGATAACGCATGTTAGGCGTGAGGCCTTGTTTAGAATCTGGTTGTGCTTTAGTTTGAAATCAGACTGATTTTATTTCTAAAGTAGGAATTTATAAAACACCACATGGACTGTCTATAAATTATGTGCTTTTTGAACAAAGTATTGTTTGGCTTTCTGCAACCTCAATTACACTTGTAGTTGCCCAAACAGATTAAGATGGTAGCTACAGAATTTGTGGATAATTCTTTAAAACAAATCAGTCCTACTACTTTCCCCTCCATTTATTTTTCTCCAAGGAAAGTGTTTTAAAAAAATCTAAAATATCATTCTCTTTATTTACAGCCTGCTAATTAATACTTACTTGTTAGCCTAAAAATAAGAAAAGTCCATGGTTCTTGTGGTGCAGTGGTAATGCCCCATCTCTGAGCCAGGAGGCTTGGGTTAAAATGCCACCTGTTCTGGAGGTGTGCAACATTATCTTTGAATAAGCTGATTTAAATGGACAAAGGTGGACCATGCTTTTACAATGTGCACATTTATGACACATACAGGACAATATTGAAAATGTCAATGCAACAAGATTTTGACAAAGTAAGTTAATGACTACATCAAAACTCAATATTTTACATGAATATTTATTTATATTGAAATACAATTTAGAATCGGAGCTTCTGGAAGAACCATTTATTCTTTCCTGTCTTGTACCTGCAGAAAAACAAAGTTGCACACGGTTAACTTCTCAAAGGAGAAGGACAACTTGGTGTTTTTGTTCTAAAAAGGATAATCCATAAATAATTAGAAGTAGTCATGGAACAGCCAGAGACATCTTAAATAGACCTTAGGTAAACTTCCCTATTTGGTGCAAACGATAACAAAAGTTGGTAGATGTAACACATAAATTAGAAGGACAGCAATAGCCAGAAGTGATTTTGAGGGTGAACTACAAAAAAAAACTCAAACATGGCAATCTAAACACAGGAAACCTGCAGAGGATAATTTACTGCAGTCTACATGCTTAGGAAAGTCTTTCACATAGCTGAGGTTAAAGTATCACTTATGATACATATTTAACATAATTATAATCTCTTAAGATGTCACTTGTCTGTTGGTCAACAACCTTACTTTTAAACAGATCTTTTATTTTATAGAACAGTCAATAAGTATATTCATAGCCATCTTGATGGGCTTATACAACTCTTTCATTAAGAAGAGTTAGCTTTAACGATTGTTTTGATCATAACAGTTATCTTCAAAGCAGGGTATATGCAAGTAAAATGGACAAGGCCCAAGCACAAAGTTCCATCAGTTGTCTTTTGGAAAAGAAAATGTTGTTTCTAAAATGTTTCCTGTCTTATTTGACAGCCAAGTATTAAACATTGGCCCGGATCCATATTTGATTCATACCTTTCTTCAAATTTTACTTTGGCTTCCCGCCTGGCTTTACGCTTCAAAGCAGGATCCCTGAAAACATCCTTATTCACAATGGTCTTATCCAGGGGAATGTCGACAGAATATCTGGAAAGAAAGAAAACAACTGAAGGCTAACGAAGGAAAAAGGACTACATTTATGACAATGCCACCTCTAGGTGAATCTTTGCAGTCTGCAAGGCAAGGGTTGCGGCCATCAAAACCTGGTGCACGTGACTGCGTCAGTTGCACCAGTACTCATTCCAAGCAGGAAACAAGTAACCAGAGAGCAATAATTTTTTACATTAAGCTCTGGGAAAGCTCAGAAGTGGTTGTAATCAGTTGCTAAATTTTAAAAAGTCTGGTCTCCGTACAAATGCAGTGCAATGTCATTTGACAATTAATCAGCCTTTATTCATTGAAAAGTAAGAACTCTCCCACCAAAAGAAGTTTACAGATGGATTATAACTGCTTGACTTTTCCCAGATCTTCTAACCAGTTTCACATTAATGCTGGCATGACATCATGGTTACACAACTGCACACATGCAGATGGATCATGGCAGCCACTTTTGAGACGGGAACCATTTTGGTTCACTAATGCCCTTTAGAGAAGCAAAAGTTCCAGCAATAAACGAGAGTGGCATCAACATCCCATGACCAAAACTCCAGAGAAGCTATGGCAGTGGCAGGGATGTTAAAAATGGCTCCAGTGCTCTTGGGATAGGGTAAGGAAAAGTTGCCACAGTCTTACCAGTCTGTAGGGCTGCTCTTTCATTAGAAAGAGATGACTGATTGTGTCTAAACCCGAGAGTCACCGGGCCTCAGGCGAGTGGAGAACTGAAAAAACAGGGTCCCTCCTGGTAACATCAGGCACTGCAGGAATTAAACCCATGCTGTTGGCATCACAAGCAAGCCATTGGTTTTGAATAACCAGCATCATAATCCCAACAGCAAATGAAAATAACAGGCCAATACTGCTTCCTCAGTGCAACTGGATTGAATAATAAATGTTACCTCATTGGTACTGCTCACAATACACAGTAGAAAAAAAAGTGCAAAAATTTCCCTGGACAGTAAATTCAGTTCAGTTAGGTTATAGAGACAAAAGCAATTTGATTTTGAGTGAAAAAAATGGAAAACCATAAGCCAAAAATAACCAACAGCCGAGCACACCACATTATAGGTAGGACATTGTTCTAGAGGCTAGAGAATGGCTTCCCAAAAGTGATGCAACTATCCAACGAAGCAAAGCTGCCAAACAGCTGCACCCTCTTCCCCCCCACCCCCACAACTGTACCAGGTCTCCTCACCTCATCCCTATTCTCACGTGCTTTCTTTCCCTAACCCTCCTTGCTCACTGAGGTATCATAATTTTCAAGACTTGGAGATTGCCCTAGAACTTCCAGAAAATTTCCCCAACACCCAAGCCATGACCTCCTAGACCACTACCTGTGGCTCCAAATCAATCAAGATCAGAGATTCTGACCAGCAAGCTTCTGTTCTACCAGATTAAATGGAGCAATTCTCATCCCCAGACACTGTGCCAACAATCCTAGAGAAATTAGTAAAGGCTATTGAAATAACATGTTTAGAGAATGCCAATTTATGCCAAACATCTGGTTCAGAATCAAGTTAGGTCCCAGTCATCAAATGCCTTGCCAGCTTCAATGTCTAGAACCCACAAGACACCTGAAGTTAAATTCTTATTCAGAACATCTTCAACTTTGAAGGTTACATTTGCAGAAAAACAGATGTTTATTACATTTACTACATGGCCTAAGTGCTTGAAGCAAAAAGGATTTTATAACTGCATCAGTAAAGTAAAATTGGTCAGCGACATTTTGGATGATTTGTTAGGCCAAATATTTGATCAAACCCATTTTTCAGCTCTTTATTAAAATCGTGAAAAACCGTCACAACATTCTACGCCATCAAGCCACATCTAATTAGGTATTCAAAACTCAATTCATTAAAGTGGATGGATTCTTTCTACATAAACTGCATTCTCCATTAAAAACATGTTGTCTACCCATTGAAGCAAACAAAAAAAGTTACTGGAGAGACTCAGCAAGCCTGGCATTTGCATTTAAGCTCTCGACATCACATTGCATATTAAAATTGCTTAACTCAATTTTGAAGATCTAGAACCCGTGTCTCTCCTCCATAGAATCATGTTCTCTGTATAACAACGCCTGGGGCTACATGCAACATTTTGGGGAGTTGGAATTTCTCAGCTCAAATCCTGCAACCTGACCATAAGCCATGGGAGCAGAATTAGGCCATTCGGCCCATTGAGTCTGTTCTGCCAATGAATCATTGTTGACATGTTTTTCAACTTCATTCTCCTGCCTTCTCCCCATAACCTCTTAACACGTTACTAATTAAGAACCTACCTCTCTCTGCCTTAAAGACACTAAATAACTTAACCACCACAAGTTTCTAAGACAATGAGTCCATAGATTCACCACACACTGGCTGAAGAAATTCCTCATCTCAGTTCTAACGGGTTGCTCTTTCACTCTGAGGCTGTGCCCTTGGACCCTAGTCTCTCCTACTAGCAGAAACATCTTCAAGTCCACTCTATCCAGGCCTCTCAATACTCTAAGTTGGAATGAGACTCACCCTCTTGTCCTTCTAAACACCACTCAGCACAGACCCAGAGTCCTCAACCGCTACTTCTATGACAAGCCCTTCATTCTTGTGAACTTCCTCTGGATCCCATCCAAGGCCAGCACATCCTTCCTTAGGATGGGGCCCAAACTGCTCAACATTCCAAATGCGGTCTGACAAGAGGCTAATACAGCCTCAAGCAGCATACCCTTGCTTTTGTATTCTAGCCCCTCAAAATGAAGCACTCAAGCTCTCAACATAACACTGCTAAATGGTAAATAAATTTGTATAAAGGTGCCATATAAAATTCATCACATAAGTAGGTCTCATACAAGTGGATTTTCCACATTGAGATTGGGAAGGAACACAAATAAAGATCTAGAAAACTCAGGACATTACATTAAGGAGCTTTTAAGATTAAAATGCAACCCTGGAGCCTCACAGGTTGCCACCCAAAATTTAAAGTCACCTACTTCTGAAATTCTAGCACTAAAGACAGTTTTAAACATATTACTGCAGCAGTAATTGAACTCAATTTCCACAGTGATGTATGTTCTAATTCTTACCTGGTTGGCATCAGGTGGTTGTAGTTGTATACTTTCACAAAGGATTTGATCTTGGACCTCTTGGCCACCTTCTTCTTGCCCATTTTGGCAGTGACCTTACGCGGGTAACGATCTATACCAGCAACAAGAGCATGACTATAAGGTCTGTCAGAGGTCCCATCATCGATGTTCTACAAGGTAAAGCGTAATATTTAGATTTGTGTTAGTTCAAAGTCCATCAGCACAAATCTGCTTCCTGATTCATTAGGTCAAGTCCAACCTTTGATTGTGGTCCACCTCCTTGGCATTGATCGTTGCCAATATCATCCTCACCTGTCCCAATGAGGCCAGTTCAGCTTCATTCAGTTCTCCTCCGCCACTCAATTACAACTCTGGTGCCTAAAGCTCACCCTCATCCCAATTGCTCAACTTCATGGCCCACCACTTACAAATCTACTTACAGGCAAAGCAGATATATGGCAGACAAAACAGACACCCAAGCTCAACATTTCAAAGTCCTTGATTCCACAAACGTTGCTGTTCAACTCCAAATTTCTCCAATTTTAACTGTGACAATCAGAGCCTCCCTCTTTCCTTCCCATTAAAAGACACCAGTTAGTAGCCAATACATGATAGATCTGGAGATAATTTGCTACAAAAAGTTGCCAGATGAAGTACACGTCCTTAAAAAATCTCTCAATACATTGCAACCAGCTATAACTCAAAAGTACATTAATCCTGCAGTTGAGTAAGCACGGACGCATTGCAGTCTCATTATTAAAAGCTCTATTTATGGTATTTCATTAACAATCACCATCACGAATACCGTACCTTTACGATGACACCTTTGCGCCCTGCATAGCGTCCAGCTAGCACAAGAACCACCTTCCCAGGTTTCATAAACTTCCCCATTTCTGTAAAGACAAGAGTGTTGCGCATAAATGGGCAGCACAACAAAATAACCACTCTTCCAAGAGGCACAGAAAGTGCTCCCAGCCAGGTGATCAACGCTCACCCCGCAAATAAAAGATTTAGCCAGTAATTCATCCTGCGGCTTTGCTGCTTCTTACTTCGCCTATGCTGCAAATTTTAGGCAATTCTTTTGCCCGGAATCATTTCCGATAAGTCCTAAGGGGGCTCGCATGAGTTCCATTTACTTCCTTCCAATGATCTGATTGCAATGCTGGATTCTATCAAAGCCCCAGTGGAGGATGAGCCCCGATTGCAAAAGACACACATTTCTCCGCACAGGGAGAGGTTTAAATGGAAATGCAGGCGGCTGAGGGTATCCCTGCTGTGAAAAGCGTGGGTTTTACTACACAGGGAGAAAGGGGCAAAGCGGGAGACTGAGAGAAGGCCTAAGCAACCACCACTCAATCAACCTCCCTCCTCCTCCACCGGCGGCCTAACCGGGGGACCGAGACCACAAATAGCGCGCCCGCTGCCCAAAGGAGGACCGCTGGATTGACGAGGGGCCGGGATGGGGATGGCGCGGTGCGCCCCGATGGCGGATGGCCAAGGATTGTAATCGCATCATTCACCGGCTCCGCCGCTCGCTGCTCAATGGCCGCCACCCGCCGGAAAGGAAGTGCCCGCCGCTCACTCTGACCTTTGACCGCACTCCGCTCCGCACACTCAACGCCACTTCCGCTCTCTAGTAACTGCCTAGAAGCGGCAGGGGCATGCGGGTTCGAGTCCTGCCTCTGCGGCAGCCAAATCATGTAATCAAAACTTTCTTCTGAAGATGGATCACTGTATTCGATTTCTAACTAACTCTGTTTTCTCTCCACTAACCTGCTGAGGGTCTCCAGCAATTTCTGTTTCGTTTGTGTCAGATTTCCAGCATCCACAAGATTCCAACGCGGGGTCAGATCCTCGAGGCCAATGTCTTGAAATGGACTAAGACGGACGTAGTCTTAAGTTCTCTCATTAAAATTTCTTACTTTCAAAATTTATACTATAAAAGAACTTTTTTATTTCTTTGATTTATTATAATGATTTAGTACTTTTGAAGGTCTGTAATGCTGAACTACAGCAAAGTGGTCATATTGAACTTGTACAATGAAGTCATTTGGTCCATCAAGTCTGCAAGGACTATCGCTTTAGGCATTTTGTCTTTGTGCCATTCTCCGACCTTTTCTCTGTACAAAATTACTGTAAAGAGAATTGTAAGCTGTGCTCCTCGTTGTTGGAATCAGTGCCTGTTATTTCTTGGTGTTGCCATTGTAACATATATCAAAATCCTTGGGATTAGCTTGGTACAGTATGAACAAATTAACAAAACCAATGATTTAAAGATAGAAAGACTGGTAGGCCAGGCAATAAATTTAGTAATTTTCTCTATGGAGAACCAACAGCAAAAAAACCCCAAAATCTCGACTTTATGTAGTGTTTTTAACATCGTACAGCATTTCAAGATACTTTACAGAACATTGTCAAATTACATCTTTTCACTAAACAGCAAAATGAGATACAACAAAAAGCACCTTTAATGCAGAAAAACATCCCAAGACATTCCACACGATTGCCTGATTGATTGATTAATAAAAATCAATCACAATTCAACACTGAAGAACAGGAGATTTCAAAACAGATAATCAAAAGCTGTGGAAGCAAGGTATTAAAAGATTCTCTTAAAGGGATGAAAGAGAGAGGTAGAGAAGCAACACTTTAAAGAGAGAATTCCAAAACCTAGAATGCATTGCTAGAAACTCTGAAATATGGAGACTTTACCCTTCACAGATCTGCAAAAACTTCTCCAAAGAAATTATTTGTCTTGTTTCCCTCACTCATTTTCTCACCTACTGTCCTGTTTGGAAGGCATCAAGGCTGATTTTTGTTAGTTTTCAGGCAGGACTGGAGCAATAGCATGACAAGAACTACAGAGCAAAGTTGGCTGGGTTGCATAATGTCTTAGGGTCAGCACACTTAAGAATCACTCTCATGATATCATCACTGTACCATAGTATGTAATCTGAAGATACAAAGTTCACCTGCTTCACCTTACGTCAGATCACTTAAAGCATGACACTCTACTGGATGCATGCTGCTCTGTTGTAATCTAATAGCTAACATTGGCCCTTACACTTGTGCCTCAGAATGTAATGTCTGTTTTATTACAAGAATCAATTATATGTCAGTTTGGGAGATAATATAAGCATGGTCTTACCAAGTAAAATACCCTGGAGGCAAACTTACACCACATTGTGCCCATTGATGTCAGGGTCATTTTGGTGGATCCTTGAAATAAGCAGCTGAAGAATTAATTGTAAATTAACAGTATATAAATGAACCCTATGTAGTCTAATGACATAATTCCAAGGCAGTGACTTCAAGGCAATTTTCAGTTACGAACTCCCCTCCTCAGGGAAACTGATAAAGGCTTCTTGTTGGGCACTAGTCAAAAGTGCACTCCATCCCCTTGATGTTCATTAAAAATGAAAATCTGAAGAAGGGAGATAGTAAGAACTGTCAATGGTGCAGTCAGAGATAACATTGCAGAGCTGGAGGAGCACAGAAGGACACTTGACTCGAAACATTAACTTTGATTTCTCTCCACAGATGCTGCCGGACCTGCTGAGCTTTTCCAGCAATTTGTGTTTTTGTTTCAGTGACACTTTCGTTGTGTTACTGCCCTTTCACATGAGCTGCAACATAGTCATACCAATGATCAGCAGATGGCAGCATTCACTTGTTTATAAATGACATTCTTGAACTGGGTGACTACATAGGAGTGCTGTTGCTACAGAAGAACATTATGAACAAAACAAGCCCAGTCTAATGCTTTTGAGAGAACATTTTAACTATAACCTCCATTTGCCCCCACAAAATTTAAATCAAAGTAGCCATTAATGATACACCACTTCCAGTGAGTGAAGTCACAAAAAACAAAAAATGCTTATCGTTTACATCTTATACCTGGCACATTCATTTAATGTGATGAAAGGTCATGATAATTTTTTGAGACTTTTGATCTAAAACTAGCAGCATTCAGGTTTTGATTATTTGCATTAAAGGGCTTAACAAAATCAAAGTCAGAGAGTCCCCTCTGGAATCAAATCCAGATTTGTTTGAAGTAGGCACATACAAACCCGAGGAGTGTTTGATGGAAGATTCTTTGTTTATACTGCAGAGATTATGACAGGAAGTTAACATTGAAACACAAAATAAAACAGAACTGTAGATCAGGGAAATCTGAATTAAGAACAGAAATTGCTGGAGAAAAATCAGCAGATCTGGTAGCATCCATGGCGAGAAAGCAGAGAGTTAAAAGATGTAGCAGCTCTTCTTCAGAATAAGATTATGTGGGGAAGGAGCTTTTGTGGTGCAGTGGCAGTATTCCTATCAGAGACAGGAAGTCCAGATTCAAGTCTCATTTACTCCAGAGACATGTAATAACATCTCTGAACGGGTCAATTGGAAAACACCTGCTTTGAAAAACTCCTGCAGAAATGTCCCGGAGCCAGGATGACTGACTTCTGACAAACACAACCCCTCCTCCTTTGTGCAAAGTCAACTCCAACCAGTGATAGGTTTTACCCACAATTCCTAGCTTTGCTAGGGCTCCTTCACACCACATTGAGTCTAGAAATCAACTGTAATCACTCTCACCTCACACCTAAAATTCAGCTCTTTTACCAATATTTGAATCAAGGCAGTAATGAAGTCAGGAGCTGAGTGGCCATGGTAGAACTCAGCCTGAGCATCAGCAAAGAGGTTATTGCTGAGCAAGTGCAGCTTGATAACACTTTGAGGAAGAGATTGTATGGATGGAAATCGGCCAACTGGATTTATCCACTACATGTGGAGGACATAGCTTGGCAATTTTCTACAGTGTTGGAGAGATGCAACTTTTGTAACTGCACTGGAACAGTTTGGCAAAAGGACATGGCAAATTACAGGAGACACATTTTCACTCCTATTGCCAGAAATGGTGCCATTCAAATAGTTATTGCACAAAACCTCAAACCCATTTAGGGATGGGCAATAAGCAGCTGGCTTGTCCACAATGGTCACATCCTGTGAATGATTTTTTTGATAAATTAAAACACATTTCACATGCCAGTCACTCTAACCATGATGGTGGAAAAGTTATTAGAAGGAATTATGTTAAGACAGAATAAGAGGGAGATATTAGGCAAGAAAATAGCAGTGGGAAAGGATGCAAATAGGCTGATTGATTAGGTAAGATGATACAGGTTACAACATGATGGTGTAAAGTAATCCGTTTTGTTAATGAACACCAAGTGGACTATATGCTGATCTGTCCCAGTGTTGCAAAGGATGGGTTTGGCTACGTTGCCAGGGAACTTTCAAATGCAACTTGCTTTATCTATTCCTTGAGAAGAGGCTATGCAGAAGAACACATTTGACCACAAGTCCATCAGACAGTGGTTGCAGCTCATAGCGTTGAGGTTCTTTATATTAAAAAAATGCTGGATCCTGTTAGATAGCTCCCTGAACAAGATAGTCAAATCGTTTGGCAGAATGCCTCATTGCCAGGCAAACAACCAGCAAGACATAGCGTGCCTGAGGGGGAAGAACAGAATACATGGTCTCTCTAAAAGGTACTGAGATTCTATCACCCAGCTTCTCCTGTAATGTGCCATGGCAAATCAAACCTGGAATGAAATCCAATAATTTTTTTAAAAAGTTCACTCCAAGTAAGCTTTGTGATGTAGGATAACATGCTCTCTGGGCATTTCCCAGAGATTCAATTCAATTCAATTATTACTGGATAACCATGAACTTAGTGAACTCTTCGATTTGCCTGAAACTTGCTGCTTTCCTACTGAGTAGTAATGGAATTAGCCAGTCGGCAATACTAAATAGTTTGAAGCAACCACCATTAAGACTGTGCAAAAATAAAAGTCACTAGGGCCTTTTGCAATATTAGTTTGGGTTGGAGCCCATTTTAATCTCCTTGGATAGCATGCAAAGAATGTTGGAAATTAAATGCAAATTAAACCAAGTACAAACTGTAATAGCAAGTGTAGTGAGGCAGCTCATGTACTCTGGACAGAAACTGATCTTGTACTTTGTGTCAAGATAACTGTCTATATATAAAAGGTATATATTCTTTTTGGGGGAATAGAAATTAACAAAGATACAGTAAGCAATTAGTAAAAGTCAACATGTGCCTTCTTGCTTTATGATGGTAAAGCCACCTTATTATATAGTTTCGCAGGGAACTGGTGAGACCAAACTGAAGTACTGCGCACGGATTTGGTCTTCTTACCTAGAGAAGACAGCAAACTTCAATAGACTGGTTTCTGTAAATGAAGGGTTTGTTCTAAACAGTGTTTGAGTAAATTCAGTGAATATTACCCGCCATTCAGAATGAGAGATAGAATTGAAAAATAAAGAGGGGGCTTAAAAGGCAAATACTGAGAAAATGTTGTTCCCTGCATAGGGGTCAGTGTTTCAATACATGGTCAGCCATTTAGGAGATTGAGAAATTTCTTCATGCAAAAAAGTTGTGAATCTGGAATCCTGTAAGCCAGAGAAAGTTGTTGACATAAAGCAATGCACTTTTAGGTAAAAAGGTAATTAAGGCATGTGGGGACACTATGGAGCTGGATGGTCATCTCTAATCCTATTGAATGGCCTACTCCTGCTCCAAGCTCTTAGTATTTTATCGATTCTGTGTACACTTTGGTACTTTGACAGAATTTTAAATACAGCAATAAGTCATTCCACATAATTATGCTACAGGATGGTCACAAACTCCAAACCATATTCTTAAATATCAATATACAGCTTTCACCACTCCCGAAGCTCATAAAATGAGAATGAGAAGAGGTTTCAGTACAGATTTATAGGTTAAAGAAGTTCAGTTTATTGGTGAGTGTACAGTATAGTGGCCATTTTGCATTTCAACCTTTTTAAATATAGTAATGCATGCTCCTTAAAAATAAGTCATTGCCTTAAAAATCAAGTTGGGTGAATTTTGTATCTAGAAGTAAAATTTAAAATTAGAATGTTGATATCTTAGCATATTTGTGGAACCTTGCATGTCAGCTTCATCTGTAATTTAGCCCTAACTAAAACTGTATTAATTTAAAGTCATTAAGGTCAACTTCTGGATATAAATTATTAATAAACATCCAAATTGGCACTTTAATTTTGGAAATGCAACAAATATCACTTGATAGTATCATGATGTACAGTTTAAAGCTTTAGAAATACCATACAACTTACAAAATAATAACTGGCATTTAGCCCTGAAATTCATTTAAAACATTTAGGAACTTGGGGGAAAATTAAAACTGAATGTCATACCTATCAGATGATGTACAGTCCCTCCATCTGTTCCATTTATCCAAGTGTTAAAACATTGCACAACTGAAGCTAATGTTAGCTTCTCCTCGAATTAAAAAAGAATGTGTTTTTAGTAAAGTGTAACAAGATATTCATATTCCTTTATGGGTTGTGGAGGAGAACATTTTGGGGCAATAGTCAAGTGAGAAAGCATAGCAAGGGTAAACTTTGCTGACTCACCTCGTGGGCTGCAGCCTGACATGTGATGAAGTGTTAGACTAGACAGCTGAAAGTTGAGGTTGGAAAGCAGATCAGATATTCCTTTACTCAAGGAGTCTTGTATTTACCACACAGTCAGGTCAGAGAATTTCAGAAGACATTTGTTTCCACTGTGAGGTCAGAGCCTACCAGTGTTGACTCCATGAGAATAGAGTCATCGTGTAGCATAAGAATTTATAACCCAGAAAACAATGTTCAACCACAAATTCTTCTGGAAGGGTAGTAACTGTAGTGGGTAAATTCAGCAAAATTAAAGGCCTCCTAAATATAACCAGATGAATAACTAGTTAATCCATTTTTAATGATATTGGTTGGAGAGAAATTTGTTTGAGCATCATGGATCTTTTAGCACTCAATTAAAAAGGCTATTGAAGGCTCATTATTGCATCTCAACCAAGAGACAGCATTCTCGTAACACATTACCGAAGTGTATCAATAGATTACAGATTAATTCATAAATTGAGGAAATTCTAACAACTTAATCAAAATGAGACAGGTGTTCAAACATTAGGAGATCACCTGAAGCCCTCAAAATAGTTAGAGTTTGAGAACAGACTGAAAAACCGCAGATGGGAGTTCAATCTGGATAAAATGAGGGGTATTGCATTTTGGTACAACAAACAAGGGTAGGGCTTATACAATTATGGGAGAGCTTCGGGTAGTGTTGTAGAACAGAGAGACCTAGGTGTTCAGGTAGAAAATTCTTTGAAGTTTGCGTCACATGTAGACAGGGTGGTTAAAAAGGCATTTAGCATGCTTGCCTTCATTGCTCAGCCCTGAGTATAGGGGTTGGGACATCATGTTGAGGTTGTACAGGACATTGACAAGGCCTCTTCTGGGAAACTGTGTCCAGTTCTAGTGGCACAGTTATAGGAAAATATCAAGCTGGAGGGGGTTCAGAAGAGACTAAGCCTCTGTAACCGGCAACATCCTGGTAAGAGTTATAAAGACAGACTGGATGATTACGTTTGGCATGGACTGGTTGGACCGAAGGATTCGTTTCTGTGCTGTACGACCAAGTGCAAATGAAATCCCAAGAAGCAGATTACTGCTCGAGGCTCTTGCAACAGTCCCTATTTCTGGGTCAGAAGGCTCAGGTTCAAGTTCCCAGAGGTGGAAATATCTATACTGAAGTGCAGTAAAAACAACCTCCTTTAAATGCTAGATAGATTTGGAAGGAAGGCACCATATTCAGGCTAAATCCATACAAGACTCCTGTGATGTTGCAAAGATAAACTACTTTTATTTCTAGATGACAAAAAAAAAGGTAAGCACTGTTAACATGTGGAGTACAAACTAAGACATTAATTTGTTTGCATAATGTTCATAAATGGGAAATGAATTTAGATATTGGTGGATATGTTGGTGCGTTTTTGGGTATAAGGAATTAGGAAGTCAGACTCTTTTGGAAATATAGAACCAAAACAGTATGAAGGCACAGATACATACGTCAGTAAAAAGAGCAATGCATGTTAAAGTCATAAAGTGCAAATAAAGCACTATGGACTATTTTTAAGCTAATTAGAACTCAAAAGCAAAGCTATTTTATAAACCATATGGGAAACTTGGTTTAAAAAAAAGAGATACTTTCTTAATAGGTGTATGACCATTCTGGAAGCTTCTTACTCTTGAGAAGAGATGAATGATAAAAGTGATCTAATAGGGGTGTTCAGAATTACAATGGGTTCAAGAGTGATAAGAGATGCTTCCACTTGTAGAGGAGTCAAATACTAAAGGTACATTTATATAAAGATTGATTTGAGAATTAAATTTGATATCCTACAAAAAAAATTATAAAGACTTCAAAAAAAAAAGCTTATGCTTTCAAATGAAAATTATCCAATGTAATTTAAGGAAAAAAAAGCACAAGGGGCTGTTTGTTTAAATAAAAGAACTGCTAGAACACAGAACAGTACAGGCCCTTTGGCCCACGATGTTGTGCTGAACTTTTACCCTAAACCTAAGGTCTATCTAACCTCCACCTCCACCGCCACCTTATACTATCATCCATATGCCTATCTAATAGCCGCTTAAATGCCCCTAATGAGGCCGACTCCACTACCCTCTCCGTCAAGCATTCCACGCCCCAACCTCTGAGTAAAGAACCTACCTCTGACGTCTCCCTGATATCTACCTCCACTCACTTTAAAATTATGTCCCCTTGTAAAATCCAACTCCACCCTAGGAAAAAGTCTCTGGCTGTCTACTCTATCTATACCGCTGATCATTTTGTACACCTCTATCAAGTCACCTCTCATCCTTCGTCGTTCTAAAGAGAAAAGCCCTAGCTCTCTCAACCTTTCCTCGTAAGACCTTCCCTCCATTCCAGGCAACATCCTGGTAAATCTCCTCTGCACCTTTTCTAACGCTTCCACATCTTTCCTGTAATGAGGTGACCAGAACTAGACAGTACTCCAGATGTGGCTGAACCAGGCTTTTGTATAGCTGGAACATAACTTCATGGCTCTTGAACTCAATCCCTCTACAACTGCTGTTATAAATATTTCTTTAAAAGTTTCCAAAGGACTAGCAGCTAGATCCGCATACGATTTGACTACTCATTGGAGTCGATCAGCATTACTTTGGAAAAGACAAAAGAAATTGATATCAAACAGCAGTTGTTGTAATGCTAAACATCACTACAAATTTCAGATAACCATCTCAAATTTGGTTTAATTGGTTTTCATTTTTGTGTTTAGATCTTTAGCAAAATAGAAATTAATTTCATACATACAAAGTTATGAAATATGCAAGGTAAAAAGTCTTGCTTTCCACTTTTATTTTCTTGTCTCATGGAGTATGTACAGAATGGATCTTTTCTTCTGTTCATAAAGTTTCTTTTAAAAGAGATATAGTGTTTACAGAGCAATTTTCACATTAATATCACAAAAACTTTTGCTTTCCTAAATTCTAATGTAGTGTGTACTCAATGTTCCAGAGGAACAAAACATTTCTGATCTATGTCTTGTTAAACAAATTCATTACACAATCACACAGGCTACTAGACCTTCCAAGGTTTTAGCCTGGCTCCTGTGAGGCACAGAGGTTACAGCATCAAATGAACTGTATGTGTCCAAAATCAAAATGATCCCATTTCATGACCTCAATGAAAATGATTCATAAGTTACACTTAACTGTTAAGACATGCATGGTTACATTTCAACTTAATATTGTGTAAAATAGGATTACAGAAAAGAACGTTATATCATGTTTTCTGCCAACACGCATGGTTCATATTCTATATATCAAAGAGCACTACAGGCCATAAGATGTACAACATTAACCAGAATGACTTCTTGAGAGTACACAACTAGGAAAAAGGTAAGGAAAAACAGATATAAAATCAGGGTTTCAATTTTCTTATCAGAACATCTCAATGTCACTAAACACTACACCATAGCAGAATACATTATATTTACATAAATTGTAAATAAATTCTATTAATGTTTGTAACCAAACCATTTAAGACATTTGTCTAACCACATCCATCAAGTTACAGCTGGCTCTTGTTGATCCTTGAAAAATATTATGTCTGAAAGAAAATGATCCCAACAAAACACAGGACACACCCAATGTCCAAAAAGTACTGCACTATTACACATGACACAGACAAACAGACAGCCAGCCAAACAAGAACAAATTTAAACAGGCTACACAGTTCAGATGATGCTTCAGCGTTCAATGCCATGGAGTGGTATTCTGTGGATCTGTGCAGATTTACGACATACAGGATTAAGTTATTTAAATAGAAAGAGTAAACTTGAAGCCATATTCCACATCCCGAGTTCTCATTCCTCAAATAAACCTTGCACATGCCCCAAAGTAGCATGCCTGACCACCTTCATTGGTCAAGAACTGGTGTATAGACAGGGAGACAATGAAAGAAACAAAAAAAAATTAAAAGCTATGAAATACACAAAGCTGAGAAACAAAAACTTGCTTTTAAACTTACTAATAAAAGAAAAGGAAAATGCTTAGGAATGAGACTATTAACATGGGGCCTCATTAGAAATAAATTTGAGTTTGTAACCAAGGAACATGAAGCCAAGTTGCAGGTCAGCCATAAAGCTAAGAATTGGCAGAATGGGCTCAGGGCTATTTGGCCTTCTCCAGGTCCCACAAAAGCTCCTAATGCTTGTTAACCAGACTCCAGCACTGATGTCCTGTCATGTTATTGCTAAAGTTCCTAGCTGACAATTAGGAACTGAGACAAACATCAAGTGACAGGTTCAAAGGTCAGTCCTCAGTAGTTGCATGTATTCGAAAAAAACAAACAAAAACCCAACAACTCCCTAGTGTTTCCTATATAGTAGTGATTTAAACTCCAACTGTGATATATTTAAAGCTTTGCAATGTAATGTGCAAATGTCACAATTCCTACAACATTAGTCATATCACAAGTTGCTGATAACACCATTGTTCAAAAAAAAATCCTATACTTCACTGTGACCCGTGATGAGCAACCTGTCATATTTTATAAATATTAAAATATTGTCATTAAATATTTACAGTAATTTATACATTTGATTTAAAATACAATTGTAATTGATTGTGATTCAACATACTTCAAACTTTCAGTTTGAATATTCAAAGCAAGAGGCATAACTTACAATGAATCTAAACATTTATAATCAATCTTTCATAGGATAAAATATATACACAGGAAACATTAAAAAGCATCTTTGATATTTTTTAATTGTCGAACTGCAGTATCGACCGGAAGGCTGAACTGCAGGTTGCTGAGGCGACTGAGTATATTGAGGGTACTCTCAAACCCAGTAGAGGCCATGTAGCTCCATGGCTGGTAATGACTCTGGATAAGTGTTCCTGACTTACAAATCAGGTTTACCCAGGAAACCAAGCGCTGTTCATTCAGTGCCATGCATATTAAGGCCTTAAATTCTGAATCCGCACTGCGCTTGTAACGGTCATGTTCAGTGAGCACAGTGTGTACTGCAGAAAGTAAACTTTGTTTTGGAGTTACAATGCCACTCCCAGTCACTGGCAAGGCAAAGGATTGAGACAGCTTGCGAGCAGGAGACTCTACAAAAGCTCTACCATTTCTGGTATTGTAGTACTTCACAAAAAGTTGCCAGGGATGCATGGTTTGTGGAGAGGTGAGTGAGGGAAGGAGGCACGCAATTGGTGCTAGGACCAAACTCATTCCTTGAGAGGAGGCATACAAACCATGGCTCATCAGGTCTCTGAGAGCTATTGACAACTCTTTTCGTACAGCAGTTATGAGTTCATTCTTCTGAAGATAAAAGTCACGGCTACTGATTACATGCTCGTCATCCTGTTGATGTCTCAATGCCAGCTGTTTCACTTTATCTACAGCACTTTCTAGTTTAAGTAGCAGGGGATTGTAGTCCTTGTCTGTTTCATCAGGCTGCCATACTCCACGTGAAATCTGACCAGCAGCACATCCAAACTGACTAACAGCAAATATTTGCAATATGGCCAGCGCTCTGCGAACAAGGTTTAACCCAGTCTCTCTCATCTTTCTAGCTGTTTCACGATCCACTGCAAAGCAACAAAAAAAATTTCAATATACTCCCAACAGAAATTAGATAATACTTGCACATATATAATGCCATCTCTTGCCACATGAGTTTGTGGTCTTTAAATCACCATTGATGTGCAGTGACAACTATAAACAGCCCTTATAAAAAGTCCCAGAGGTACCCTTAGATTTTCCCAGATTGTTGCTTTGTAAAGGTGAAAATATGTATTGCATTTTAAAGATGATTTTTATAAGCATTAGATTTTACTTTCAAAAATCAGGTTATATAGATGAGACAGGAGTGGAGAGGCAAGAAAGAAAGCGTACATTAAATGTAGAGGTAGGTGACATCTTTTTTTCAAAAAAAAAAAAAAAAAAAAAAAGATCACTCGGTTGAATTACTCTGTACAAGTCAGAAGACCAACCACTAACACTTTGGGAATATAACCATGTTTTATTTAGAATGTGGAGGCTCTTTGAATAATGACATTTATCTAAAAAGTATCACAATAGCCCATCACACCCAGAAATAAGATGAATCAGTAAAACTGAACCTCACCATGACTGCCACCTGACAATTTTGCAGTTGATGCGGGAGAATCTTTCACTCCGTGCACGTTGCACGTGCACCTTCCATTCTGAGCCTGCGGAGGGTTTCCAACTTCATCTGGGAATGAAAGCAAGTGTAGAGATCATATCATTTTGGCAAAATTTGTGGGTCACCAGTTCAATCAAACTGAGCTTTAAAAAAAAAACTCCATAATCTGAACATATTATATAATTACATAGTCAGGCAAAACCTCAGATTTTAACTCCAGGTAATTAAGAAAAACAAAAACAGTTCATGTTAATTTAAGATCAGAATCAAAACTACACATCACCTATCACACATGACCTTTAAGACTCAGTGATAAAATGCTTTCTGCCAGTGAGTTGAGATCACCTGATAACCTGGAAAAAGTATCAGAATTTGCTCCCAAATTTAGTAAGCTGAAACGAACAGCAATAAAAAAAGCATAATCTTAAACAGAGTTCTTTCTCTGGTCAAGAGATTACAGTTTTTAAGACCCAGCGACACGTTTTGGGGAAGAGGGTGTGTGGTGGTAGTGGTAGTGGTCGTGGTCGTGATGAGGGGTGGCAAGAGAGAACATAAAAATGATCAGAACAAGTATGGTTACTGTACAATTGCAAATCCTGTAGCTAGTTGTATTTTAATTGTTTTGATTGGCGCATCCACTACAAGTCATTTTTCAAATTACACCAGGAATCTTTTTGGGGAAAGGGTGGGCAAAGCAAGGCTGAGTGTGGTAAAAATGGTGTCCCCTGGAATTGTTTCCTGACATGCTCTCTTTGTACATGCAACACAAGTTCTAAAAAAGGTCAGCTAATTGATCTTAGGCTCAATAAATACAATAAATGTGAGCGGCTAGAGAGACTATAACAATTGTTCTACTTACCCTGCAGAAAGTTGATGAACATTTCAAGGTCACAAATCTGAGTTTTAAGCTGCTCCACCAGCTGCTCCTTCACTCTTGCTGGATTCACAATTTGAGCAATTGCTGCATCAACACGTTGTCTGAGTTCTTCTGGCGACAAATTGCTAAAATCTTCATTTAGATTTACATCCAGCTTTTTAACCAATTCATCTATGATTACCTGATTAAAGAACACAGACAGACATCAAAACACATTTCTTCTGTAGACCCACCTTTTCACCAAATTTTAAAGGCTCACTTAAGGCAGACTTGCAAATGTTCTGCCATTAAGAAGTTTAAAACAATATTGCTGATATTCTCTGTTCCTGTAAGCCTGCACTCTCGCTTCTCCTTCCCCCTTATGCTTAAAAGCTGTGGCTGCAAACTAGCAGCTTGCTGGTATAGAGCCCAACAATGTTAGCCTAGGCTCAGTGGCATTCCTCACCTGGATCAAAGTTATGGCTCCAAGCCCCAATCCCAGAAACAAAGTGTATAATCTAGGCCAACAATTCTGTGCAGCATTCACTCAGTATTACTGAATCAGAAGTGTCATCTTTCAGGTATGATTTTTAAACCTAGTTTGCAGTTGTAGACTTGCTCACTGAGCCAGTGTGTCTGGTTGCAGATGTTTCGTCACCCTGCTAGGTAACATTGTCAATGCGCCTCCAGTGAAGTAGTGTTCGGCCCCACTTGTTATTTATATGCCTGTTGGCTGGCACAGTTGGCATTACTTCCGGCTCTATTTTTCAGTGGTTTGTATATTGGGTCCAGTTCACACTGGCTTGGCGAGCTACAACCCCATCTACAACCGGAAGTACAAATCTTCTCAAACTTTGAAACACCGATGGCCACAACATCCTCAAACTGGCATTTAGATGGGAGACAAATGCCATCTGTTTGCACACAACCCACGAACAACTGTGCTTCCTGCATGAATGCCTCAGAAAACAGGTACTACCACAAAGCTTAAGATATAAACCACTGATCAACAATCCACAGACATGAAGAACAGCTGAACAGAATGATAAGGGTTATGATCAATGATGTCCACAACCGCCTCCACAAATACAAGCAGGAAATTGTGCAAAAAGAGAGAAGCCAAAGGGATCCAACACACTCAGCTTCTATGGACTCCCCAAGGTACACAAGCGAGGGGCCCCCCTCAGACCCATTGTCTCACTAACAAGCACACCAACAATTAGACTAGCAAGAACTACAATGGAAACTGAAAATACTTAGTTGACAACACTACCCACTCGATCCAGTCCTCCCAAGAGTTCTCCAACTTCAACAAGGACACTAGAATAGAAGGAGGACGAGATACTGATATCCTTCGACGTCACAGCACTATTTACATCCATAAACATCGAACTGTACAAAAAAGAGACAATTGCCACACAGCTGGACGAATCAGGAAGGCAGGCACTCCACAACACCAACAGCATCAACAAGGACGGCACCCTAAAACTACTGGATCTGTGCCTCACAACCCACTTCACCTTCAAACGACTGTATATTCAAACAAATCAACGAAACACCAAATGGGATCCCCTATATCAGGACTGATTGCAGAAGCAGTAATGCAAAGGTTAGAATAGACAGCGCTCCCCACTATACAACCCAGACTCTGGGTCCGCTATGTAGATGACATCTTTGTGACTATCAAACGCACAAGACTTGAAGAAACCCACCGACACCTAAACAACATCCTCACCGCAATAAAATTCACAAAAAGAGAACAATAATTGACTCCTTCCTAGATGTAATGATAGAATGCAACAACAGGGAACTGCAGACTAGTGCATAAAGACCACACGTATGGACCATATACTTAACTACTCCAGCAACCACCCCAACACCCATAAACAGAGCTGTATCAGGACATTATTCAAAAGGGCCATAACACACTGCAGCAACCTGTTCTGCTTTGTGCAATTCCAGGAGAACTTATATGGAGTTTATAAAAGGAATGGATATCCAAACAGCACAATCTGCTGTTATCTCCATGACAGATCACAACAAGACAACACAACACAAAACATGGCCAGACACACTAGTCACCCTGCCATGCAGAGACATAAAAAGGTGACCACAAGACTACTCAGACCTCTAGGTATCAGGGTAGCCCACAAACCAACAACCACCCTGTGACAGCTACTGATGAACGTAAAGGATCCCATACCCACAAATAAAACTAACGTAACATACAAAATACCATGCAAAGACTGTTAGAAACACTACACAAGTCAAACCGGAAGAGAAGAGAACTGACAATAAGGATATATGAACACCAACTAGCCACCAAGAGACAAGACCGATTCTCACTGGTCTCAATACACACTGACAAAGAAGGACACGAATTTCGACTGGGACAACACATCCATAATAGCTCAAGCCAAACAGACATGCAAGGGGAATCCTGGAGGCCTGGCTTTCCAACCAGAACTCCAAACACATTGAACTGGACCAGATATACAAACCACTTAAAAACAGAACCGGAAGAAATGCCAACCACTCTAGCAAACAGAGGCATATAAATAACAAGCAGGATAGAACACGGACGCTTCACAGGGGGCACACAGACAATGTTACCTAACAGGGTGATGAAACGTCTGCAACCAAATACACCGGGTCAGCGAGCAACTCTACAACCTCATCCACAACCCGAGCTACAAGTCTCCTCAAAGTTTTAACTTAGTTTGCCTTTCAGGTGTGTATAAAGAATCACAGCACTATTTAAAGAGAAACTTTATCTTGACTGAATTTTATTTCCCAGTCGGTAATAACAGACTGGCTATTTAAATTTGTTTGCAGTAGTATGCTATGCTTCCTACATTACAATAATGACAACACTTCAAAATCAGCACATTAAGTGTAGAATGCTGGGGGACGACATTAAGCAAAACCCTCCACGTAAATGCAATTTCTTAAAAAAAAAACAAGTGGATACAGTAAATTGTCTGTATCTGTGAAGTCACAAATTATGAATTCCCTTGCCCATGCCAAAAAAAGTAAAAAAAAAACCACCAACATCCACAGGGGAAAAATTGCGTATCTGCGATTTTTAACCTATTTTTTAAATGAGCTCCATACTTGCACATTTTATCATTCTAAAGGTTTTGGAGTAGATTTGTAGCTCGGGTTGTGGGTATTGAGGTTGGTTGGCTCACCGAGCTGGTTTCTTGTATCGCAGACGTTTCATTACCATGCTGGGTAACATCCTCAGTGCAGCCTCCGATGAAGCGTCTGTGTGTTTTCCCGCCTGGTTTTTAAACTGTGGGATCCGTTGAGCTGGATTGCCTCACTTCCGGTTTTCCTATGTAGTGGAATGTATACGGGGTCGAGTTCAACGTGTTTATTAATAGCATGCTTTGTGGAGTGCCTGGCTTCTAGGAATTCTCATGCCTGTCTGCACCTAGCGTGGCATGTGGACAACACCAAAATTTTGGGACAAGCTAGGCAGAGACAGGCACGAGAATTCCTAGAAGCCCGGCACTCCACAAAGCATGCTATTAATAAACACGTTGAACTCGACCCCGTATACATTCCACTACATAGGAAAACCGGAAGCGAGGCAATCCAGCTCAACGGACCCCACAGTTTAAAACCAGACGGGAAAGCACACTGACACTTCATCGGAGGCTGCACTGAGGATGTTACCCAGCATGGTAATGAAACATCTGTGATACAAGAAATCAGCTCGGCGAGCCAACCAAACTCAACATTTTATCATTCGCATGGCTTCTCAGAAAGAGCCCTTGAGGATTTGGAGGAATGACTTACTTAGGAATTCAAGAACAGAGATAGGTCATTCAGCTCCCCAGTAACTGTGTGATATTTTTTATGTGCATCTTAAATCTACTTACCTTCTTTTGGTGCCATAGTGTGCACTTTCCTAACAAAAGTCAGTTTTGGTTGAAACTAAGACAGTCCCAGCCCTGAATGTTTTTAAGGTGGAGATGGTTCTGGATTTTCACTATGCTGACAGTTGACGCACATGAAGTGTTCTTTATGTAATTAGCTATTTTTCCATTCTTGGAATCACTGGCAAGGCTTTCATTTATTGCCCATCCTTATCAGCTCTTGAACTGAATGACTTGCTAGGCCATTTCTGAGGTCAATTAAGAGTCAACCACATTGTTGTGGGTCTGGAGTTACCAGGTAGGGAAGGAAATCTGCATCCTTAAGAGGACAGTTTTTCTTTAATAACTATTGTTACATGGTCACCAGTCTAGCTTTTAGCTGCCGATTTCAACTGAATTCACATTTCACAATTTGCCATGGTGGAATTCAAAACTGTGTTCCCAGAACCACTACGCCACACAGCCTTCTCTGGTTGTCTTGACACAAAAGATCCAGATCCAAACGCTTTAAAGCTGTTGAAATATTAGTAGTTATTTTTGGTTGACTACGCCGCTAGATTAAATTGATTATGAATGACATGAGAAAAGACATTTATTGTACAATGAGTTTCAACTATATAAAGTCACAAGCCTTACCCGCTGCCGTTCTAGGACTATTGACTGAGGAAGGGATTCGTAGCTGCCTTCTTGGTAAGCAAATGTCTCCAAGTCATCCAGCTGTGTCTTTAGCTGTATAATCAACTCTCTTTGTTTCTGTCGTTGGGCCTCGAGTCGTTCAAGTTTTTCCCTTTCACTCTAAGAAAGGGGGGAAAAAAAAAAAAAATTGTGTTTTCAAATGCACATTACAATCGCAGGTTCTATCCAAGTTGGCCAAATGCTGGGAAAACTGAAGCTTTATTATTCATGAACACATATTTGCAAGTCTACAGAAACCAGAGAATGATTTGAAATCCAGTGTTATTGAATACAATACTCAGGAATGTTATATAGTCAACAAATTAGATTAAGTTAGTCAAGTTAGAAATATACACAAAAAAAATTAACAAAACACAACATGTGCAGCTACATCCTACAGGGATGAATGTAATAAACAAACTTGAAACAGGGTTGAAAGTAATCTAAAGCAATAGCAAGGTTTTCAGCGCTAAAGGTGCTATGAGATAAATTGAGATAACAAGGTGTAGAGCTGAATGAACACAGCAGGCCAAGCAGCACAGGAGCAGGAAGTCTGATGTTTCGGGCCTAGACCCTTCTTCAGAAATCGGTCTGGGCCCGAAACGCCAGCCTTCCTGCTCCTCTGATGCTGCTTGGCCTGCTGTGTTCATCCAGCTCTACACCTTGTTAGCTCAGATTCTCCAGCATCTGCAGTTCCTACTATATTTGAGATAAATTGTTGCATTTTACACTTTCGATGTTGAAACTGCAGGTAGCTTCAAAATAGCAATTTTTAAAATGAGCATTTATAGAATACCCTAATTTCAAAATTTTCAGATATGGAATATAGAAAGCTGGAAATAACGTCAAAGCTGCTTCACCGTCTATGTTCAAATTAGCCCTCCCCTTCTTCCTCTTGAAATTCCATGTGGGACAAACACAGCCTCTTCCACCAATTCTATGCTGGCATGGTTATTAATTCACTCATCCAACTTCATGCAAGCTCAAAACGATCCTTCCTCCTTCAATTTCACAATGGTGCACTCTTGCATACAATGTAAAACTTTGAACCTTCTAGTTTTGAAGTACACAATTCACCTAACGGTCCCTGACTTTGAGTCCGTTCCTTATGGCATCAGACAATAAACACCACCCTGACTCAGTGTGGTTAATCATTTGTACCTAAGATTTGGCACTAAACCCATCAAATTCCTGCACCCACCAGGCTGAGCTCCATCATGAATATATGCATAACAAATCTAAGTTGGACTAGAGGCCTAAACCTCAAATCCAACATATGACTATCAAGGTGACATCATCTTGATAATGTCACTGGATTAGTATTCAAGAGGCACAATTTGATGTTCTGGGAGCAAGGTTTCAAATTCCCCATGTCAACTGGTAAAACTTAAATTCAATAAATAAAATCTGGAATTGCACATCAGCCTCAGTGGTAGTTATCATGAGCAATCATCAATTGTCATTAAAAACCCATCTTTTATGGAAGGAAACAGCTGTTCACACAGCTCAAGTGACTTCAGACCTATAGCAACATGGCTGACTCAACTGATCGTTGAAATGATGTGACAAACTGTGCTCAGTTCAAACCCAATTAGGGCTGGGCAATACACATGGGTGTTACAAATAAAGCCAATATGTCCCTTCAAAGAATTAAAATATACTTCAGCATTGCACTTCCTATCTGCGCAAGCTGTGAATACCAGCAGGGGCAAACCAAGTCAGCAATTTGTAAACACATTTATACATCCCAATTAACGCAGCCTTGGTCCTGAGTTGTGTTCTTCTAGCTGCAGCCTGTAATCTACTTTATCTTTTGAGATAGAACAGTCATTGTAAGCTACTCTTGCATCCCAACAGCAATCTGGCAAACAGTTTCAGACTAAAAGAATTGCTAAAAAACCCTGCAAATTGTAGCAGTACAAGGCAAAGCAAGGTGTTCAATAGTTTGAGGTCTCAAGGGAACAAAAGTCTGATAAAATTAACATGAAATAAAACTTATTGTAATTAACATCAAGGGTCTTTGAACATGATTATACAGGGCAAGCAAATTCTTGTTTACAGTTGTGCATGTAAGATATGCAAGGACCAAATGGACACATTATTTTTTGCAGTTCTTGAATCATGCAAATTAATCTATTGCTTTTTGGTCAAAGTTGGTTCATTGAACTTCAGTTAATTTGCTCTCTTTAGCAGCAAATTTCTACTTTGTTACATTATTAATCTGTGGCAAAAAACACTGCCTTTCTTGTAACTGAAATGATTACAATGTTCTATGATGGTGTTTCCTTGTGTGCCCTTTGGAGGTCAACACGCTGTCCAAACAGCCAGTCACTAAAGAATTCCACAGACGGCCAAACACGAAATGAAAACTACCGAGATCTAAATGACAAACCTTTTCATTGTGTAAAATAACATTTGGACTATGGAATTAAGGCAGATGCTGAAATATGTTTCACTCAAACCTTTTAAGATGGTTTTAAAAAGGGATTTAAAAGTCCTTAAGGTTAAAACATTATACAAATACAGAAGTTACTTTTGCAGGGTCAGATCTGCCGCTCAGTAACAATTACTCAGATGGCTAAAGACCCGGCTACACTTGATCAACAGCAATCTGAGCGCACAAAAAAAAAAAAAAAAAACAGCTTGCCGGCTCCAGAAGTCAGGGGACCACAGCTAAAAAGTAGATGTGATGAGAACTTCCCTCTTTTCAACCGACAGCTCACTGTCAAAAAGGGCTACATTACCTGGCAAGCTGTTACTTTAACAAAAAGAAAACAATATTTTGTGATACGCATTATTAGAAAAGACAATTATCAGTAATCTAGATAAAGACATTAAACTTTGAATATAAACTTACCAATCCTTCCTGTTGGTTAGGCAGGATCAATAAAACAAAAAACAGAAGATTAGAGCCATTTTAATGAGTAGCAACTAAATTTCTTCCCAATTTCTGTTGCTTTAGATCAGTAATCTCAGAATTATCCTTCTTATCAAACTTTTCACTCCAAATTAAACTATGCTACATGGATAAAATTTTCAAATCTTTATCTGTATGCAAACCGAACCAGAAGACTCAGCCATTTGCAAAATTGACCAGTTATTAGCAACTGTCTACTTTATTAGTCAGCAACAATCCTAAAGAGTACATTTAGAGGTGATTTGTATCTCATGAATTACTTATTTAGCCAAAAGAATATTGCAAGTTAAAGAATCCTCAAATTTCCAAATGTAAATATAGTGGTTACAAATTAAGCAAAATTGAAAATTTTGGAAACCTGTCACTTGAGATTTTTGAATATGGTTTATGATGTCATCTCAAATATCACATGTATAATATGTAGCAGCAATTCTAAAGGTAGGCAGGTTACTTTGTCATTGGTATTGAAGACAAAGACCAGTAATGGAAAATTTGTCCCTCATCTCCTATAGAAATTTGTAAAAAGACCTCAATATCACTATGGTCAGTTATCACTATGGCCAAGTAATTTGATGGAGGAAAGAGCACAGCCAGCAAAACAGTAAACCATCTTCAATACTTTTTGTCTTAATATTAAATGCCAAGTGCACACTTGACCCGCCTTTCCTTTTCATCAGTATTTTACATTGATTTTCTAATCTTTTAACCTTGTAGTATAGGTAATGTAAGCTCTTGCTTTCAAGATCTAGCAACAGCATATGTACAGTTACAATTTTAATACACTTGCAAAGATGCAAAACATACTTCAAAAACACCTGCTTTCTCAAGGCCAATATTGATTTGCATAGTGGTTAAAAGAATTATTTTGTTTATCCTGTTGAAATGTTACATTCTAAAATGAATTAAATCTATTCATTCAAGAAAGCAACAAGCATGGTATAATTCCCTTGAGAATTGATGTAAATTCATATCCAGTACAGAAAAAAATTTGTAAAATAAGTTCAATTACACAAAAAACTGTATGGATCATTAAGGCAATGTGTTTATTTGGGATAGTTTGGTGCAATCTCCCAATTATTTGTATCTTTCTACAATTTGGATAGCGATATTTTTGAAGAGTGTCCAAATGCTTTATTTTTTTGTAATATGCTACATTTGGACAAGTGACTTGTTGGCCATTGTAGGAAAAATCCAAAATGTCAGCATGCTATTTACACATATTACAACTGAATAAGTATTAAAATCCATTAAGCATACATACAAGAAATCTATGCTGCAGTCAACCTTTAAAATTGGACAGTATTCGTGGGCTCACTGATTAACTAGCACTTTAGAAATATGTATAGTTAAAAACTGCTTTCAGCAGCACATTCCATACATGCAACACCCTCTGCGTGAAAACAAATTGTCCTTTAGGTCCCTTTTAAATCTTTCCCTTCTCACCTTAGACCTGGACTCGCCCCACCCCAGGGAAAAGACCTTGGCTATTCACCCTATCCATGCCCCTCATGATTTTATAAACCTCTACAAGGTCACCCCTCAGCTTCTGACTCTCCAGGGAAAATAACACCAGCCTAGCAGGCCATTGTCCTTAAAGCTCAAACCCTCCAACTCTGACAATATCCTTGTAAATCTGTTTGAACCCTTTCAAGTTTCATAATATCCTTCCTACAGCAGGGAGACGAGAATTGTACATAGTATTCCAATAGTGGTATAAGCAATGTCCTGTCCAGCCGCAACATGACCTCCCAACTCCTGTACTCTATGCACTGACTGATAAAGGCAAGTATACTAAACAACTTCTTCACTATCCTCTCTACTTATGACTCCACTTTCAAGGAACTTTGAACCTACACTCCAAGGTCTCTGTTCAGCAACATTCCCTGGGACCTTACTATTAATGTGTACGTCCTGCCCTGACTTGCCTTTCCAAAATGCAGCCCCTCACATTTATCTAAACTAAGCTCCATCTTCCACTCCTCAGCCCATTGTACTCTGAGGTCACCTTCTTCGCTGTCCACTACACTGCTAATCTAAGTGAGTTGGGCCTAGACTCATTTGAGTTTGGAGGAGAACCTTAGACTTTTAGGCAGCTTGAAAGGGTAGATGCAGAGGTTATATGAAATAGGAGCTGTAGTAGGCCATTCACCCCCTTAAGCCTGCTTCACCATTGAAAATGATTACAGCTGATTGTCACTCTTCACATCCACTTTGGTTCCACTACTGATCAAGGAAGGGTCTATCGCTGCCTTAAATATACACAAAGATACTGACCCTTTTCTGTGGTAAGGAGTTCCAAAGGCTCAACACTCGAAATTCCTCCTCATCTCAGCCTTAAATTAGTACCCCTTAATTCTCAGATTATGCTCCCTGATCTTAGATACTCCCAAGAGGGAAACCATCCTCTCAGAATTTACCTTGTCAAGCCCCTTAAGCATTCTATATGTTTCAATGAGACCATCTATCATTCTTTTAAATTGCAACAAGTAGAACTCAACCATTGTTCATACCAGGGATTATCCTAGTGAATCTGGAGCTGCTGCTTGCGTGCGCTACCCTTGTTTTGTGAACAAGTACTCCTAAATCGCTTTGAATTGCAGCTTTTTGTAGTGTTTCTCTATTTAAATAAAGTGACTCTTGTTTTACTTTAAATTAACTTCACATCATCTGACATTGCATTCCACTTGCTAACATTCTGTCCACTTACTTAACCTATTACTATCTCTAAACTGTTTGTATCATTTTCATCACCTGCTTTTCCAAATATTTTAAAGTTTTTTTCCCTTGTGGATGGATCATGGACCTTGGACCTGGGACCTGAAGGCATTATCTCAGAGTAAGGGTCACCCAGGGACAGAAATGAAAAGGAATTTCTTCTCTCAAAAGGGTAGGAAATCTGAGGGATTCTTTAATGCAGTAGGCTGTTGAGGTTGCATCATTAAGTATACTCCAGGCTGGATGTCTGAATGAGATATGCATTTTATTATAGCAAGTCATTAATAAAAAGATCATACAACTTGGAGGTAGCAAGAACTGCGCAAGCCGAAGTCAGAGCTAACACAGTGTGGAGCTGGAGGAATACAGCAGGCCAGGCAGCATCAGAGGAGCAGGAAAGTTGACATTTCAGGTCAGGATCCTTCTTCAGAAGGCAATCAGAAACATCAACTTTCCTGCTCTGATGCTGCCTAGCCTGCTGTATTCCTCCAGCTCCACACTTATCTATATACAAGTTGAGGTAGGTCAGGTTGGCTGATTTGGCACTTTTTTTTTTACATACTAAACTACAAACTGGAAACAGAAGATGGGCGGGGGAGTAGAAGAGAAATGGGCCATAATCTTGCCACACTGGAAACGAGTTTCAGCATATCTGATTTGTTAGTAGTTGATTATGATTGCCAGCTTCCTACCACTTTTAAACCCGAAAATTCTCAGACTTGGCAAGTCATTTTCTTCCATTGCATTCAAATTTAAATAGACTTTTATGTTAAAAAAAATGTGGATTCTGCAGTAGGTTGAGTGAAAATGATGTCCCTTACCGCGTTGTCCAGGTGCTGCCCGTCCACAGCCCGGGTGATAAATGGTTGCGGACAGCCTTTGAAGGCGAAGTCCTCCAGCTCCTTCAGCAGCCGCTCCTTCTCGTCGCTCTGAGCGTTGACGATCTGCTTGAGGCGGAACTGGACCTGGGCGAAGTGCGAGGTGAGGGCGAGCAGCGACGAGTTCAGCAGCTCTTGCTCGCTCTCTAGCCGCTGCATCTTCTCCGCCATCACTGCCACTCCGGCGGCAGCGCCGCCGCACACCAGGCCTACCTCGGGCGGGATGGCCGCCTTCTCCGTTTCCTCGGGGCTGGCCACCGCCCCAACCGGGGCCCAGCGCTCCCCGGCCAACCTCTCAGTGTCCGAGAGAGACATGTCGTCCATCCCGAACCGCTTGACACGGTCAAATCTCACCGCAGCTTCAGAGCATCCGGAGGACAGCCACCATCTTGTGGGAACAGCGCACCTGACGTTACGCCCGGCCGCCACATCATCACGCACGTCACTGCATCGCCGTCGTGACGTCGCCAGGTGAGCACTTGGAATGTTCTAGAAACTGGTTCCAGTCGATCTAAGGCAAACGTTGGCGGCGACAAGAGCACCCTTTCTTTGGGCAGCAAGTTGTTAACGATCGAGGCTATCCAATCGTGGCTTTCAAAGCAGACCTGAATAATTACCTGAAGGAAAAAACATCTGTGGGATTGTGACTGAGTTGTTACAAGCATAATGGGCTGAATGGCCTCCTGTACTGCAATCATTCCAAGTTTAGAAGGGTGAAGTCCCTCTGAATTTGGTCGTAAGAAAGGCAGACTAACAGCAGTGTTCTCTCACTATGAGACTCAGGCATGTTATGACGTACCTCTGGAGCAATTGGGACTCAAACTCCACTCAGGTAGAGACACAATCATGATGCCACAGGGACTGTCATTTTCATTTGTATGGGTTCTAAAGCAAAGCAACTGTTCTATTTGTCATAGCAAAAGGCTCCCAGGAGATCAGTGTAAATGCTTTAAGAATGTCCTCCAAACATCCCTTGAGGTCAAAAATACCCGCTAACTCATGGAAGACCAAGATGGAGATGGCTTATTAAAGATGTCATTAAAACACATTGAGAAACTCCATTGGGAACATAAAATTGCAAAGTTGAGAAATTGAAGGAAGCACACAAACCTTCAAACAATCATGTCAAACCCACATTTCAGGCACAACATGCCATATATGTGGCACATTTTGCAGAACACACAATGGACTTACCAGCCTACTTGGAATCTGTCACACTGAAGGAAAAGCAAGGCATCTTCAATCCAAAGGGACTAAGAAGAAGGCAGGTGTGCAAGTGCATATGGCCTCTCCTGGTTAAGCTATTTATAACCAATGCTAAGCTTGATTTTCTCCCTTACCTCCTACCCATTTAATCAACTAATTGTCTTATTTTTCTAATGACTGTCTCTACTGACTCATTCCTGTTTACATTAAATTCACTACAGTTGTGTCAGCATCACAGGCTAACATCCACCAACATTTATGAATGTGGTTACCATGAGCTGAACCAAATATGACCTGCTGACATGATATTTGTAATAATGCTTTAGAGAAGGAGAGAGCCAGGCCAACGTGGTATACAGGTTTAGGGAAAAAATTCCAAAGATTAGCTTTTCGGTAGCTGTGCCTTCAGCTGCCTGTGATAGAACGAAGAATATCAGTGATCCACAAAGTCAGCACTGGAGAGCTAAGAGATTAAGTTGTTTAGAAGGCTAGAGGATACAGAGAAGGGGAAGCTTGAGGTATGGAGGGATCTCAAGCATGAGAATTTTCTTTTTAAATTGAACCCACTGCCAGAATGTAAGGCAAAGGCATAATGGGTAGAAATTAAGATCCAGACAGCAAGTATTTGAATAAGCCCAAATTTGAAGAATGAGAGATTGAAGCTGATCTTCGGAGCATTGGAATAGTTGACTAGAAGTAATAAACATAAGATTGAAGCTTCAGCAGCAGCTGGACTGAGGCAGGAAGTGTGATGCACATGTTATAGAAATGTAAGTAGGCAGTCTTGGTGATAGAGCTGATATGGAGTCAGAAGCTCAACTCAAGGTCAAATTGTATGCACAGCCAAATAAGCAAATTGTGATTGGTTGAACCTCCTCTATAATATATCATAATGGAGATGTTCTGTGCAAGTACTAAAACATTACACATGTTTAGATAGTTGCTAGGAAGAGGGATGGAATTGGTGGTTAAATAACAAAGTTTCTGGCAAGGACCAAAGACAATGGCTTCACTCTTCCTAATATTTAATTGAGGAAATTTCTGCTTGCCTAACATCCAATATTAGATGGGCAATGTGTCTAATCAGAGCAAGTGGAGACATTGGCAGATGCAGTGCTATGTTGAACTGGGTGTTGTCAACATACACATAGAATTTGTTGTTGTGTTTTAGGGTGATGTAACTGAGGGGCAACTTATGAATGAAAAATAAAGTAGCGGAGAACTAAGAATATATTGTTTGGGGATTCCTGAGATAGTGGAGCCATTGCTTGAAATGTTGTGGCTACAAATTGACAGATAGGAATAGTACCACTTGAGGATATTCCTATTCTGCTATGGAGCCTAGTGTGATCAGTTGGGTCAAAGGCTGCAGACTGGTCTAGTAAGAAAAAAATAGTTTATCACAATCCAAATCAGTCCTACTTTCTTTTCTACTAATTTAAAGTTGCAAATGCCTTGTCCTTTAAAGGTTTGGTCATGTGATCTGATGTCTCCTTATGTGGCTGGCTGTCATACTGCATTTTATAGTAATCCTGCAATGTGCCTTGGAATGTTTTATAATGTTAAAGGTGTTCATATTATTGGTGTTGTTATTTGAGAACCATGTTTCTCCCGTTTTCACTCATGATGAAGACTTTTAATATTAGAAATCACCTTTCTGATTCTTGTTCGTTTTGTCTCCAGTTTGATGATGAAATAGGGCTGTGTTCTTGTGCAAGGAAGCAAAGTTCCATACAGCTTACCTGTTTGGTAATTTTTACCTGTTTTCTGTAGCCAGGCTATGTGATCACAAGAGAGAAGCAAACCCATTTTAGTTGTCAAGGACAAATGTGAGGTGCTGCATTTTGGAAAGGCAAATCAGGGTAGGACTTATATACTTGATGGTAAGGTCCTGGGAGGTGTTACTGAATAAAGAGATCTTGGAGTGCAGATTCATAGTTCCTTGAAAGTGGAGTCACAGGTAGATAGGATAGCGAAGAAGGTGTATGGTATGCTTGCCTTTATTGGTCAGTGCATTGAGTACAGGAGTTGGGAGGTCATGTTGCAGCTGTACAGGACATTGGTTAAGCCACTGTTGGAATACTGCATGCAGTTCTGGTCTCCCTGCTATAGGAAGGATACTGTGAAACTCGAAAGGGTTCAGAAAAGATTTACAAGGATTTTGCTGGGGTTGGAGGGTTTGAGCAATGGGGAGATGCTGAAAAGACTGGGGCTGTTTTCCCTGGGGTATAGGAGGCTGAGGGGTGACCTTATAGAGGTTTATAAAATCATGAGGGGCATGGATAGGGTAAATAGACAAAGTCTTTTCCCTGGGGTGAGGGAGTCCATACCTAGAGGGCATAGGTTTAAGGTGAGAGGGGAAAGATTTAAAAGGGATCTAAGGGACAATTTTTTCACACAGAGGGTGGTGCATGTATGAAATGAGCTGCCAAAGGAAGTTGTGGAGGCTGGTACAATTACAACATTTAAAAGGTATCTGAATGGGTATATGAATAGGAAGGGTTTAGAGGGATAAGGACCAAATGCTGGCAAATGGAACTAGATTAATTTAGGACATCCGGTCTGCATGGACGAATTAGACTGAAGGGTCTGTTTCCATGCTGTGCAGCTCTATGACTGTATGAATGTGGGGGATTCAGTGATGGTAATGCCTTGAATGTCAGGGGACGATGGTTAGACTCTCTCTTGTTCATGATGGCTTTCCCTAATACCTGCGGTGTGAATGTTACTTGCTGTTCATCAGCCGAAACCTGAATATTGTCTAAGTCTTGCATCCTTTGGACACGAACCACTTCAGTATCTGAGGATTCATGAATGATGTTGAACATTGTGCAGTCATCAGCAAATATCCCCACTTCTGATCTTAAGATGGAGGGAAAGTGATTGATAAAACAGTTGAAAATGGTTGGGACTAGGATACCACCTTGAGCAACTCCTGCAGAGGTGATCTGGGGTTGAGATAACTGACCTCCAACCAGTGGAGTGTTTCCCCTAATCCTATTGACTCCACGTTTGCTCCTTGATGCCACACTGGGTCAAATGCAGCCTTGATGTCAAAGGCAGTCATTCTTACCTTACCTCTGGAATTCAGCTCTTTTTTTCCATGTTTGAATGAAGGCTTGTAATGAGGTCAGGACATGAGTGATCATGGCAGAACCCAAACCGAGTGTCAGTGAGCAACTTATTGCTAAGCAAGTGCTGCTTGGTAGCACTGTTGATTACAACTTCCATCACTTTACTGGTAATCAAGAGTAGACTGATGGGGCTGTAATTGGCCAGGCTGGATTTGTCTTTATTTTTGTGTACAGGACATTCCTGGACAATTTTCCGTATTGTCAGTCAATGACAATATTGTAGCTTAGATGGGGGTGTGGGAATTCTAGGGCACAAGTCTTCAATACTGTTGCCTATAGCCTTTACTGTAACCATTGCCTCCACCTGTTTCTTGATATTGCATGGAGTGAATTGAATTGACTGAAGACTGGCATCAGTGATACTGGGGACTACTGGAAGAGGCTGAGATGGATCATCCACTTGGCACTTCTGGCTGAAGATCGTGCAAATGCTTTAGCCTTATCTTTTGCACCAGTAATCTAGGCTGCTCCATCATTGACGATTTGGATGATTGTGAGCCTCCTCTTCTTCTGAGTTATTCGTCTACCACCATTCACAGCCAGATGTGGCAGAAATACAGAGCTGATCTGTTGGTTATGGAATCAATTAGCTCTATTATTTGCCAGTTTACGTTGATTGACAGGCAAGTAGTCCTTTTTCTTGTAACTTGACCAGGTTGACACCTAATTTTTAGGTATGCCTGCTGCTGCTGCTCTTGATATGCCCTCCTACATTCTTCAGTGAGCCAGGGTTGATCCCATGACTTGATGTTAAAAGGTAGACTGGTGAAAGTGCTGGGCCATGAGGTTGTGGATTGAGTTGGACTACATTTCTGCTGCTGATGGCTCACAGTGCCTCATTGATGTGAAGATGGGACTTCATCTCCACAAGAACTGAGCGGTGATCATTCTTGTCAATACTATCATAGACAGGTATATGTATGGCAGGATGATTGGTGCAGATGAGGTCAAGTATATCATCATAGAATCCCTACAGTGTGGAAGCTGGTCCTTTGGCCCATCAAGTCCATACTGACACTCTGAAGAGCGTCCCACCCACACCCAACCCTCTATCCTATCACCCTGCATTTCCCATGGCTAATCCACCTAAACTGCATATGCCTGGACACTATGGACAATTTAGCATGGCCAATCCACCTAATTTGTACATCTTTGGTCTGTGGAAGGAAACCAGAGCACCCGGAGGAAACCCACACAGACACGGGGAGAATGTGCAATCACCTAAGACTGGGATCAAACCCTGGTTCCTGGCACTGTAGGCAGCAGTGCTAACTACTGAGCCATCATGCCACAGTGTATGCTTTTCTGTCTTGTGGGTTTCCTCACTGCCTGTCGCAGACCGAATGTGTTCTTTAGGATTTGATCAGCTTGGTCACTCTTGGTGGTGGACATTGTTGCAGGCCTCTAATGCACAGGAAATGTCAAAAAAAGTTCACTGTTACAGTCAATTTTTTGTGTGTTTTTGAATGTAAAGTTTTTTTCTTGCTCTGGAAATAATATGTGCCATGTGTTTAACCAATGAAGTAAAATGTACAAAACTGAATTGTATGAACAAGCATATAGATCAGAACCCTGATTTTGACTGTTTTAATATGGACTAATATGATAGCATCACACCACCCTCCCTCCCCACTGCCAGTTACTACACAGTAACAAAGGAACCTCACCCACGAATGTGCAAATAAACCTAAACAGTACCTTACAGAACATAATTGGGCAGTGTGACTCATACACAGTTAAGCCCATGGATAACAGTTTGTTCTAGTAGAATTATAAATGAGAAAGTGTAATTTATTCAGACTAAAAATTATCACCACCACTTCTGCCCCTCTATACTCAAACTCTGGAAATCCTGTCAGTGTAATAGTTGGAATGCTAAATAAAACCAACAAATATTTCTTGATAGAGACCATCTTCCTTATCATAGAAAAACTACAACTATCATTGAAAAGACGTCTATATTAAAATATTGGGTACGAAGTCGTTTAAAGGGAAGTTTTAAAAATTGCATATTCAGCTGCTTTGCAGTTAAGTACTGAATGAAACCATCGCAAGTGCATCTCTCAGAAACAATCAGCTCATCTTAAACCTATCATGTCCACACCCAATAGCGGGAAAGATAATTTAACAGCATTCAATACCGCCTACTAATTTGATCGGTCTTGACAGTTTTTTTGTTGTGGTTTCCGACTGATGTAATTAGTTCAGTTAGCTAGGTGACAGTTTCCAATCTAGCAAAAAGATTGTTTTGATTAATGAACCAGTGACATGGGTCGACAGTTTACAAAACCGAAGCTTACCAGATAGTTTACAAACAAGAAAAAAAGTGTTTATCTCATGTCTTATTTTAACTTTCAATAAGGCTTATGGCCTTAAATATGTTTTTCCCGAAATGGGTGCAAGATTTCTTTTCTATAATTAATAATTTTTGCATATGTTATCGATTGTTTATGAAAACTATCCAAACATATTTATAATGTGGTTTAATGGTTCAATTTTAAAATAAAATAGGATCAGAAATTACCGTGCTTGGAACAGACTCTATTCTGCTCTAAAACAGTTTCGGATTTTTCTTGGCCTGGTGAATGTATCCTCCTCGTTGAGAGAAGGCGCGGTGCTTCCGTATTTTTTTTAAATATCGAGAGGTTTGATCTTCAATCTTGTGTATGTCAATTCAGAGCCCTCCTACGAGCGGTTTCAGTGACTCGTTCATTATGTAATTTAGGCATACACAACTTTTTGAATCAACGCGAAAAGTTAAACTTCTAAAAAAATTTCACGTTGAGAATTTAAAAAAAGACAATTCCTTTTGGCAAACTGTTTTGTGCACACAATAGATACAGCTTACCTGCATGATAATTTTAATGTTATCTAACTTTGTGTATGAGTATCTAATCTGCTTTAATACGCAATGTATTTTTTTTCTTAATTTTTAAAGAAATAGGGTCCTAGTGTCTTTATCTAACAAGGAGCGCTGGTTTGTGGAACCCGAGGCAGGAATTTGTTTTCGAATATGTTTAACCAATCGATGAGACAGAACGGCAGGGGTCACGTTCGCTGTAAGGCTGAGTCTTGCAGTCTGGTGTGGAGTTGGCAGCTCCGATGATGGAGGGCAGCGGTTGGCTGCCGCTCTGGCTTTCCATTTCAGTCTGGGACGAGAGTTTTTGGCTGCCCCACAACGTCAGCAGGGCACAGCTGGAAAATTCGCAGGATCCAGTCTACCCCCGGCTTAAGGATTTGTACTTTATTCTCCCCTGGACCTGGGCGATCTACGTATTGCGACTTCTCTTTGAAAGGTAATGGGGGAAAGAGAGAAAGGAAAATACACTTAGAGTAGGAGGAATTTACGTTGGCTTTCCTTTTGCTAAACCGGCACTTCCTTTAATAAAACGTTTACGTATTTCTAATGATTTGAAAGTAATTTATTCGGTAATTTGACTAAGTGGCCGTCAACCCGCGCGCCCCCAAAAGACAACTATCCTCATCTTTTAAAAAGGAGAGGCTTGGTCAGCCCAGCTCGGAACTTCCAACTTCTCAAATGTGCTGGCAATGTTCGGCCGACAGACGTCGCCAGGCAATTGTTGTTCCGACGCATTGTCCACGCTTCTACCACCGTTTGACGCTGCGAATCTTACATGCAGCCCATTATGTTGCTCCTGTGTTCAATGTACACGTAGTCCGACGCCCCCGTTCTTTCCCCCAGCCCTGCACATTTTCCCCTTTGAGTTTATGTAGCTTTTACTTATTAACGATTACAGTGCTTTGAATGTAGTAAAAGATCCCAAGGCCATCATAGAAAGCTTTAGACACTACACTACTTAGGGTGATGGTAACAAGGTAGCCAAAATGGTAAGGTTAAGGAGTGTTTTAAGGGAGGTCAGGGAAGTTCATGAAAAGAATTCCAGGGATTCGAGCCTAGAGTACTGGTCTGGTTACATAAGTAGCGACTAAAATAAGATTGTGCAAGAGTTCAGAATTGGAGGAGCTCGGAGATCTCGAGATTATAAGGCTGGAGGTGCCTAGAAATAGGGAGGGTTGAGATCATGGAGGGATGGGAGAGGAAGGGTTTTAAATTTTAAAATAGTGGTGTTGCTTAAACTGAAACAGTGTAGATTGGTGAATGCAGGGTGAATTGGATTCAGTGCATGTTAGGATAACTAGTGGAGTTTTGGATGAGCTCAAGTTTATGGAGGATGGAAAAATACCTGGCAACAGCATTGGAAAAATCAAGTCCAGAGGTACCAAAGACATGGCTGAGTTTAAAAGCAAATGAGTTGAGGCAGGGACAGGCTGGAGAAGTTTAGGAAGTGGAAGCAGGTGAACCTTGTATTGGAACAGATATGTGAATAAAAGTACATCTTGGGATCAAATACAACCAAGTATGTGAGCCATGTGGCTTGGTGACATGCAGGTGCCAGGGAGATGGATGGAATGGTGGTCAGGGAGCACGGTTTGTGATGGTGATAAGAGACAATGGCTTCAGTATTCACAAATATTGTGAAGGAATTTTTTTGCTCATTCAGTACTAGGATGTTGGGACAGTCTGTGTGAAGGTTTAGAGACGATGGTGAAGTGGAGTTTTTTTAAATTTACATGTGGAAGCTGATGTGTTTTCTAAGGATGTCACCAATAGGTAATCTTTCTATAAAAATAGAAAGGGACCAATGATATATCCTTGGAGGTGACCAGAAATAATAGTGTGGGCACTGGAAGAGAAACTATTGCTGATCATTCTCTGACTACAACTGGATAGTTACTGAATGGAGCCAAATAGGTGTGGTCCCACCTAGCTGGTTGATGGAGGAAGGTTATTTGGAGAGGATGATGTGATTAACCTGACAAAGGCTGCCAACATGTTGGAGAAATTTTAGGAGGAATACAATAGCCATAGACAGAAAGGGTATCATTTGTGACTTTGATCAGGGCCATTTCAGTATTGCAGCAGAAATGAACACCTGATTTGGAGGAATTCAAACATGGATTTTCAGGAAACATCACCATAGATTTGGCTGCTGAAACACCTTCAAGGACTTTTGAAGAAGAAAGGAAGGTTTGAAATAATAAAGGGTGCAATTATGTTAAGTGATATTTTCTGATGGAAAATATGTCGTAAAAGTCCAAGTACATTGTTCTTCATTAACTTAATAGAAACTTTGTTAAAAAATCCACATTATAGTTACATTCAAACTACTAAACACCCGATAATGATAGGCACTGAACTTGTTGTTCAGCGGTGATTATTGTTATGATTTCCATTTGCAGTGTTTTCCCTATCTTCTCTGCTACTCACGTGTTTAAAGACATTAACTGCATACAGATAATTAAATACTCTGCACCTTTCCCATATGTCCATTTATTTGCATGCAATAAAATAGCTTAGTTGAATGTTGGACCATTACAGCCAAACTTAATCCCATCCTCCCCCCAAGGTTCAGTTCCAAAATAGTGATCATAAAACAATCTGGGCCTTCTAAGCTCAGCTACATTTTGGATAAACATGGTAATACACAGGGAGCAATATGTGAAGTGTATAAAGATGGTAAAGTCAAGGTTATGTACATGACTACATCACAGTTGCAAAATACATACATTGGATAAGTAAATATACGAATGACATTGAGTGTTTTCTTTCTCACTTCAAAAAGTATATGGGGTATATATGGATGAGACTATTACTTGGGTAGCAACACACAGCTATGGTAGACTTAGAACATTTGCTGCTGTACATGGAGATGTCGGAGTTTCAAATTTAGTTTGGTGACTTAGTATTAAAATACAGATTTGAATAGAAAGTTAGTTAAATTCAAGTCAACCAGGAAGGACACAACCCATTTTCCTTCTGTGCTTTGTTCCATGGTGTCAAAATTGGGAGAGATTCACTATCCTATATGTTACACTACTACACAGCCATAATTGCTTCCACTGTCTCAGGGCAGACGCAAGTAATTGCTGCTTGAATGAGAAGCATTTCACCCTTTATTCAGTTGAGTGCAGTGGCTAATTGTTTTGTTGATCTGGTGAAGATCAGCTGACACTGCACAGACTAGAAATAAAACTTAGGACCTTCCTGCTCTAGATGACTCACTCACTAATTGTGCAAAATTCAATTAGCCATGAAAAGCACATGTCAGTAATTTTCTATGAAGATATACATCGAAACTAAGAGAATTGAGCGTCCAGTGAAAAGCCACCTGCTTCTGACTAATAGTGATCTACCCCATATTAAAAAGAGTGCTATTAAGTTACACTTTACACTCTACTCCCTGAATGAGCTATCCAGCTCTTTGTTTTTCCAATACCTTTAACAAATCACACTTGTACTTCTCCATGGTTTTGACATCCTACCTATAGTGGGGTTCTCAAAGACAAATATATATATAATATATTAAAATAAAGGGGACCTAATCAATATAGTAATTTTACATTAAAATTCTTGTCTTGGCTACTTGTGCCATGCAATGCAAAAATACAGGATCGTACTTTTTCTCCCCTTAATGAATTTGAATTTTTGTTATGCTGTCAAGGGATTTTCTGGGCTGAGACTTAGGCAGGGGGGAAAAACATACTGAAAGCTTAATTCCCCCAGCACAAGGCTGCATCGTACAATAATCCTGACAAATAACTGTATAGATTGTGTTCTGAGCCCATACTGCAAGTTGGTTAACACCTTTAGCATGTTTTGCTGTAGTCGTCCTCAGTATAAGCTATCTTCCCCAATTTGGTGTCATAGTGTTTATGTTGATATTGTACATCCAATTGTCAGGTTCAAATCATTAATGAAAGTGGTGAACAACAGTAGTCCCAGCAGTGATCCTGTAGAACACCACTTCCCAGCCTCCTCCATTCTGAATAACCATCTTGAAACTCGACTCTGTTATCTCTTTTGTAACAAGTTAGCTATTCATTCTGCTACTTGTCCCTAACTTCACATTCTCTGACCTTAGTCATGGGCCTGGTACACAGTACCTTTACTGATGATTTCTTTAAAAAAAACACAAGAATATTATGTTCACTGCATTATCCTTGTCTTAAATAATGCAACATTATTGGTTAAGCATGATGTTTGAAATCTGCTCAGACTGTTCTTTACTTTTTCTTTCCAGATTTCTTTTCTATGTATCTTTTGAGTAAAGATTACATTACCTGTCCTCCCACCAATATTAGGCTAAATGACCTACAGTGCTCTAGGACCTTTTCTATCTCCCTTTTTAAATACTGTATAGGAGTAACATTACCTGTTCGTCAATGTTTTGGCATTTCATCTTTTCATTTGAATTTTATACATCCATATCTAGTAAGTCTTTGCTATCTCTTCCTTTCGTTTCTTTCGGCATGTGTCAGTGCAATCCATTTCGTCCACGAATTTTTTCCTTTCGGGTTATAATTATCCTTTCAGCTATCACTCCCCTTCCCATCTTAAAGTTTTTGAGATTTTATTTTGACACCTTTTTAAAAGACATGTCTGTCATGTTAACCTCCCTGGTGAAAATTGAGGTGAAGTAACTTTCAATATTTGTGCCATTTCATAGTTATTAGAGTCTTGATTTTATGCAACCCTTTGAGATCCTACCTCCGGCCTTATTTTTATTTTGTTCTTTCTGTACTTGTGCTATTTATTATGTTCTTCCAAAATTTAAATTTTTTGATCTTTGCTCTCCTAATACTTTTTCTTTATCCTCTTATTAATCTAAGATATTTTGTTATTGATTAGATTATACTTTTGTTGAACAGTAAACATTTTCCCTGAACTCACATGAGTGCATTCTTAAAGAATTCCTATAGATATTTTAGCTTTTTTTTTCAACATTTTAAAAAATATATCCCTCATTCATCAAAATTAGCTTTATTGCAATCTATTGCACTTAAAAGATTTTTTAAAACAGTAACCTTCAAAGTAGAATTGAATGGAAGTCTGTTATACTGTGGTTTAATGTTATACAGATTTGCTTGTAGTCTGGGGGTCTCAAGACTTCCAAAAGTGTTAAACCCTTTATTTAAATCTTCATTTTAGTTGTTAAAAATGAGTTTTCTTATTAGTGAAGTTTTTACCTTTTGGACTCTAACATCTGCATTATAATAAACTTCACTGTATGCTTGAACAGCAAAACAGTTACTGGGTTATAGAGAAAGGGCAGGGCAATGTAGTAAATGGATAGCTGTTTGAAAGTGACAACATGGTCATTGCTGGAGGCTGTTGTGTGGTGCAGAATAAAGCCAATGGCATGGATTAATAGAGCAGTAGACCAATCAACCCCTTGAGTCTGCTCTACTGTTGAACAAAGTCATGGATGATTTGTTTGTGTTTGGAATTCCACATTCCCATCTGCTGTGAATAACCTGTAATTCTCCTGCTTCACAAGAATCTATCTAACAATATTTAATTACCCCACTTCCATTTACTTCTGAGGCACATACTTCCAAAGTCTCTCAAACCTCAGAGGACAAAATTCTCCTCACCTCTGTTCTGAAAGGGTGACCCCTATTTTTAAAGCAGTGCCCTCTAGCTCTGGACTAATCTACAGAAGTAAACACCCTTTCCATGTCAACTCTGTCTAGACTGTTCCGGATCTCATACCCTGCAGTTGAATCATGCCACGTTCTTCTAAACTCCAGTGGAAACAAAACCAGCCTGTTCAACCTACCCTTATAAGATGACCCACTCGTTTTAGGTATCAATCGAGGCGGACTACTTTGAAACATCTCTGAAGCATTTACATCCTTCTTCTTAATAAAAAGAGACCAAAATGGCACATTTCTGTTGTAGGTTCACCAATTCCCTGTATAATTCAACCATATCATCCTTCCTTGTATATTCAACTCCTTCTGCAATAAAGGACTGCATCCCTTTAACCTTCTTGATTACATGCTGCATCTGCATACTAACCTTTTGTGACTCATGCATTAGAACACCTAAATCCCTCTGCATCTTGGAATTCTGCAGCTGTTCCTTCACTTAAGTAATGCTCACTTTTTCATTCATTCTGCCAAAGTGAACAACTTCACATTTTCCCACATTACACTCCATGTTCCAGTTTTTTTGCACATTCACTCAACCTATTTATATCCATCTGCAACCTCCTTGTATCATTTTCACAATATACTTTATGCTTACTCTATTTTCAGCCAGGCAGGCAATCTTCTGTCCATGATGATATGATACCCACAAACCAAGAGATTTTATTTTCTGCTATTATGTTTGATTGGCATTCTTGGATTTGATTTCCATTCTGGTCCATGCCAAATTGCCTTTCCCCATGCTTGATGCAGAGTGGTGTCCATCAAGCTATGCATCTTAAAAAACACAAAAACTGAAATTGCTCGCAAATCTCAGTCGGTCGGATCAGCATTTGCAGATACAAATCAGAATTAATGTTTCAAGTCCAGTGACCCGTCTTTAGAACTGGCTATATAACTTGTTCTGTGTTTCTAATAGAGAAAGATCTTTCTGGTTTCTCATTGACTGTGGCTAATTATCTAATTATTGAACATTCAAAGATCCAAATAAAGGAACCATGAGCTAAATGGTTTCGTCTGTGTTGTATAATTCATGGCAAATGATCACCAGTCATGAAAAGTAGCGGTAGACTGTAGAGCACAACTGTTGGATTTTTGTTAGCTGATCGCTCCTCTGTTTGTGATTGGTTTTCTTTGTGTAAATACCCTTAAATTTCGTTTCTTATGGGTTAGAATCTTATTTAGAAATCTGCTTTCAGCTTGACTCGACTAATTCAATCTGTAGTCAAATAAAAATAAAGTACAGCAGATGCCGGAAATCTGAACCAAACACAATGCTGGAGAAATTCAACAAGTCTGGCAGCATCTGTGGAGGAAGAAACAGAGTTAACATTTCAAATCCAGTATGACTCTTCTAGGAACATCAGAGGTGGCTCCTCTAGCCTGTTCTGCCATTTCAGTGGGATCATGGCTGATCTGTGGCCTACCTCAACATATCTCCCTTTGGCCCATATCTCTCAATACCTTTGCTTAACAATTTATCTATCTCCGATTTGAAACAAACAACTGATCCAGCATCAAATACCATTTATGGAAAGGAGTGCCAAACCTCTTCACCCTTTGTGTGTAGAAGTGCTTCCTAACATCTCTCTTGAATGGTCTAGCCCTAATTTTTAAACTATGTCTCCTAGTTCTAGAATCCCCAACCAGTGGAAATTTATCTTTATCTACACTTTTTTTTCTGTTAATACCTTGAAGACTTCAATCAGATCATCCCATAACAATCTAAATTCTAGACAAATAGGCATAATTTGTATAATCTCTCCTCATAATTTAACCCCTGAAGTCCAGTTATCATTCTTGTAAACCTCTGTTGTACTCCCTTCTAGGGGAGTGTCCAGTATATCCTTCCTAAGGTGTAGTGCCCAGATCTGCTCACTGTACTCCAAATGGAGTCTCACCAGGGTTTTGTATAGCTGTTCGTGGCATTTTAAAGATTTTCAGACCTACAATCTGCAGCCAGTTACGAGAGAGAAACATCAAACCAATGTAGAGTGACTTTATTCAATTTACCCCTCCCAGTGAGAAAACACTTGGCCTTTACCCTATACCTCAAATATACGAACAAGTTGAGACATGAGTATGTGTCCTATCACTTCATATCATAAACAATGACAAGAAATACTCCTAAAATAGTTTTGAAAGAAGTCAATAGCAGGTATGATTTTTAGTTCTCGTTGCCTTCTCCTGTTATTAAAAATTCTAATTTAGAACATTGTAGATTTCAGTGCTGCAACACTACAGTACTTGTTATTTCAATATCACTTTTTCTTTGTCAGATGATTAAATTTAAACACATGAAACACATGGATACAGTAATATTGTTTATAATATGTGTGCAGCATACACAGTGGAAACCACAAAATTATATAAATTATTGAACAGGCATCTAATTTATAAATGTGATGTTGTATATAACTATAGTATTGCTCTGAAATCTCAACATTGTACAAGTGTTACTTTTAGTTTAGCACCTTCACGATGGGTTTACAGAAATCAATAAGTATATCTCTCAATCAGTGGCGGGCTCTGCCAAATGCCATGATCTATTTTAGAGGGTTCTGCAAACCCTTTGGATGTGAAATCTCACAAATGGAGTTGTTTTCATTATATTAAAATAATTATGCACTTGGTGACTTTTTTATAATGGTGTGCTTACTGGTATATTCTCAATTTCTGTATTTTAATGGTTTTAGGTTTATTGCAACACCATTTGCTAAGTTCCTTGGAGTAGATTGTAGACCAATCCAGAAGGCTCAGCAAAATGTTGTTCTTGAAAAAGTGTTCAAAGATATAACTACGGTGAGATTACATTGATCATGTCTTTGAAATAATTAGTACAAGAGGATAAGTTTTAGAAGTACATAAGCTAAATAAATAACTTTACACCAAATAGTTATAATATATGAACTGTTTCTAGGATTAAGTATCTCATTTTACTTAATATTCGTTACCAGCAACTTGTCATTATATAATTGTTTGAATGTAGTAGAGCATTTTATACATTGCTTTGATGAACAGGGATCCATAGAGACAAAGAAAACAGACTGAAGGAGGAGATATGAGGGTGTGAGCAAGGAGAGTTTTCTAGGAGGAGGGTGGTGAGGAGTTTAGGGTGGGAATTCTAGAGTATGGGACCTATGTGGTTGAAGCTGTAGCCAGCATTGGTGAGGTGGATGGAGGAAAAGATGCATAAAAGACCAGTCAGAAGAATGAAGAGTTTTAGGGGCATGATATTGGGCTGAAGAAGGTTATAAAGATTAAAAGGGTTTTAAATACCAGGATAGAAATTACAACTTTGACGTGTTGGGGAATTGAAAGCAAGTGAGACTGGAATAATGGATGAGTGGTACTTGATACAGATATGGAGAGTAGAAATTTGGATGTGCTGCAGTTTACAGATTGTGGAGCAAGAGAGGCAAAGCAGGACAGCACATAATAATTGAGCATGGAGATGAACAAAGACATAGCAGTTCTAGACAGAAAACAAACAATGATGATAATGTTGTGAGAGTCTCCAGTAAAATCACCAAGCATGTTTTATGTGAAGTACTAATTCAAAAGTGGACGTTTATTTTCCATTGCCCACAATTATTGATTATTTATTAAAAAAAGGATTCTCTTCAACTCTACACTTCGATATAATGTTAGTCCTGATTTTTACTTCCTTGCTTTGAGTGCATTTTGACTTTGTTGAATAGCATGGTAATGTATATCAAAATTATACAATGAGCTAATTTTGCATCTGGGAAAAGATTCAAGCTGGACAATGCAAAATAAACAGCCTGATGTCTTTGAGGCTGCTGTGGAAAGATCATAAATCTGGTTTCTCTTTCTAGACATTGTCATATCAAAGGAAGCTGAAACCTGCAAAGGAAAATTAATATCAAAGAGCTATTGTAGGTTTCTACATCTACTGGGAAATTGTTATCCTGAAAAATAATATCCTGATGCTTAATAATGAATTTTATGTGGCCATTTAATAATTTTGTAGGAACCTGGTAAAACTCATCTGAATCGTTTGGCAAAACAACTGGATTGGGACACAAAGAAAGTGATACAATGGTTCAAGCTGCGGCGATACCAGGACAGACCAAGTCTGCTGACAAAGTTCTGCGAGAGCATGTAATTGATTTTCATCATAACACTTTTTCTAGTATACTTTTGAGAACTCAAGAGACATTCCTTATTGTTTATGTGTAGAAAGTTTATTTTTCCCAGCATTTCTCTATTTCATACCTCACTCATTGCAGAGATAATGGCAGGACCTCCCAGGTCCCTGTCAATACCTCTTCAATCAAACCCTGCAGCAGAACCTGTTTTTGGGGTGGGCTTCAACCTGATTTGAGGCTATGTATGAGGTGGGCAGCTGAAATTACTTACGGAGAAGGGTGACTGTCTCTTGATGTGTGCTTATTTAGACCTGTGACCTAATTTCAGGCCAGTCTTGGGCATCCCGTTATTGGACAATAAGAAAATAGTTTAAAATGCATGCATTTGACTTTGTTTTATTTTTCAAATTTAAGTGTTTCTATTCACTGTTACACTTTGATTTTCTTGTTACAGGTGGAAGTTCACCTTCTATCTATGGGCCTTTTCATTCAGTTTTTATTACCTATCAAAGGTAAGGAAATAAATCAGTCTTATTTTAAATATTTAATTTTGAACATGTACTAGCACAGAAAACAGATTTTTTTGGGTCTCTCTCAATTTGGTAAAATGTATGTCAATTTTTTTCTCCGCTATTGAGTTTGCCTTTCTTGAAGGTGATTGCTGTTTGGTGGGGTACGATTCTGTGGGTGTTAGTCATCACGTGGTACCTCGGTCAAGTAGCCTTTATTGAGGCCTGAGCCTTGATATCGATGGTTAGTGAGTTATTTGATTGCCAGGCCATCACATCTGAGTCTGATCTGTTTCACTTAAGCCTGTATTCACAGCAAGAGTCATTGGATAGCATTGTAACAAAAGTGAACCCTGTTTTTGTCATGCTGCAGCCAGGTATAGCTTTCTCCCCCACTTTTGTTTCCCTAACTGAGATCAACTCATTCAGTACAACCAGTAATCAGATTTGGACTTTGATTTGGTTGCATAGTCCAGCAAACTCACTAGAGAAATTCACGTAAGTTCTCAAAGGATCTTTGGCTTTGAAAGCTCACTATTTATTTGTTCCGTTCAATTGCACAAATTTACAGATATGTTAATCTATAATCAGAATTCAGTCAACAACTCCGGCACAAACATTTTTTTGGCAGTTTAACACTGAGGAGGCAAACAGCTCAGCTGGGAGTCTGCCAGATTCTTGTATGTTAGTGCTTAAGTCTTGACTGTTGCAAGTTGGGTGAGAATCAGTTGTAGTTTGTGTTTAAAACAGTGCGTAAACTGTAACTCATTTTCTTTGTTCTGTTTTGTACAGTGGTATTGCATTTATTTTTTTCTTGGTAGACACCAATCTTGTGTCAGAATTGATGTGTGTATTTCAAAAAACGTTTGCTTAAATTTGTTTTTTCTTTAAACTGTGTTTCATACAGAAAGTGCATTGACTTTTTAACTTTCTGTATGGTTCTTTCCTCAACAGAGTCCATGGCTATGGAATACCAGGGAGTGCTGGTACAACTATCCCTTTCATGTGAGAATTATTTTATTATCTTTTGATTGATATTAGTGTTCTGGCACATTATTGCATCCTGTGATTCTGGGTAAAAATGAATTTATTATCTTGGCCGTGGAAAATGAACAATTTGAAGGCCTTCATTGGCCATCTCACGAACATTACAAACCCTGATTCACGTAAACAAATCCTCACTCACGACTGTGGTTTAGGGATATTCCAGGGGGAGGAATGGTGGGTGATGGCAGGTTCAGAAGCTTTGTCCTGAAAAATAATTCTTTTGTAATTCTGAGAAAAGCCCTTGACCTACTGTTGCACTCTAAGTGTTGCTAATGCAAAGGATCCATGCTGTATCTCACTTAATTATTATACTTTACTAGACTGTAAATAATGGAATATAGATTAAGAATGAATGAGAAAAAGACCAAGATAATGGTGATAAGCAGAGACATAACCCCAGAAGTGAAAACTGAAGTAAATGGACAAGTCCTGGAACAAGGGCGGCACGGTTGCTCAGTGGTTAGCACTGCTGCCTCACAGCGCCAGAGGCCTGGGTTCGATTCCGCCCTCTGGCGACTGTGTGGAGTTTGCACATTCTCCCCATGTCTGCGTGGGTTTCCGCCGGGTGCACAGGTTTCCTCCCACAGGTGGATGTGCAGGCTAGGTGGATTGGCCATGCTAAATTGCCCATAGTGTTCAGGGATGTGTAGATTAGGTGGGTTATAGGGTGATGGGTCTGAGTGGGATGCTCTGAGGTTCGGTGTGGACACTGTAGGGATTCTGTGGATATGGATTTGTATGAAAGTGAAAGAATTCACCTATCTTGGGCAGGTTATTGCAGGCGATGGAAGATCTGGTTGTCAGAATGAAAGATGTGTAAACCTCAAGGAAATTGAATATTAAGAAAAGAATGAGGTGCTACATTTTATCTTCTGTGTTGAAAGCCTCAGAGCAATGGACAATAAACAAAGAGACTATGTGACATAAAGAAGGATGTTCCACTTATCCTACACAGCCAGTATAGACTAATGAGGAAATGCAGGAATTTGCTGGAGAGAAAAGGAAACAAGCCAATAAAATCAAATAAAAATTATGATACTTTGGTCATATCATTAGAGCAGATAGTAGAGAGAGATTGTTATTGGAAGTGAAGACTGGCAGAAAACATAGGAGAGGGAACAGAGGGGAAAAAATGGATGATGGATGTAATGGACTGGATGCAGCTGGCCTACTCAGAATATGTAAGGTCAGCACAGGACAGATCAGAAATTGAGATTAATGGCAGTCAAACTTCTGGGATCAAGATGACTCCATTAATGAATGAAATACTGGCAAAAGTTTTGATCCAGGTGATCACAGCTGAGCCAAATCCTGTCCCTGTGTAAAATCTGCACACACAACAGGGTGTTACTGGATAATAATCAGTTGTAGGAACTTTCTCTTGGTCTTGCTTCTTACCTGTTTGGGATTCTTGGGTCAAATGTAGCATACCTACTGCTGTTCATGTAACCGAGGTTAGCTATCTCAGGCCAGATGAGGACTGAATACTGTGTATTTTTTCTCAATAACATACCATGCAGTAAATTTACAGGCTAGCTAAGGGAGTGTAACATAAGAATACTTTTAATAGGCACAATTAAAACCATGAGGACAGGGTATGGCTTGATTTTTAAAAAAAGCATATTGATCACTATATGTCTTTCTCCTGCATTAACCTAATAGCCGCCTTCAGTTCCTTTTTACGCAGGATTACTTCAGATATACAACACCAAAACAGACAATTCAGACCAACTAAACTGTGTTCCAGTAGAGCCTTCTTCCATCTTTCTTCTATCTAAATCTATCACTATAATCATTTTTTTTTTCTCCTTTGTATGTTTGTCTGGTCTCCCCTCAAATAGATCTTAAATAGTCAAATATTCACTTAAGCACAACTTGTAGTCAAAGGTTCCATATTCTCAGCACATTTTGGGTGAAGATATTTCTTCTCCATTCCCTACTGGAATTCTTGCTGACTATCTCAAATTGATTGCCTCAAGTTGGACCATCTTGTATTAATTGCCTGTAGCTGTGGCTAGTCATCGCAAGAAGGAAGTACTCTTTGTTTCCACCCTATCAGGACCTTTCATAATTTTAAATATCTCCATTATGTCACCCTTGGCCTCTTTTTTTCCCCTAAGACAGAGCGTGCAATCTGTCTCTGTGTATATTCATGTAATTATCGTATCATCCTCGTAAATCATCTGTATACCCTCCTGAGTTCCTCAATATCTATAAGCACTGCATTTTTCTTGATTGTATATGTGGGAAAGTGTTATCTTACAGAAATAACTTACATATTTAATAATTTCTTTTTTCTTTTCTGATATTTACACTCATTGAGTATAAAAGAAGATACAAAGTATTTTAGCTGTACATAGCCATTTGTTTTTAATTGCACTCTCAACTCGTGTCTACTTCCGTGTTCAAGCAACCACCAAAGATAAAGCTATCCAAGTTTTTTGATCTTTCTCCTGATAAGTCTACCTGTCTAACAAGTTTATCCAGCTCCAACCTTCTAATATTTTCTTTCAAATCCGTCCAAATTCTTTCACTGCATACACCCAATAGGAGAACAGCTTTATATTCTCATTTGGAAGGATGAAGTAAGGCTCACTTTTGTGCCAACCTCACCCAATTGCTTGAACAAACTCTCAAAATAGTTTGGAAGTTTTTCAATGTATACTTAGTTAAAATAGCAGGTTGATATTATTTCCAAATTGTTTTCAAATTTTCAAAATACAGTATTTGTTACTTAGTTTGATTTTTACACACGAAATTCTGGGGAAGATGTGGTGCAGTGTTAATGTCACTGAATTAGTAATTCAGAGAATTCCATCCTCCGTCTTCGCTGTACAAAACTCCAAATACTCCTTCCAGGTGAAGCAGCAATTACGTGTACTTTTAATCTAGTCTACTGAATTTGCTGCTTACAATTCTGTCTCCTCTCCATTGGAGAAACCAGGTGCAGACTAAGTGACTGCTTTGTGGAACACGTCCGTTTAGTCTGCAAACATGATCCTACCTTTCAGTCATTTGCCATTTCAGTACGCTCAACTGGCTCTCACGCTCACGTTTCTGTTCTGTGTTCTGAGTGATCCAGTGAAGTCCAGTGCAAGTTGGAGGAGCAGCTATTAATTTTCTAGTTAGGCACTTTACACCCTTTTGGACTCAACATTGACCTCACCAACATTAGATCATGAACTCTGTCTTATATTTTGATACCTTTTTTCCATTTTTCCCCCAGTTTCTGCATCATATTTTCATACTTTTGTTTTCAGTCTGAACTCACTTTTATTCTGCCAACAACACCTAATCTAAACCAATGCTTTGTTGCTTCTCTACAACCATCACCATTCCCTTTGTAATTTGTCCTATGTCAGCTTTGATTTCTTATCTCTTTCCAACTCTAGCCTTTCCCTGACCTTTCCTCATGTTCCACTTACCCCTTCTCCCCACCCACCTTTTCAATAGCTTAAATCCAGAACATTTCTAGCTTTCTTTAATTCTGAATAAGAATCTCATTGGCTTGAAATGTTAACTCTGTTTCTTTCTCTACAGATGCTGCCAGACCAGCTGAGATTTTCCAGCACTCTTTTTTTTTTTTATATATATATTAGCAGTCCAGAGGCCCAGGCTAATGTACTGAGAACATGTTTTCAACTTCCACAATGACAGCTAGTTGAAACTAAATTAATACCTCTGAAATATGCAATTAGTCTCAGCAAACATCATTGATTTGTTTTTAATATCCATCTGCTTCACTGTTTTCCTTTAGGAGAGGAAATTCACTATCCTTACCTCCTGTCTGGCCTACATGTTACTTCAGACCCATAGCAATGTGATTGCCTTAACTGCCTCTGAAATGACCTCGCAAGCCTTTTAGTTTCAAGGGCAACAAATGCTGGCCTTTCCAGCAACACCCACATCCCATGAAAGAATAAAAGGAATAAAATTCAGAAGAAGTTCCCTAAAATATGAGTCAATCTAATTTTTAGTTGTGGCCAAACTACTTACTATAGAGTAAATAAACACTCTTTAATATATGTCTGATGAAACGTTTGCTCCCAGAGTGCAAATTTGAAGGATATTAAATATATCCAGCTTTTTCCACTTCAATGACCGATGTGCAAAAGACAGGCTAACCTTGTTTTGTCCTAAGAGTGTGTTTGAGTCCACCTGAGCTGATGTGAAAGAGTCCTTACTTTATCAACCATTCCTGTTCTAGATATAATGAACTCAGCCAGTTTCTAATGAGTGCAGTGCAACAAATTAATCTACCAATAATTGATAGACAGACAACATTTTTCACATGGAAAGCAGCAGTTATATTGATGAAGTATGTTTTCTGGAGATTAGAAAAGAAAAAAAGTTTGTATCATTATAGATCTGATCACATGGACAGGGCATCCTAAAGATCTCGTCTGCTGCATGGTATTTTCAACAATGTATATTCTTTCAGATAATTTGAGTTCTGAAGAAGAATCATATTATACTCAGTTAATTTTGTTTCTCTGTTCACATATGCTGCCAGACCCGTTCTGTTTCTCTAGCACCTTCTGTTATTATTTCAAATTTCTAGCATGTACAGTATTTTGCTTCTTTATAATAATCTCTTAGCACTCCACCAACTTAATTATGATAATTATTTTGAGTTAGTACAAGGAATCATCCATTCAGGACTGAGATGATTAGGAACCCAAAGAGCCAGATATCTCCAGGATTATCCACCCCTAGGGACAGCAGACAATCTGTCTCTAAGTACATTCGGTACTGAGATTGATAGATCATTAAGCTCAAAGAAATCATGACCTGGGGCTTAAATCCAGCTCAAAGAAAGGACTTCCAACAATTGAATGAAGCTCCTGGATACAGATGCATTGTTGGACCATTGAATGGAGAACTTTGCATTAACTTTTGACTTTGTGTTTGATGGATTCAATGAATGGAAAAGTCCTCAGCACTGGCACCACTCACTGAAATGTGCAGGATTTAAAGAGAAAATTGAAAGCTGGTGCAAAGTTTAAATGTTTTTCAGTCTAGATTTGAGAATGGCCCAGGCCTATATAACCAGAAGTCAAAAAACAAAATGAGCAGAATAGCAGATTTGTTGATCTGCTTGTGGTTTAACATTTTGTTATTATCCTTTGTAAATCAGCAGTACAAACCCTAATGTTTAACTCAGTTACCTTCCTTGCCTACTGAGTAAACAAGATTTAATATGCAGGATCTCTGAGTATGTCTTCAATGAATTTATGGGAAGTTTCCACTAGATGGGCAGAGGATTTTTAAAAAAAGCGCTGGTAGCTTGAGAAAGGAAATGGTTGAAAAATATTCTTATCACTCAAAGGAAATTTGTTAGAGAACAAAAAGTTAAATCCTGTCTCCTTCCCTTTTGTGCAGGAACTTTCATTTCAAATCTACATACACTACATGATGGAATTTGCTTTCTATGGATCACTGATATTTTCACAGTTTTTTGATGTTAAAAGAAAGGTAAGATTGCCGCTGAGTTCTGGTCACATGATGATGTGTGCCTATTGATATCTCATATAAACTAATAGTCAAGATGATGACATGATGGCAGTGTCTGGTGTTAAAATGAGTGTTCAAACCTGTTTTCCCAATACTCCATGGGATGTCTTGTCCAGCTCACCTAAGTTAGCCCCTTGTTGATTGGGTTTAGGGCAAGGTTGGTATCAAAATCAGAGAAACGTACAACACACTGAAAGCATGTTTGAAATTCGGCAGAGCAATAGTTTAGAAAGAAAAACATGGGAGGATGTGCTGCAGGGATCCAATGCCATATTTATCCAATGGATGTACTCAAGTGAACAGTGGATTACATTATGCATTGTATCTTGAAATGGAATGTTAACTGACTCATTTGGTAGCACTGTTGCCTTGAAGTCAGAAGATGGGAATTTAAGGTCTATTCCATGATTTGAGCACAAAAACAAGGCTGACACAATGGTGCAATCTGAAGCAGTGCTGTACTGTTAGATGCAATCCTATCTGCTATCTAGTGGGCATAAAAGGTCCCATAGGACTATATAGAAGAAGAGCAACTAGGACAGTTGATATTTATCACCCAGTCAACATTCCAAAAAACATTATCTGGTCATTTATCATATTGCCATTTTTGGGAGTTGGCTCATGAGTAATTTGCTTCTGCATTTTGAAAGTAACTACACTTTGAAAGTTCACTGTAAAGTGCTTTTGTACAGCCTGTTATCTTAAACATTACATAAATGCAAATTGTTTTAGGTGTCGAGCATGCTTTTATGGATTTGGATATAATCATAAATAAAAAAAATGATTAACACTGATTTTATGGAAATTAGTGCTTTATTCATTTAATAAGTTAAAATGTAACCATCCTTTCATTGTGGAATTTATTTAAGAACATAAGAAATGAAAGCTGGAGTAGGCCATCTGGTCTTTCAAGGCTGATCCACCATTCAATAAATCTTTTTGTGGACCCAGCTCTACTTACCCGCCTGCTCACCATACCCCTTAATTCCTTTACTGTTCAAAATCTGTCTATCTTTGCCTTAAAAACATTCAAAGAGGTAGCCTCAGCTGCTTCACTGGACAGGGAATTCCACAGATTCACAACCCTTTGGATCAAGAAGTTTCTCCTCACCTCGCCCTTATTTTGAGGCCATGCCCCCTAGTTCTAGTTTCACTCACCAGTGGAAACAATCTCCCTACTTCTATCTTACAGAAACATAAAATTATGAAAGGAATAGACAAGGTTCTCCCCTCCTTCTAAATTCCAATGAGTGTAGTCCCAGTCTACTCAATCTCTCCTCACAAGCCAACCCTCTGAACTTCTTCTGCAGCCCGTCCAGTACCAGTACATCCTTTCTCAAGTAAGGAGACCAAAACTGCATGCAGTACTCCAGATGTGGCCTCACCAGCATAACCAATGAGAACAACATTGCATTTGCATTCTTAGTTACCTGCTGCACTTATAAACCAACGTTTTGTGATTCATGCGCAAGGACACCCACATCCCTCTGCACAGCAGCATGTAGTTTTTCACTATTTAAATAATAGTCTGTTTTGCTATTATTCCTAGCAAAATGGATGACCTCACATTTACTAACATTGTAATCCACCTGCCAGATCCTTGCCCACTCACTATCTAAACACCATCTGCAAACTTTGTGTCCTCTGCACTGTTTGCTCCCCCACTCATCTTAGCATCATCTGCAAACTTTGACACACTACACTTGGTCTCCAACTCTAAATCATCTATGTAAGTTGTAACCAGTTGCGGTCCTGACTCTGATCTCTGACGCACACCACTAGCCACTGATCACCAGCTGGAAGAAAACCTATTTATCCCTACTCTGCTTTCTGTTAATTAACCAATCTTGTATCCATGCTAATACATTACCCATAATGTCGTGCACCTTTACCTTATGCAGCAGCATTTTGTACAGCACCTTGTTGAATGCCTTCTGGACCCCCAAATACACCACATCCACCAGTTCCCTGTTGTTCACTGTGCTCGAAATGTCCTCAAAGAATTCCAGTAGATTAGTTGAACATGACCTGCCTTTCATGAACCCATATTGCATCTGTCCCATGGGACAGTTTCTATCCTGATGTCTTGCTATCTTTTCCTTGATGTAGATTCAAGCATTTTCCCCACTACAGAAGTTAAGCTAACTGGCCTTTAGTTACCCACCTTTTTGTCTATCTCCTTTCTTAAACAGTGGTGTCATATTTGCAAACATTTGCAAAATTTAATTTTTGAATTCATTCTCATTTGAAGGACATATTTATTAATGTGGTTCTTTCTGCAAGTGGGATTTATTCTTAGTTTTATAAATTTGTTCATGGCATGTGTTTGCTAGCTCGGCAGGCATTTATTGCCTTTGTGAAGGTTGGTGAACAATCGCCTTCTTGAACCACTGCAGTCCTTGGGATGTAAGTACAATCAGTGCTGTTAGGAAAGGAGATCCTGGATTTTGACACAGCAACAGTGAAGAAATGGCAGTACACTTAGAGGTCACGATGATACATGGCTAGCAGGGAACAGGCAGCTGATAGTATTCCCATGCATCTCTTGTCTTTGTCTTCCTGGTAGTAGGGGGCCACAGGTTTGGGAACGTGCTATTGAAGGAAGTAATATCACAAATTGTAATTATGGTGCTGGACATGAAGGTAAAATAAATCCCAAAAATGAATTCAGTGACTACCATTGTTTGATGTTTAATCTGGGAATTATTTTGGGTAGTCCTTATTGTTTCCCTGGATTATGATTCTGCTTTGTTGGTGTTTAAACAATTATTACTGATCACAGCATGGTAAAAAGCAATGAAAACTGTTTATGAAAGGTGAATGATGTAGTATTGGCTCATTCAAGCTTTTGTGGAATACAAAATTACACATCATAGTACCTCTTGGATTTGCTAAAAGTGTCAAAATATGAAGTAAATGCCACTACTTTATCGTAAAGTGTACTTCCCATAAAAAGAAAAAAAATTACAGACAACTATTGTTTTCTGTAACACTTGCCCAGTTGTGTACACTCTTCGTTACACATACCACAATTCAAGGTTCCTATCTATAAGGTGACAGTCCACAAGTTTACAAGCTCCTCCCTCAACATTCGGATTAGAAATGACATGTATAGTCCCCACAATGTGTTCACTTTCTGCAATGTTTTAATGCTCAGAGAACTAAACTACAGATTTGCATTTTACCACAAAATTTTAAATAATTATAGAACTCTGTGTCCACACAAATGGAAAGGAGCTGCATATATCTGGAAATTCAGTACTACTTCTTTATTTCCTCAAGATAAATTCGTTTGCTTTCATACTAATATTGAGAAGTTAAACTGTATCCCATTGCTATGCCAATTGTTGCACGCTAGGGATGCCCCAGGCTAATCCCTGACCTGTAATTGCAGAGCTCAACCTGGACAGCATAGTGCATTTGGATTATGGAGAGAAAGGCAGGCAGGATTCCATTTTCGTAGGAAGCTCGAGTGCACAGACATTTGAGGAAGACATGATTATATTATCTTTCCATTATGTTGATAGCCCGCATGCCTGAATTGGTCAGGATTTCTATGGCAAGTAGAAACCCTGCCTTGTTCAAATACATTCTATTCAGTCTTCACTGATTGTGTCTCAATTGTATATACAAGAAAGATTGACAAGAGAGCTAAGTGTTATGGAAGGTGGGCAGACAAGTAGAATTAAAACCACAATCAGATCAGCCATGAGCAGCTCAATGACATCTTCCTTCTATTTCTGATGTTTGTGTAAATTACTAGACAATTGCCTGTCAAACTATTATCCTATCATGTCACTGCCTGCGGGAGATGAGGAAGGAAGTTTGGATTTTTGGTGAGATGAGAGAAAATATGGTAAGGAAGCAGCAAAAAGCAAACTGAAGAATGTTATCCTCAGTGTCAAATAAAAACATTGTTCTTTTAAACAAATATTCTACTTTTAATTGAGATATTTGTTCCACTTCTTTTAATACTGATTTCCTCCTCATCCCCACTGAACAAAATGTGTATTACCCTCTGGTTCTGGTTTGTTGCTGTACTCTGGTGTACTGTAATTTGAAGATTGAAGAAAAGTCGGGATGAGTATCATTGGTAGTAGCTATTGAATGCATATCAGCAGCAATCTAATGGAATTTTGCTTTCAGTGAAAGGATTGTCAGAATAGTTCTAAGAGAATTTAAAAACATCGTCCCTCAGACAATGCAGCATCCCTCAGCACTATATTTGTGTAACAATCTAGGTAATATCTCAAATTCCTGGTTCAGGGCTCAGATCAACCTGACCCAAGAGAAAGAGTACTAGTCACAAGTTTGTGTCCCCTTAGCTGGGACTGCAGTCTACAGATTATATTAGAAGTGTGATTAGCACTAAATAAGCTAAATTATTAGCAATGAATGGATTGAAATGAGATAAGATGCAAATAATTTAGGTTGCCTTTCACTTCTTTGTTTTTAGGATTTTGTTGTCATGTGTATCCACCATCATGTCACCATTCTGCTACTTACAATTGCGTATGTTGCCAACATGACACGGGCAGGAGCCATTGTTCTCCTGTTACATGATGCAGCTGACATTGTTTTAGAGGTAGGTGTAAGAAATAGACTTTGAAAGTAGAACATTGCTTAATCAGTTGATATGTACCAGCTAAGCCACCTATTTGCATTCTTACAATGCAGATAATCCAGCATAGATATCCATTACCCAGGTAATTATGTGGTAATGAAATCAGTTCTTCAAAACTGTTGTTAAAAATGGCAGATTCAAATGTATCTGGCTCAGTAGGTAAATTACTGTAACCAGGTTTATGGTATGTGCTTTCATTCAGCTAAACTAATGATACTGTATTTTCTTGAAAAAACCATTAAAATTGATGATGCAAAACAACACAATTGACTTATCAAACTATGCCAATATTTCCTCTCTTCTGCAAATGACCTATTCTAGTCACTCAATCCCATTGAAGTTTTATTTTCTAATCAATCTGCTCAAATGTTATTACACACCTGTGAAGCAGGCCTTCTGGTTCAAAAGTAAATTATGTACTCTGGCCTGTTTTCCTGTACTCTTTCTGTCTTTCCTTTTTAAATACTTAGCCAATTTAAATGAAGTCCCAAAGCTACCCGTAGATTGAAGCAGTCTGCATTCTAACAACATCTTGTGTGTTATAGGCACTTTTACCTTGCCCATTCACTCTTTTTATACTTTTACTATTTGCATTCCTACAAAAATCCATTAGTCCCAAAATTCCAAAGCCCATGCTGTCTGACTGCAATGCAGTAATGTTGAACTTAAAACTGCCTACAATAAAGGATGAGGATGTGGACTCCCATCCCAAATGTTGACAGTGTCATTAAGTAGATGTGACCATAGCAGGCACAAATGCCAATAAGGAAATCAGAGTGTGACACCATTTCTTTCTGATGGCGGAGTTGAAAGAACACTTTTATATCCCTGTGCCTTATTCTATGATTAGGTGATTTGTATCTTAAAAAAATTGAAGATTGCAGGAATAAGAAAAACACTTGGCAAGGTGAACCAGTTTGCCTTTTTGAAAACGTGTTTGTAAAATGTTTGGGCTGGAGGATAGAATGGTGCAGTTAATTTAATCAATTTAACACTGTAGGATGGAAGAGGTGCATTTAGGGCAGTGTAAATGTAGTCTAGCAGCCTCAGAAGGCTAATCATCATATCATTGATAAACTTTATAAACATTGAGATGAGGAGAGCGATTTGCTTTGACATGGATTGCAAGGGTTAAAAATTAAAAATCACAGAGGGATAACATGTTCAACTATTATGAGAATGTTTCTCTTGACTGCTGTCCAGGATCATCGTAAGATCCTGACTAGAATGAGAGCGGCATTCAAACATTAGATGGATTTTGGGATTCTAGAGAAATGCTGAGAGGAAAACTTTTTTGAAGAAAGATTGAACAAGGCTTCCTGGCATGTTTCACAATGGAGTTCTTGTGAAAATTCCACTTAAGGGGAAAGAAGGTAGATGAATGTCAATAAATGAGTAACAAAATGTTAGGAATTAAGAAAATTTGTGAAATTAGAGAATGAGCATCAAGAGAAAAGTGGAAAATTGAGGCATGAATAGTTACTGATACAACAACAAGGAAATGCAAGGAAGAGTATAAAGCTCATGGAATACAAGAGTTGGGAGCTTATGACGAAGCTGTATAGGACATTGATTAGGCCACACCTGGAGTACTGTGTGCAGTTCAGGTCAAAATATTGAAAGGACGTGATTACTCTGGAGAGGTTGCAGAGGTGATTCACCAGGATGTTGTCTGGGCTGCAGCTTTTCAGCTGCGAAGAGAAGCTATATTGGCTAAGATATAACACATTGTGGGTCTGGAGGAACACAGCAGGCCAGGCAGCATCAGAGTAGCAGGATAGCTGATCTTTCGGATCGGGACCCTTCTTCAGAAATGGGGGAGGGGATAGGGAGCTCTGAAATAAATAGAGAAAGGAGGGGTGGGGCTGGGGAAGGTAGGTGGGATGGTGATAGGTGAGTGCAGGTAGGCAGTGGTGGGGATTGGTCAGTAAAGTGGGAGAGAAGATGGACAGGTCAAGGAGGCGGGGATGAGAGGGAGGGTTTGGTCATGGGATGAGACAGAGGGTGGGAGATTTTGAAGCTAGTAAACAGACACAGGGGGTGGCCATGGGAACCCGCATGGGCCCAAGCTATGCCTGTCTCTTCGTAGGATACGTGGAACAGTCCCCCTTTCGCAGCTGCACTGGCACTATTCCCCCACCTCTTCCTCCGCTATATCAATGATTGTATTGTCGCCGCCTCGTGCTCCCACAAGGAGCTTGAACAGTTCATCAACTTTACTAACACCTTTCACCCCAACCTCAAGTTCACCTGGACCATCTCTGATACCTCTCTCTCCTTTCTGGACCTCTCTGTCTCCATCTCTGGTGACCACCTCGAAACTGATATCTGTTTCAAGCCCACCGACTCCCGCAGCTACCTAGACTACACCTCCTGTCACCCACCTTCCCGCAAGAATGCGATCCCCTACACCCAATTCCTCCACCTCCGCCACATCTGCTCCAAAGATGAGGTGTTCCACTCCCGAACATCCCAGAGGTCCTCGTATTTCAAGGACCGCAACTTTCCCCCCTTCAGTGGTCGAAAACGCTCTCAACCACATCTCCTGCGTTTCCCGCACCTCTGCCCTCACACCCCCTCCCCATAACAAAAGCAAAGACAGAATCCCCCTTGGCCTCAGTATCGCCCGACTAACCTCCAGATTCAACACATTATTTTCCGCCACCTGAAATCTGACCCCACAACGAAAGATAAATTTCCTTCCCCACCCCTATCTGCGTTCCATAAGGACCGCTCTCTCTGCGACTCCCTCATCTGCTCCACACTCCCCACTAGCCCTACCACCCCCAGCACCTTTCCCTGCAACCGGAGGAAGTGCTACACCTGCCTCAACACCTACCCCTGCACCTCCATCCAAGGACCCAAAAAAACCTTGCACATCAGACAGATGTTCACCTGCATATCCGCTAATGTGGTCTATTGCATCCGCTGCTCCCGATGTGGCCTCCTACATCGGTGAGACCAAGCGGAGGCTCAGAGACTGCTTTGTCGAGCACTTGCGCTCGGTTCGCAACAAATGACAACACTTTCCAATTGCAAACCACTTCACCTCTCCCTCCCACTCCCTGGATGACATGTCGATCCTGGGCCTCCTCCAGTGTCACAACGATGCCAGCCGGAAACTGGAGGAGCAGCACCTCATATTCCGCCTTGGGAGCCTACAACCCAATGGTCTCAATGTGGACTTTATTAGCTTCAAAATCTCCCCACCCTCGGCCTTATCCCATGACCAACCCTCCCTCTCATGCCCGCCTCCTTGACCTGTCTGTCTTCTCTCCCACCTATCCGCTCCTCCCACCTCACTGACCAATCCCCACCACTGCTTACCTGCAATCACCAATCGCCACCCCACCTACCTTCCCTAGCCCCTCTCATCCCCGCCTCATAGAACATAGAACAGTATAGCACAGTACAGGCCCATGGGCCCACAATGTTGTGTCAACCTATTATCCTACTAAGATCAAACTACCCTGCATACCCTACATTTTACTACCCTCCATGTGCCTATCCAAGAGTCGCTTAAAAGTCTGTAAAGTATCTGACTCCACTACCATTGCCAGCAGTGCATTCCACACGCCCACCATTCTCTGTGTAAAGAACCTACCTCTGAGATCTCCCCTATACCTTCCTCCAATCACCTTAAAATTATGCCCCCTCGTAATAGTCATTTCTGCCTAGGAAAAAGTCTCTGACTATCCACTCTTATCTATGCCTCTCATCATCTTGCCTCCTTGACCTGTCTTCTGTCCTACCTATCTCCCTCTCATCCCCGGCTCCTTGACCTGTCCATCTTCTCTCCCTCCTCACTGACCAATACCCACCACTGCCTACCTGCACTCACCTATCACCATCTCACCTACTTTGCCCAGCCTCACCCCTCCTCTCTCTCTCTTTATTTCAGAGCTCCCTTTCCCCTCTCCCATTTCTGAAGAACGGTCCCGCCCTGAAACATCAGCTTTCCTGCTCCTCTGATGCTGCCTGGCCTGCTGTGTTCTTCCAGCTCCAGTTATCTCTGACTCCAGCACCGGCAGTTCTTACTATCTCTGTATTGGCTAAGATTGTTTTCTTTGGAACCAAGAAGGCTGAGATGGAACCTGATTGAGGTCTACAAAATCATGAAGGGCACAGACAGGATTGATAGGAATAAACTTTTACCCTTAATACAGGGGTTAGTTACAAGGAGGCACAGATTTAAAGTAAGGAGCATGAGGTTTAGAGAGGATTTAAGAAGAAACGTTTTCACCCTCGGGGCCATGCGTAACTGGAAATCACAGGGTAGAGAAAGACGACAGCCATTACAACATTGAAGAAGTATATAGAGGATCACTTGAAGCACCATAGCACCCAAGACTATGGGGCAAGTGTGGGGATTAGAGTAGATAGTTCTTGACATCTGGTGTGAACTCAATATGATGTAGTTATTTTGATCAATGAGAAATGTTGCCATTAAGCGGTACATAGATTGGGTGCAAAACCTATAACTTTGAGTGAGAGTGGATGCCTTACACTTAAAATAAGAAAATTCCTTACATTTCTGGCAAATCAGTTGTAGCATTGAATCAATCATTATCCGTAAATATCGCTGGAAACCACATTATAGAGACCAAATGCTGATAAAAGCAGGTTAGAACATATCTGTGGAGAGAAACCGTTCAACTTTTGGGTCAAGATGATGTTTTATCAAAAGAATTTTGAAGTATCCAGTTTCATTATTTAGAATAAGAATGTGGGTAACTTGCCTCTTGAATGACTACTTCCTGCAAGTTGCATGTTTATGTGTGGGCAGGGACAATTTTCTTAAAAATTTATTGATATGTTCAGAGCACTAATTACTATTTCCTTTTAAATACAGCTGGCTAAAATGGCAAACTATGCTAAATGGCAAAAGCTCTGTAACATCTTCTTCTTGATGTTTGCTGTGGTCTTCATTGTGACCCGACTGGTAATATACCCCCTCATGTAAGTAACATCTTTCTAAGATTTGCACAGATAAGCTTAGTTTCTCTTGGTTAAGGAGATGAAAGATTTTCAAATGGAATGGTTGTCTTTTTTCTTTTACATATTTTTTTTCTTCCTTCCCCTTCTTCTCTTGAGTGTGTTGGGATATCATAAACTCCAGTTACTCTCTGGTGCCTCAGCTAAATGTACACGCTTCCTATCTGAGCCAAGATTCTAAATATCGACAGATTGTATGCAGTATTTTGACATCAGGACTTCATCCAATGTCCATTTACATTAACCTGTTGGCAACCAATGCTGATGACAACTGAAATAAAGAACTGTGGATGCTTCTAATCTGAAACAAAAACAGAAAGTGCTGGAGAAACTCAGCAGATCTGTGCAGAGAAAAAGTGTTAACATTTTCAAGTCCAGTGACCCTTTGTCAAAGTTCTGGACTCAATGTTAACTCTGTTTTTCTCCCCAAAGATGCTGCAGATCTGCTGAGCTTCTCTAGTGTTCCTGAAAACAACTTCTTTGTTTATTTTTTCCAAACTAATGCTGAAATTGGCTAACTCAGCACAGACTGGGAATTGAACCTGGGATCTTCTGGTTTGTACACATCACCATTGCTAACTTTAACTTGGGGGGATAAAGGATGGCAACAGCCTTGACAGTGACTCGGATTCCATGAACAAATTAGTAAAAGACAGGCAGTTTCACTGACTCAGGAAAGATTGAAATTTAGAAGTTCAAAATTCTAAATACTCCATTTTAAATATTCACATTTTGCAAATTAATGCTCATGAAGTTCTGTTTGTGGTGGCATAATAGCATGAATGAGTTGGCATCTCCACTGTAAAAGCAGGAAGCTTTTCAGTTTATTCCCAGCTTAGTATTACGATCAAAGTTTTAAAAAATAATTTGGATGTATGCATGTGATACATTCAAAAACAGCAAAAATAAGGCAATTGAATAAGATTGCAAAAATTGCTTTAGGTTGTGAAACTGAAATTCATGAATGGTTGGGACATGCCAAACCTTTTCTATGGAAAAAAAAAGTATCAATAGCAAAAGTATACTTTCATATGAAATTCAACAGTGATAATGCTCACTTCGATTAACTATTTTGGATTGAGGAAGAAGTTTCATGAAGAAACAAATTCCATTTTATTATCTGTAATGAACCATGATTTTGAGTATGACAGGTCAATAATTTGATTAATAAATGTAAGAAATTGTTCCCTATAGCAATTAACAGTAGGGAAACACTTCAGATTAAATATCCCCAAAGTTAGGAGTAGTGGCACACCGTGTATGACTGATGTGTTTTATCCAAATCATGAAGAGGAAGAGGTTCAAATTGATTTCTGTGGCCTGTGTTCAGATAGACTTCTTGTTTTCGTCGAGGGAATTAAATCTAAATGTTGCCCAGCAAATTGAAGATTTTAATTGCAAAATTGAATTTCAGGAATTCAAAATCTTGGACTGCCTCACTTGTCTCGGCTCGTTGAGGTTCACTGTGTCTCACCTATACTGCTTTTGAGGTCGTCCATTTGACCAAGCCTTGCTAAGTTGTCTAACATGTATTTGAGCAGCTGTTGCGAAGGAATCTATCTATCCCATGCACTCAGCAATTGAGGTGGCAAAATCTGTAAATGAGTGGAAAAGGAATGCATAGTGTTTTTTATTACACAAAAAGAGTATACATATTTCTTAGAAGTAGTGAGAGGTTGTTTGGCTCAACAATCTTCTGAACCATTTCTACCAAGTTCTTAACTGCCTCCAAAGAATGCATCTGAGGACATAATTTCTCTGTTTGCTAATTTTAGTGAGTTAATTTACATAATTTTAATTAATATTTTCTGGGTGATACTGTTAAATGAGCTTCACTTGTGATCATGCGTATCTTTGGGACTGCATACTGATTTTAGCCAGGTCCACTTTATCCTGTAACTAGCAAGGGGCAAATAATTGGGTAGATTTTAATTCTAGCTGCCCATGCGGTTTCTAGCAGGACATGTTGCCTATCCTTCTATGTAAAGGGCCTGATTTTATTCTTCTGATTCCAATAAATCTTTAAAGACAAGTGATTCACTCACTAGATTATTACCTATGTGATGAATATCTCTTCTCTCTTCCCCACCCCCCCCACACCTTCACAATAGAACATAGAACAGTACAGCACAGTACAGGCCCTTCGGCCCACGATGTTGTGCTGATATGCTACTAAGATCAATCTACCCTGCATACCCTACGTTTTACTATCCTCCATGTGCCTATCCAAGAGTTGGTTAAAAGTCTCTTAAAGTATCTGACTCCACTACCACTGCCGGTAGCGCATTCCATTCGCCCACCACTCTGTGTGAAGAATCTACCTCTGACATCTCCCCTATCACCTTAAAATTATGCCCCCTCGTAATAGTCACTTTCACCCTGGGAGAAAGATATTATAGCTTTTAATGTGTGTACCATGCAGTCTTTCTTCGGACCATCAGATTTTATGAATCAACTTTTCAGAAAACAAACAAGCCCATTAATAAGACAATTATTTCCCAAAAGATTACCAAGTCATAGAAAATCATGAAGGAGCACGTCTTGACCAATGACCCTGGGCAGGGTTAACTGGAAATGAGCAAGGAGTGATTAAGAATTAAATTAGACTCGGCTATCATAACCCTATGGTCAACCCATACGATAAATATCAAGTCAAACTTATTCAATAAGATCATGGCTGATCTGACAATTGTATGATTTAAATTTTTCAATTTTGAATATTACACATACAGCTCTTCAGCCTAGCAATGTGTTTGTTTATTTTACAGGAGCATCAGATCTGTGTTTTATGAAAGCTGGGAGATCATAGGACCATACAAAATCTGGGGCTTCATTAATCTTCTTCTTATCACGCTGCTGATTATGCACATCTACTGGTCCCATCTAATCATTCGTATGGTGTTTAAAGCATTTCATAAAGGAAAGGTAAACACCTGAACTTATCATTTTCAGTAGATTATGATTAGGAGCCTGAAAGTGTGGCAAACAGTATAAAATTGGTTTGATTGAAGCCAAAGCAAAATATTGCAAATGTTGGGCATCCACAATAAAAATCGAAAATGCTGCAAATCCTCTGCGGAGTGAATGATCATATATTTGAAATGTTAACTCTGTTCATGGCTTCACAGGGGCTCCTAGACTTGCTCTATATTTCCAGCATTTTGTGTTTTGATTTTACATGGTTTGGTTGAATCTTTGAGAGTTTGTCATTCTTTCTTTTGAAGGGAAGTAAATGATTTTGCTTACAATGAAATATATTGGGGGAATGGAAGACTTCTAATTCAATTTTCGTCTCCCATTGTCAAAAGAAAACTCCCTTTAATCTGTCTCAACATGAACATGCAAATTAGGAGCAGATGTAGGCCATTCGGCCCTCAAACCTGTTCCACCATACAGTAAGATTGTGGCAGATTCTGCCAACCGCTGTAACTTTTTATCCCTTTACTTACCAACAATCCATCTACCTCTGCCTCAAAAGAGGAAGCCTGATACATTATTTGCCCAAGGTAAGTCTGACATATTGGGTAAGAGAGGAGTTAGAAATTGTAGGGAGTGTGACAAGATGGGGTTTAGGGGATGGGTTTTGCCAAGCAGATATGTGAGAAATAAAAGGGGATACCATCTTAACAGGGGATCCCATTACAAAATCACACATTCTGTAGACAGTATCCCCTTTTCCCTACTGCTGTTTTTATAATTTTTTTTTAAGAAGTGGGATCCCATTTCCACACACCAAATGTAGTTTGAAATGTGCAGTGTATTTCAGGGTCACTTGAGCTTCTAGCAGTCTCAGTTGACTCTTAATTATGTATTGATGCATATGGTGATCAGACCACTGATATCAGCATCCAGCCACCACTATATTATTGGGCTTAAACAGAAGTTGCTGGAAAAGCTCATCAGGTATGGCAGCATTTGTGAAGAAAAAATCAGGGTTAACATTTTGGGTCCAGTGACCCTTCCTCAGAACCAAATCCAAAACGTTAACCCTGATTTTTTTTCATCACAGATTCTGCCAGACCCGCTGAGCTTTTCCAGCAACTTCTGTTTTTGTTCCTGATTTACAGCATCCCAGTTCTTTCTGTTTATATTATTGGGCTTGTAGGGAAGGCGATGGGCCAGCCACCTATAATATGTCCTCAACTGAAGACACACCTAGCATGGGCACATTATATCCAGCACAATATATCTGAACCTTACCTCAAAAGTCTGTACTCAGTTGTACCAGTGTGAATTCTTTCAGCCTCCCGCACAAAGTCTCTCGGGTGAGAGTGCCAAGAAATATTAAGGATCCACATACACTAGGAATTGGTCAAAACATCCAAACTTGTTTTATGGGTTGGATTCATTCACTGGAATCACGTTTGACAGATGATTGGAAGTTGAAGCTCCATTGTAGGATATGAGACAATAGTGTAGACTAACACTTCATCTCCATGCTTACAGCGTTGCGTTTTTGACACGCTACTAATGTTTATCCGGTACAATCATAATTCAACAAAGGCTGTGAACTTGACTACCTGATGCACAATCAGTCAAGTCATTCACTGCCGGATCTGGTCTCAATGTCAAATTATATTATTCTCTGTTTTCTCATGCTATGACTACTTACTACTCCAGGATCATTGTGGAAGTTAAATTCGACACTTCCAACTTCATGTTGACTATGTCCTAAACTATGTTTAGAATACCTCATTTCATTTTCATAGCACCAAGACTGCCCTGACCAAACAAATTATATTCTCTGTGACAACAAGAGAATTGTATGATTGTCAACCCTGCAGCAGTTAACAGCAGTTAAAGATCACATCATCTTCCATTGTCTTTCCAGCTACCTAAGTCATAATGTTGGAGATAGCCATTGTCCTCCTGGCTCTGGCCTTGTGTTAAAATCAAATTTCAGTTTGAAGACTCTCAGGATATCTAGTAGGATGCCTTGGAATTTTTTTAAAAACTACCTTCATACGAGAATGATGCTATATTTCATCCACTGCAAAGTCCTCCTGGAGATGCTGTCCCACTGTTTACATTTAGTATGGTTGGGAGTTGGACCTCTGACTCACCCTAGAGTTCACTCCTATTTTTAAACTCAATGCATTAAGAATTCAGTTGCATCTGTCCAAATGCAACAGTATAATTCCACCTTGTTATCCTCAAAAATTTTCAAAAATGGCGCATAATATCTCTGACGTTATCATTCAAGCATACAAATTAGGAACAAGAGTTGGCCATTCAGCTCCTCTATCCTGCTCAACATTTAATAAGATCATGGTTAATCTGATTGTGGCCTCAACTCCACATGCCCACCTATCTGAGATAAACATAGTCAAGAATCTTTCCACCTCTGTCATTAAAAATATTCCCCCACCCCCACCTCCACTCTTTGAGGCAGAGAATTCATGACCCCCTGAGAGAAAATAAATTCTTCTCATTTCTCCCTTAAATGGGAAATCCTTTATTTTTATGTTGTGTCCCTCTTCTAGTTTCTCTGCCAGTGTAAACATTCTTGCAGCAACTGCTCTGTCAAGTCCTCTCAGGATCTTGTGTGTTTCAGTAAGATCACATTACTGTTTTAGAATCCAAAGGTTATAGGCTGAACCTGTCCAACTTTCCCTCATTCATTACCCATCCCCATCCCAAGTATCAGGTAAGTCAACTTTCTCTGAATTGCTTCTAATAGATTTACATCTTCCTGAATAAGAAGACCAAAACTGTACACAAAGGTGACCTCACAAATGCTATACACTACCATAATAAAACATTTCTACTTTATATTCAATTTCCCTTGCAATAAACAACAACAAAGAATGGAATGTTCCTTTTGGAACATCCTGAACTGCAGGAAACAAAATGTAAGCATCCTTGATTGAACATCCAAAATGTCCTATTTTTTTCTTGATCGTTAGGTGTCCAAAGATGATCGAAGTGATGTGGACAGCAGTTCAGAGGATGAGGATCAATCTGAACAAAATGCCCACGCAAAAACATCATAACAGCCTTCAAAGTGACTGACCAAGAAATTCTACAGTTTCTCAGGATGCAAGTCGAAACTGCAAAAGAAACAGGAAGCTTTTTATTTAAAAAAAAACTGTTCTCTGCTATGCAAAATGTGCATTTGAGACATAATTGGCTAACAATGATTTATTGTGGACTGTTTACATAAATCTATCAAAATTATAATTATGATATTTGCTAGTTCAGAGTATTATACTGCACTGTTATGGCCCAAATGATGATAAAAAGGTGAGGATATTTTAGCATGAGTGAACTCTTTTTACTTTATTTCTAAAAATAAACTCATAGGCATGCTATTTTTAAACAACACAATCCAGCTTCATAATTTGAATAAAGTAAAATTGAGTTTTGAAATTAAAACTTTACATCAGAAAGATACTATTTCAAGATAAAAGAAATGGCTTCACTGCACTGAACAGGGTAGGAATATTGGTGATGTTTCTAGTCCTGAAAAGTAGATGTTGGATGAGCAGGATATGAAGGTGCTTTTCTGTCAGAATTTGAATAGATATCTGGCACTAAACAGTTTAAACATCAGCAAAAAGTGCTGACTTTCTAAACCAAAGTATATCATTGTCTGTGGAACTATGTTGCAATATGTCTGGCAACCTTCAGCAGGAGAAAGAAAGAAATATTATTCTACACTTTCAAAAATTTGTAACTTTTTTGGAATTGATGGGATAAAATAATTAGATTTTTCTAGGTTTATTCAAGTGCGTTGCGTTATCTGAATGTAGCGAGTATTAGTAAAGTTGGCACTTTCCTTTTACAAATGGATAACCTGACATGGGCAATTTTCTGAAATTCTCTGCACTCAAATGATTGTGCGCCCAGCCACTCAGATGGAAAAATCTCTCAAAGACCTGTGTATGTGCTTCTTAAAAACTTCTCGCTATGCGTGGATTTTAAGTGCTCAAATGGGAGTGGGTGGGCACTGTCATCCAGTGTTTTTTTATTCTTGAGAACTGAAAGACCAGTCAAACTTGTATATGTGATGAAATAAGTTCTGAGTACAGAACAAACCTCTAGATTTATCATTGGGCTATGAAGATACATCAAAATACTTGTGCAAAGCGTAAAGTTGTTAGAATAAATTCAAAGATGCTGTAAATGTGGGTCCAATAGCATCTGTTTCAAGTTGATGACGAACCAGTTCTACAGGGCTTCTGCAAAATGCCACTGCTTGTATGATTAAAACAGTAATAAGATGTCACTTCCTCGTTGACAATGTAGCGAATGGCTGCTTCTTGATAGTTTGCTGTAACTTGCAACAGCATGGGTTATAGCTGTCAGCAGAGAGAATGAGATGTCAGCAAAATAGATACACCAATGATTGACCAAAGGCAATGTTTCAAATTAGTTAATGGAGCCAACACAGTTATACTTTCCATATTTCATTCTACATGTGATGTTTTCCTACCTCACCAATGTGGTCTGAAATCTTGTGTTTCAAAATTTTTATCATTTTAAATGGGACCTATTTGAATGCAGAAAACAGCTAACTATGTATGATATAAACTTGGAATAGTATAGTTTCAAAGTACTATGGCTGCCATCTTGAAACCATAGAAACTGGAATAGTCTCAGCCTTCTGAAACCTGTCCCACCATTCAATTAAATCAAGGCTAATCTACACCTCAGCTCATTCACCTGATTACTTGTCTTTATCCCTTCATACACTCACTAGAAAAAAAGACTCTAGGTCTTGGTCTTGAAAGTTTCAGTTGACCCAGCATTAAGAATCCTTTGGGCAAAGAATTAGATTTCCACTTCCCTTTGTGTACAAATATGTAACTTGATTTTTATTTTTAAATAGAATAGTTCTTGATTTGAAGAGTACGTTTGTTTGTTTTGGATTTTCCTCAACAAAGGAAACAGATTTTCTGTATCTGCCCTATCAAATCAATCCCTTTATCGTATTAACCACCTTGACTAGATCATGCCTTGACCTTCTAAACTATAGGAAATACACAGCCTGCTTCTACAATTATTCCTAATACTTTAAACCCTAGTATAATTTGAGAAATCTGTGTTGGCTCGGTGTTTAGCACTACTGCCTCACAGCGCCAGGGACACCTCAGGCGACTGTCTGTGTGGAGTTTGCACATTCTCCCCGTCTCTGCATGGGTTTTCTCAGGGTGCTCCGGTTTCCTCCCACAATCCAAAGATGTGCAGGATAGGTGGATTGGCATGCTAAATTGCCCATGCTGTTCAAGGATGTGTAAATTGGGTGTATTTGCCGTGGGAAATGCAGGGTTATATGAGGGGGTTGGGAGGTGAGTCTGGGTGGGATGCTCTTTAGAGGGTTTATGTGGACTTGTTGGGCCAAATGGCCTCTTTGCACACTGTAGTGATTCTATGATATAAGGTGAACATCATTCTTGAAATATGGTGCCCAAAACTGAATGTAATATTCTAGGTGACAGCCAAGTAAAGTTTCTGCAAAACTGAAACATCACTTTCTCACATTGGCATTCCAATTCCCTTAAGAAAAGAGCCAATGTTATATTAGCCATATTGATTACTTCTATATCTGTTTGCGTTTGTGATGATTATGGTACATGGATGCCCAAATCCCTTTGCTACTCGTAGTTATTACTCGCTCACAATTAAGAAAATATACTGATGTGATTGGTTGGATGGAGAGTGAATATGTTTAAGTGTCATAAGCAGCAGCGATGATACATACTTTGGCAAAGTGGTAAAGCATTTTAAAATGCTTTTGTTTAAATGAATCGTGAAGCACGTGTCAGCTTCTTGTAATTAATTTTAGAGACTTCTTAAATCACCTTCAGCAGTATCTCTCTAGCCACAAAACTAATTGATTAGACTAAATTTCATACCGTATTCTCTCATAAATATACACAGAATTCAAGATCTCAATACTGGTCTCCTTTGCTGCATCTGGGTGTATAAGACTTTGATAGCACACAGAATGTTCTCTGCTGATCTCCAAGATTCAGATAGCAAATTAAAAGTATGCTAGTCTTTTCTTTGGACAAGATGTTGCTGAGACTGAGGGAATACTTATGTTTACCAATTAAAATAAGTGTACTTTCCAGAAATGGTGGGAGCTGTTGTGATGTAGTGGTAGTGTTCCTACCTCTGAGCCAGGAGACCTGGGTTCAAGTCCCATTTAGTCCACCGGTATGTAATAGCATACCTGAATTGGTTAATTTAAAAAAAACTACTTTCTAGAAATGGAAATTATATTCCAGCCTCGTAAAGCTCTTCAGTGCAGCAGGTTTTAAAGTGATTGGTTCAAAGTTGTCCCTCAATTCCATGATGATGTCTACTCAAGATTGCAGATTGCGGATTGCGGATTTCTATTGATCTGTCTAAACAGGACGGTTCATAACATCTTCAGGCACATGGGGCTGGTCATCACACAAGGCAGTGGGATCAGGAGCACAGGTTTGCTTCCTTTCATTTCTTGCTCTGATTCCATTTTACCTCATCATTAAAGCATTTGGACTCAAAGCATGATGCAGCTTGATGGACAATTTGTCACCATTTTTAATGATTGGTAGCAAGTTCCCACTAACCATTGTCATTAAGGTTAACGTTGCATACTGCAAGAAGATTTTCAGTGTTTCTTAGTCATTGTTTGGAATTTGTGAATTGGGGAAACAAAACCTGGCAAGGAGGATGATTTTTGGCCATCTGTTGCAGTGTCCAGTCCATTATAATTGATTATGCAAACGTTTTGTCTGATTGTTTATAGAGCAACCCTAAAGAGGGACAATAGCATTTGTTTACTTGTCTTTCAAATTAATCCAGAGAATGTGGTGGAGGTATTGCTGGTGCAATTTCTCTGGCACCATGTCTTGGTAACTGCTATTTTGATGCTAGATTACTGACAATTGCCTGCTTGTATCTTTGTAACAACAGTACATTGTTGCTACGATACATGCACCACAGAAACAATAAATTACATTTATGCAGCAGCTCTGATGCAGTATAACAGGAATATTATCAGGCAAGAAATGACATTGAGCTCCTTTAGGATATTGGGAAGAGGTGAAACAACTTAGTCAAAGAGCTATTTAAGAGGCACCTTAAAGGGAGAGCGCGGTAGAACCTTTTTTTGGAACGGAATTTCAGGGTTTAGGACTTAGACAGCTGAGGCCAGATAAGAACGCGAGAGAAACGCCAATCTTTGAATACCAGCTCAGAAAATTTAGACATGAAAAATCAGTGTCACTGATTATATACAAAACTTAAATGTATCCACAGTTCGTACGCGTGGGATGAATCCTGAGGTCAGTTCTCTGTAAATCACTAGTCAATACAAAATAGCACTTTAGTACTTCATTATATGATTCAAGCATAAGACGTTGTACCATAGGCAAAAATAGATTTGAGAAAAGCTACGCTTAGTTTTTTGACTGCTTGTCTCCTGGCCGTTCCGACTGTGTCATCGCCAGTATAACATGCCTGGTAACTACTGAACCAACTAAATAAACAATTGGCTGTAGTGACAGAAAGCTCTATATTTCCCTAATGGTTGTTTTGGTGTTTTCCGACACTAAAGTTGATGGGCAACTGGAAAGAGCGAGCTGAAGAGCAGAAGTTGGAGGAGGGGCAGGAGAACCATCGGGAAATCTCTCGTTTAAAAGCGAAACATTGCTGAAGGGAGGGATCAGCTAAAAATAGCGGCATCGGCATCTGCTCTCTGCCTCACACACTGGAAGCAGTCACACTCTCTGCGAACTTACCCCACAGTTTAACTTACCACTGAAGTGTTACGCTTTATTTCTTTCCTCTCTTTCTTTAGAAGTTTTGGTAGAAATTTGTTGAGGTGACTATGTCTGTATCAGAAGAAACTGACCACAGGTATGTAACGGTAATTATGTGAAAAATGCTAGACCCAAAATTTAATGATAGTGATTTGGAACAAAAGGTATTTTAGACCTACAAATCTAAAGGTCTTGAAAAGCAAGTGAGTCCTTTGTTCACCAGAAAAGGCTGTTAGTTCACCCAGTGTAAGTGTTGTTGAAATTAGTTTGTTGGGGTTTGGAATCTTAATGGCGAGCACTTGAATTCTGAACGTGGCCTTCATAATGATGGCAGCAATAGTCCATGTAGTCGTCTTGAAGGTGCTGGAGACTGAGGGAAGGGGTAAACACTTAATCTTTGATTTTTTTTTTTCCTTCTGGGTTGCACAGTCCAAATCCAAGACTTTTGTGAGGATTGCTGGCTTTGAGCTGATGCTTGGCAATTCGAGATTGAAAGCAAGGAGGTCCTCGTGGCAGTTTCAATAATTCAATGTAAAATAGTCCAAATAGAAAACTGCTGGAAAAACTCAGCAAGTTAGGCAGCAGAGTTGATGTTGCAGGTCCAGTAACTGGTCATTCAGAAGCTGCCCAACCTGCTCAGTTTTTCTAACAATGTTTTGTATTCTATTCTAGATTTCCAGTATCCCAAGTATTTTGCTTTTATGTCAGTAATTTGATACGTATATGAAATTGTTCTTTGGAGATGAGGTTGTTAGCTTGCTCGTCGAGCTGGCTGGTTATTGCACAGACGTTTCGCCGCCATGCTAGGTAACATCATCGGTGCGGCCTCCAATGAAGTATTGTTCTACTCCACTTGGTATTTATATGATCCGGTCTGTTAAGGTGGGTTGTATCATTTCTGATTCTGTTCTGCATGGGTTTGTATATGGGGTCTAATTGTTGATTGTGTTATGGGTTGAAACCCAGGCCTCCAGGAATTCCCGTGCATGTCTGTGATTGGTTTGAGCTAGGATGGAATTCCTGGAGGCCTGGTTTTCAACCCATAATGCAATCAACAAACATGTGGAATTAGACCCCATATACAAACCCGTGTAGAGCAGAGTGGGAAATGACACAATCCAACTTAACAGACTGGATCATATAAATTCCAAACGGAGTAGAACAACGTTGCTTCATTGGAGGCCGTACTGATGGTGTTACCTAGTGTGGTGACGAAACGTCTGTATGATAACCAGCCAGCTCGGTGAGCAAGCCAACAACCCGAGCTACAAATCTTCGCAAGAACCTTTTAAATGTTCTTTGGAGAGTTTGAATGGGGTTAGATGCAGGACAGATTAGATGGGTTTAATGTTTGTAAATGCAAGGAACAAGGCAAGTTTGGTATTGACATGCAGGCCCAAGGAGCCACCTGATCTGATGACAAAGTTGCAATAACAAAGACCTGGCTTCAACAAAGGGAGGAACAGGCACTTGATATTTCTGCCTACAATACATTTAGAAAGTAGAGGGAAGGACAAAGCAGAGGCAAGAGTAGATGGAAAATGCTGTGGCAGAACCAGAAAATGATGATGTACTTGAGGGTTAAAAAACAGAACTGATTTGATAGGAATAAGGAACAATACAGGAGTTATGATTTTGCAGGGTGCCTACAATAACACAAGTAAATCAAGAGAAGGAGATAGTAGAGCAAAATTCTTGGCAAATTGCAGAAGGTTGCAAGAACTTTGAAGTAGTAACTATAGGGATAGTAATCCAAGTTCCTCTTGTAAATCTTTTCTGCACCCTCTCTAATGTTTTCACATTTTTCCTAAAGTGTAGTGCCCTGAATTGGGCACAATATTCCATGTTGAGGCTGAACCAGTAATAAATGAAAGCCAGTATTTGATTAACCTGTTTGAATTATTTGATTAGATAATGGAGAACCTTGATGAGGGTTGTCTGCTTGATATTTTTAAATGAACTTCCAAATGATGTTTGAAGAAGTAAGAAACTTGTTAGCAAAATTGAATCATATCAGATCAAAACAGCACTGGATAAGTGGAAATTGGTTCAGGGACAGAAAGATAAATGAAGAGAAAGGGGTTGACTTGTTTTTCGGGGGTTTGAAGTTCTTCCCATTCGGCTCCAGATAATCTTTCAATCCAATATCTGCACATTCCTAACTGATGAATCAGAGCGTTGTGATGGTTCAGATGATTAAACCTCAGTAATCTGCATTATCTTGGGTATCCTAAAGTTCAAGTTCAGCCTACTTAATGTGTAAATGTCCTAAGCATGAGTGAATAATATTTATCATAACAAGGAATGAAATTCCACTTAAAGCAAGCAAAAGTGCCACTTAAATTGACTTCTATATTTTTTATTCTTTGATGGGATACGAGCATCATTGGAAAGGCCAACATTTGTTGCCCATCCAGAATTACCCTTGAAATGAGTATGCTGGAGACATTTTAGAAGGCAGTTCAGAGCTAACCACATTTGCTGTGGGTCTAGAATCACGTGTATGCCAAACAAGAAAATTTCCTTCCCTGAAGGATCAGGATAATCAATGTTAATTCCTGGTCACGATTACAGAAATTAGCTTTCCGTTTCAGATTTTGTTAAACTTAAACTCCACCAGCTACCATGGTGAGATTTGAACCCATGCCTTAAGAGCTTAGGTTTCCATATTACTAGTTCAGTGACATTACACTATACCATTACCATCCTATCAACAGACTGATAAGAGAGCTCTCCTTTACTCGGGATTATGTTATTTCTCCTGTCTTATTTTTACTTGGCACAGATCCATGCACACAGCCCATACCAGAGCATTTGGGTAAATTGGGAAGTTTGTTTTCATTTTGATGAAGTGTTGAGAGTAATTTGCATGTGATCTCTTGTAGGTGTGACTTTGCAGCATGATAATAAAGGTGCAGTATGACTTTTTTTTATTCCACTTTGTCTGCTTCTCAGAGGCTGGGAATTCTGCAGTGAGTAACTCACATCCTCACCTCCCAAAGCCTGTCTATCTTGTTTAAGGCACAAGTCAAGTGTTTAATGGAATACTGCTCCTTTACATGGATGAGTGTAACTGCAACAACATTGAAAGATTCATTGTGGCAATTTACCAAGTTTCCCTTAAGAGCAGCTTCCAAACCCATGACCTCTCCACCTAAAGGGACATGACCAGCAGATATACGGGAACACCCCCATCTGCAAGATCCCCTCCTGGTCACGCACCATCCTGACTTCAAATTATATTGTCATTCCTTCAATGCTACTGGTTCAAAATCCTGCAACTCCCTTCGTTGTGGGTGTATCTACATCCTATAAGACTGCAGCGGTTCAAGCAGGTGTTTCTCCATCACCTCAAGGCAACTGGGGATGAGCAATAAAAGCTGGCCTACCTAGTGACATCCACACCTGAAAATGAAGAACAAAAATACAGAATTCAAAGGGAAATGCACATCTGTTTATTTTTATACTGCATTTCTGAGGTAGGGAAACCACTCACTGACCTGAAACCTCAAGTTTGAAAGTAATTTATTGACCATCAATTGACTTGAGTAATTTACGACTAAGTGCTGTTATCTGGCTTTCCATTGGAGATGCTTGAGTAGTATCCTTAAGTAGTAGCTCAACAACTAAAGGCATGCTTCAGCTTTAAAAACAATGCTTGAGTTTTCATACTGTAAATCAGAAAGCAAAGGGTAGATTAATAGGTGGGACTTGATTCAAGTTTAGACATGGCGCCAGAGTTTTAAATGATCATGTTTGTAGATGGTATAACATTTATTATGGACCAGTCCAACCCCCCTCAAAATATATTAAGAAGATCGCCTAGACCTTAAATTTTTCTTTTTTTTTTTTAAAGGCATGTGTAAGGCATTGTGTTCCAGATGCAATTTGATAGGTCAAACTACAACGCTTGAAGCAAAACACACTTTATTCTTGCACTATAGTTAAAATACAGACAAAATAAGAATAAGAAAAAAATTAGCTTAACTGTAATTCTATCAAAATACTTTTTAAAAAAAGTTAACTAGCATTGATTAGCTGTTCCAAGGTAGTAGCATCCCATAAACACACCCTTAGCAAAGGCAAGGTCAGTAAAATAGATTGTCTCACATGCAATTCCATCAGCAGGAAGAGAACCCCAGCTTTTAGCAGTAACAGAGAGAGGAATAACAGTTTCCACATCCTGCTTCAAGACCCCAGCAATTACTGAAAGCTAAAACTAAAATTCTGATACTGTGGGAGCTTGACCCCACCCATTTGTGCTGCTTCTTTTGTCTGCTTTTTATAAAAAACCATCTACATTGCTGGGCTCAGAGCATACAGCTCGGCAAGAAGTTTACAACACTTTCTTTATAAAGAAACAGGACAGAACAAATCCATCTTAAAGGCACATCTCGTAACACATGAACTGCAAAGAAATAACCAACTCTTAAGGTAACATAGGTACATAGAAAATAGGAGCACGAATGGGCCATTTGGCCCCTTGAGCCTGATGAGCCATTCATTATAATCATGGCTGATCATCCAACTCAACAGCCTGCTCCTCCTTTTCTTCCATATCCTTTGATCCCTTTAGCACTAAGTGCTAAATCCAACTTCTTGAAATCATACAGTGTGTTGGCCTTGACTCCTTTCCATGGTAGCAAGTTCCATGGGGTCAACATTCCCTGGGTCAAGAAATTTCTCCTCATCTCAGTCCTAAATGGTTTATCCTGTACTTTAGACTGTGACAAACATATAGATGTATAACAACTGAGCTCAGGTAAAGTGGAAGTTGGGTGGTGTTAGAGAACTGGAAACAGGTAATGATGTTGATTGTGATAAGAAACTTACCTTGGGGTCAAATATAACACTAAATTTATGGACAGTCTGATTCAGCCTCTGGCAATACCAGGGAGAAGTTTGGACTGAGTGCCAAATTTAAAAAAAAATGGGGTTAACATGATATGTAAAAGACCAGAGTCAGAGGAAAAAGTGAATCAGAGGAGATTGTAGAACTACAAAAGGCAGTATTATAACTATTATTGACCTCACAGCTGCTCAGTCCACAGGCTTTAGCATCTTTGGCAACTACTCAGGCCTTCACCTCAGCATTTGATACAGTTCAGTTGTCTAGGTCTGGAATTTTCTCCCTGAAAACATCTCTAGCTTCTTCTGGCAGCATCTGTGAAGGAGAAAACAGAGTTAACATTTCAGGTCCGGTGACGTTCCCTCAGAAGGTTCTGAGGAAGGGTCACCGGACCCGAAACGTTAACTCTGTTTTTTCCTTCACAGATGCTGCCAGACCTGCTGAGCTTTTCCAGCAACTTTGTTTTTGTTCCTGGTTTACAGCATCAGCAGTTCTTTAGTTTTTTTTAATCCAGCTTCGTCTGCTTGTTAAGGCACTCCTTTAGGCACTTGCCTGTCTCATCAGACCTTTGCCTATCTTCCTAATATCTGCCTTTTTGTCTCAGCAACCTTCTTTACAATTTCGCATCTGTGAAGTGTCTTGGGATGTTTTCCAACGCTAGAAGATGTATATATAGTCACTTGTTTGGTCTTTACTGTTTAAGGAATAGTGAACAAACTATTGCTGTTACCAATTGCATATTTACAAACAAGCTGGATCTATGTAATATTGGTGAGATGACGGTCTTCAAGCTTTTCTAGGCTCCAAAGCAAAGTTTAGAAGATTTTGCCCGATTATTTCCAGATGGGCATCCTGTAGTTGTCTTAAGAATTGCTGGCAACTATGGCAGATGCCACTAGATAGAGCATTTGGGATTCATGCTTGGTCTTGTGGCACACCCATGACTTTGTAGGTTTAAAAAGTCCTATTATCAAACTTCATACATAAAGCAATATTGCCTATTTAAAATAAAAGGTTCAATATCTGTTTATCTTAATTTCACTCTTGTGAAGTCACCATCCATGGCTTAAAGATTCAAAATAAATGCCCTCCTTTTTACTTTTAAAAGCTAAGGCCTTAAGAACTTTTTTTATTTCATGGTTTGTAGATTCAATGGCTAGGTGAGCATTTATTGCCCATCTCTCAATTCAATAGCCTGGAGATGGGTGGTGGTGAGCTGAATTAAAGAATGACTAACTATGCTTTGCTTAACTTTCATTTGTTCAGACAGCCAGCAAAGACACAATGGTATGACCGTAAAAATTATGTGTTTGTTGAGTTCTGCGTAGAAGATAGCAAGAATGTTGATATTAAAATTGAAAAATTCAAACTGATCTTCAGGTAAGAAACTGTTGTGTTTACTGTGAATTAGTTATTTTGTTGCATCGATTACTGTAACATGTATACTTAAAAGCAAGTCAAACTCACATTGTGCATAGGTGAAGACGTAACTCTAAAATGATACTTAGATGATACTAATCTATCATAAAATGACTTCTTGGCCTAAAATGCCTATTGTCATTGAGCAGGATGTGAGAATCCACAGTTTATAGTAATATTATTTTGGAGCTGTTCTTAAGTCAACCTTTAGGCGGACAGACTTATTTTAACTCATAGATACTGCCAGAAACTCTATCTATAAGAAAGCTTGAATGTGATGCTGATTAAGACTAAATATTTTAACTGCAGCCAGATGGCACAATGTTGTGGAATTCCAATGTTCTGTGTCATGGAGTAGGAAGACGTACTCTCAGTTTAGTATATTCTCAATTTCAATTATATCATTGTGAAAAGCAGATGTGCAGTGTTGCTCACAGAGGGAGAAATTTGAACTAGTTACTTTGTCCTGCTTTCACCCTGCTTATTGACCAAATGTAGGGCAGAGATGAGAGGGAGGATATGAGGACACTCAAGATAATCTTAAATTTACAAAAATCCTGGTGGAGGGCAAAGAGGGTGAGTTCCAAATAATTTTCCTGATTTTTGAATTGGCTTTATTGAATAGAATTAGCTTGCTTTGAGTGCTGAGGTGAAGCCTGTTGCTTCTCTTCTGGATCAAACCCGAGATCTGGTTATGACCTGAATGAACTCCTGCCAGTTGTGCATGACTGATGATTAGGGAACTATTAAAGGCAGCTTTACTCAAGGAAAATAAAATGCGTAGGTTGTAAATACAGGCAATCATCCATATATTTATATGAAATAATATGAAAAATTATAATTATCAACAGTTTTCTACATTCTAATTTTAACAGTTGCAAATCAGCAGATAACACGGAACTCTACAATAACATTGAACTGTACAGCAAAGTGGATCCAAATGTAAGTAGATACCATTCAGACACACTTCAGTATAACCCTGGATAAACTGATAGGCTAAAGCCTATATGTTTCATAGAAGAGTTGACAGTCCAATTCTGGAAAATTATTGCTTTGACTGTTTAAATCCATGTTGTTGTCAATACATTGCCAATGTAGTGATTGACAACATTTGCTGATGTAGTGCTAAGATACTTAAGTCAAGCTTTCACTTCTTGCCTGCACTAAGCTGGATGATCTCAAGACTGAGCAGCAGTTAAGTTGGTATAGTTGGCCCTTCTTCCTTAGGACTAGGAGTGGGAAGAATAATTAGTCTTCCTGTCCAGATCATTTTCCAATATTCCTTGCTGGAAAGTGTGCATCTGTAGATTTGCATACGTCAGGAGTGAGAACTTTGCATCTATCTGAGTTTGTTTTAATGAGATATTTTCCTTTGCTGTTTCTGTGCTCCAAATCCCATTATCCTTCATCCTTCCTAAATGTGTCCTTCCATTTAAATTTTCCTGCCCTCAGCCACACTATCTCTATCTCTGGCCTCTCTTATCTCACGGTTTCATTAACACTTCTAGTTTCACTATCATTTCTAGTTTCTCTGTGTTGTTAGCAAAGTTCTTTTTAAACTCCAATGTCTTCTGCTGCAACTCCTCAGAGAATCCCGTTCAGCAGCAAGGACAGAATGAAACTTTCGTTTGGGGGAGAATCTCCTTGCAGAATCCTTGACATGAACTTCTGTATTGGGAACACGGATTGCAGGCTACATAGGACCACTTGATGGGCTTGATTCTGGGCCTAGAGAGCTGCCTGTTGGACAAGCCTCTGTAATCACCTATCCATGCCTCTCATGATTTTATAATCCCTATAATGTCACCTCTCAACCTCCTATGTTCCAGGGACAAATGTCCCAGCCTATCCAGCCTCTCCTTATAACTCAAACCCTCCAAGCCCTATAACATCTGTGGAAGATTCTATTTATGTATATTGCAGCAAACATTGAAAATATATGCTTTCACTTCCCTTCTCCCACCCTCCCACTCATGGGTTAAAAATGTGGCATTGAATGCTGGTCAGTGCAGTCAAGCTGTTATGCCTGATCAAGTGACTACCAAGATAATCACATATGGACTTCCTTTACTTAAAAAAGAGGTTTAATCGCTTTCACTTTTCCTTCAATTGACAGGATTCGAGACACAAACGTTCAGACAGGTCAGTAACACTCTTCATGAGGAAAATTGATGGTAAAAAAGCTTGGCCAAGACTGACCAAAGACAAAACCAAGGTATGGTTTTCAGCTAATATTTAAATTGCCACGACTTGGAACACTTCAGGGACATTATTATAATGTGTACCTGTCCAACAGAGTCATACAGCATGGAGATAGACACTTCAGTCCAACTCGTCCATGCCGACCAGGTTTCCCAGACTAAAACTAGTCCCATTTACCTGCATTTGGCCCACACCCCTCTAAACCTTCCTACTCATGTACCTATCCAAATGTCTTTTAAACGTTGTAACTGTATTTGCCTCTATCACTTCCTCTGGCAGCTTGTTCCACATATGAACCACCCTCTGTGTGAAAGAGCTGGCCCTCGGGTCCCTTTTAAATCTTTCCTCTCTCACCTTAAACCTATGCCTTCTAGTTTTGAACTCCGTACACTAGGGAAAAGGCTGTTCACCTTATCTATACCCCTCATGATTTTATAAACATCTATACTGCTCCAGGGGAAAAAAGCCCCAGCCTATTCAGCCTCTCCTTCTAACTCAAAACCTCCAGTCCCTGTAACATCTGTGGAAGATTCTACTCATAGACATTGCAGGGAACATCAAGAATATGCTTTCACTTCCCTTTTCCCACCCTCCCACTCATAGATTAAAAATGTGGCATTGAATGCTGGTCAATGCAGTCAGCTGTTGAACATGACCAGGTGACTACCGAGAGCAGAAGCCTGAGAATATTTCCTGTTTCAGATTTACAGCTATGTGTTTTTTATTTCTCGTTTTACTATGAGAAAGAGTCAAAGGCAAACTGTTGCACGGCACTGATAAGGCATGTTATTGCTATTGTCTACGCATTTCCATTGGTCATTGTAGGCACATTAATGTGGTTAGTATTTTGCAGCTCAGTGTTTGTGTGATACATCTGTTTCTTGCACTGTCTGGTCTTAATGGGGAAGAGGTCAATGTTTACTACTCAGCTGCATACTAGATAGTCAGGATGTCCACCACATCTGCCTACAAACACCAGTGAGGGACAGGAACCATTTGACAATTGGGTTTCATCTATACAATATTGACAAGCTTGCAGCATTCGTTTTGCCCCTGGCCTGACAAAAAATTCTGAAAACTCACCTGTGCTGCTTCTGGACTGTTCCGATTTACTGGCTGTTTTACTGACGAATGTTTTCATTGCTGCAACATCAATGGGAGAAAAAGACACTGTGAATAGTTTCCATAGTGGTATCTGAAATTTGAGTTGGGATCCTACACTCCTTTCCTATTTAAATAAATCTCCCTCTTTTTCAGACAGGATTATCTATTTCAAGGCTTGTTTGAAAATACAGTTAGTCGAACAGGTCTCAAACTGGAGTCTGTAATTGTCTGCAGAGACCTTCCAGGGGTTCTGCATGCAAGGCTTGTCCACGGTGTGGACTACTACCTAGGTGGCTGTGATCTAAACAACCTATTCAGAGATGTTACCACATATTTCTGGAGCAGGTGGGCCTTGGACCTGGGTTTCTGGGCTCAGAGGTAGAGACACTACCACAGTGCTGCGAGAGCCCTCCTACACGCCTGCAATATTTTCTAATCAACCTGCTCAGAGATTTTACACACCCCCGGAACATGAAAGTCTTGATTCAAAGGCTCCTGGCTCAGAGGTGGGGACACTAGCACTGTGCCATGAGATTCCTCCTGAGGACATGCGATCATGAGTGAATGAATGCAATGCAGCTGGAGGCTGCCAGTATACTACAGATTGGCACCTGTCCCTCTAATGCACACTCATGTTCTGGTACACCTGGATTTAGGTTCTTGCTTTCTGTCTGGTCCTAAGCTCCCCACAATCATTCCTTCTCCATGTTCTGCTCTTCACATTCTTCTGCTCTCTCTGTTGCATGCTTTATCCATGGTTCCTACTTTCCCTCTGCCCCTCTTGTCCTTTCTCCATGTTCTGTTCTCACTGAGCTTCTGCTGTCGGACAAGGATAGAGTGGGTACACACTTGTATGCACTTTTTGACAATCTCATGTAAAATACCTTAAACATCTTAAAGATATATTACATAAGATATTTATCTATTAACTTTGTATATTTTATATTTGTATTAGAAATATTATATTTTAAACTATAACCTATTCTTAAAAATATCATTGCAACATGTTTTACACTTCCACATTGCATATCATTTAAGTGAGGATCCATAATTACTGAACTATTTGAAAAGGGGTCCTTCATCCAATGAACTTTGAGGACCAGTAGACAAGTGAGAGGACGTTTTTTTTTTTATTTATAGGTTTTGGCCCATTTTTCAACATGAAAAATGATGGTAGGCAAATTAAAATGGTCACTCCAATCTTTAAAATAAGATTAACTTACTAACAGAAACTCATTTCATTCACTTGCAGGTTCAAAATATGTTTTTGATATGAATGTCATTTGTTTTTGTGTTCCAGTCTTAGTTGACTCTATGCCTATGTCCCAAGGGCAAGATGATATTGCCATGCAGCGGGTGACTTGTTCCTTGATTCAGCTGGAAGTGTATATAAAACCTGAGTGTTTTTCTTCCACAGTATGCCTGGTTAACAGTGGACTTTGATAACTGGAGGGATTGGCACGATGATGATGAGCAGATGGTTGACTTGGAACACTATGCAAATGTACGTTCAACCTCTGTGGATTATGACCATTGCAATTAATGAAACCTGTAACTCACCTCAGTTGCAAATAACAGCTAAAAGCAAACTCAAATGTGTTTTCCGCACGTGATCCTAAATGTGGACATGGCTTTACTTTTATAAGTTTAATATTCCAAAGATACAAAGCTTATTTTACTCTAGGCATTATAACTGTTTAATTTTCTGTTGCTATTTTCTCATATAATTGTTGTTTTTCTCTACCTTGGGATTTGTTTCACTTAAATATTTATCCAGTTACGTGGCATAATTCACTGTGAGCAATACCTACTTTTCACTATATCTATTGTGCAACAGTAACTATTAATATATATTGTGGAATATTATGGCCCAATTTGCTAGCTCTAACCCCTGCGAATCTTCCTTCTTCTTCCCCTATCAGTTCTGTTCACAAGTTACATTATTAAAATAATGAGTACACCAAAATATTGTGTATGTAATCAACACCAAGCCAACTTTTCTTCAGTATTTCTGGTTATAGTTTATGTTTCTGTTTCTCTTCTTTCTGAATGAATATTTTAAATATTTTGCATTGTATTTCATCAGCCCAATTACAGAAATCATGTAACATAATTTCCTAATTTAGTTTTTTTTTGCTCAACTTCATTTTAACAAAACAAAGATTTCTTGGAGATACAGCTGCAGCTGTCCCCAGAAATACCATTTAGAAGATAATAAATGGATAATTCTCCCCAAACCAAGCATGTTCCTTGCTATCCCCAAGCTGCCTGCACACAGGTATACTCTCTACCCATACTTCGTAGGTCCATATATTGACTAGAGTGCTTATGCTCAAAGCCATCTCGCCTACAACTCACCAAACCACCTGGAGGTCATTTCTGGGTCTGTTTAATAAAAATTGATTGCTCAGAATAGTCAGCAACTCTGTTAACATTGTATCATGTGAAGAAAGTGAACTAGATGGATCAAGTTTCTCTTTCATCTAGTAATTCCTATGTTCCTCTGTTCCTGTTGAATGCAGTTGAATTGCACTTAATCCATATGTATAAGGTACTAGAAGCCATCACTTAATCCCTGGTTCTGTATTTCCCATTTCCTTCATCTCTCAACAGTTGCATATTGTTCCTCCCATCTGGCCTCCTAATAAGCCCATTCTCCCAATATAGTCAGGTAATGTTTCATGCTTCCTGTTTGACTTTGGGCCCTGCTTCTGTTGCTTTCCTATTTAATATAAACCGCTCCTTGTATACACTCACTAGGTTTTGTCCAACAACCAGGTTTCCATTTATCCCTGATTGTGCGTGGCTTCCTTCACCTGAAATTCTCTGCTGTTTTTTCTTCATTCTGCCACGATCCAGCTAATTAAATTTTCTCAAGAAGGGCCCCGACCCGAAATGTCAACTTTCCTGCTTCTCTGATGCTGCCTGGCCTGCTGTGTTCCTCCAACTCCACACTTTGTTATCTCTGACTCCAGCATCTGCAGTTCTTGCTATCTCTAATTAAATTTTGCCTCTTTTCTGATTGCCATTTAAAAGAAAAATATTCCTCTCCCTGTTATAAATTTGAGACGTTTTAAGTTGCCTTTTTCACTAGTAGAAATCAAGTAGCCACCGATTATTAACAATTTTGGATCAACCTTACGTCGCCTCTTGGGTTCAAACTGGTGTCACTCAGAAGCAAACCCTGTATCGCTTACCAATAGCTCATCTGTCATATCTAAAAAGACTTTAAAGTGTGACACTGACATTCTCTTGTCACATAAACTAGATATTCTAATTTTTATTCTTTTCTCTCTTGTAGACTTTACTAATCTCCTATGATCCAAAATGATTAAGCTGTCACAAAATGAGATTAGATTCCACTCATTAATTTACATTGTTTTCCAGTCTGTTAGTGGTGTCCTTCCATGCTGTAGGATTCTATAATGACAGCAAATTTCACCTTTAATTTCTTTTCAACTCTTCAGATAATTGTTAAAATGATAAATAGAATATATCAGGTTCCCTCTATTGGTATGCGTTTCCACTTGATGTCAGTCATTTGTTTCCTCAGGGCCAGTTTAGCTCTTCAGGGGGTGACTGTTCTTTACATGTCACACCTTAGCAATTCTTCCCAACCAACACAAAACATGTGTTACTGTATTCTTTGGTTCTCTCTCATGGGAATTTAATGGCTGAACCTTTGTCATGCTGCTATCTCTTATGTGTCTAGACAGATCACTTATCCAATCAGCCAGCAATTGACCTGCAAATGACACCAGCTCATTCCAGGACCAAAAATTACAGTCCCTCCTAACATCTTATGTCAATTGTGCTGGCAGTGTCTGAAATGCCCTAAAATTTCACTTGTAGTCCCAGGTTTAAGTCTTAATGGTTCCCATATTTTAATTGATAAGTTTGCATTTTAAGATTCTAGCTACTTTGAACTAAACTCAAAACTTGGAATTACGTGTCTTTTAAGATAAATGTCAACAGTGCAAGTTTTTGATTCCTTTAGAATGTGAATTATGAAGTACATTCTTAAATCTTTATTGCTTTCACAATTTTACGTCGGCAAACTTTCTGAATGTTGGTACCAATGGTAAACAAAACACTGACAAATGGGACCTATTTTATTTAGTTTAACTATTTCTTTTTCAGATGCTGAAAGAACTGAAGAATACTGGGCCACCTCCTGCAATGGATGATCTAGATGTAAATATTGAACCATACTGAAGTTGGTTTTGGTTAAAAAAGACACAGAAGTCCAGTTTCTTTCAACTTATTGCAGTTCGTTTAGCCAACCAAAATAACACATTCTAGTAAAAACCAGAAAACCTCTGCATGAGCATTCCCAAAAGCGGAGAACACAGCAGATTTCCTGTTCCCAGGAGATTGCTTGACCACATGTGGCTCAACAAAACAGTACAGTTGCGTGGGAAGAAAAAATGCTTGTAGGGGATGCTGTCAATGGTTCCAGGTCCAGGGTCTGGAAAATCTATATTCAAACCACAACATGTATTAAATGAAAGAAAAATGTCTGTTTATCGGTATCTTTCACCACCACTGGTTGTCTCAAAGCACTTTAGGACCAATTAAGTACCGTTGAAGTGTTGTTTGTTTTGTATTGTAAGAAACATAGCAACCAGTTTGTACACAGCAAGCTCCTCCAAATGTTAATGTGATAAAGACCAGATAATCCCTTTATTGATATTGACCAAGGAATTTGCCATGCACACTGTCAGAAGGACATGATTTGCATAGGAACTTCACCAGGACATTGCCTGGGATGAAAAGTCTCAGTTATGAGGACAGATCTGACAAGCTGGGTTTGTTTTCCTTGGAGCAGAGGAGGCTGAGGGGGCATCTGATTGAGGTATACTAAATTGTGAGAGGTACAGAGTAGATTGTGAGAATCTCTTCCCCATAGCAGATGTGTCTAAGACCAAAGAGCACAAATTTAAGATCAGGAGTAAGTAATTTAGAGGAGTTGTGAGGAAAAAGAAAATCACTCAGCAGCTGGTAGAAATGCGGAAAGTGCTGTCTGAGAGGATGGTGAAGGCAGTTACTCTCTCAACATTTTTGAAGCATCTGGATGAGCACTTAAAATGCCAGGGCATAGTAGGCTATGGACCAAGTGCATGTGATTAGAGTTATTTGGTGTTTCTTGATCGGCACAGAGATGGTGGGCCGAAGGGCCTGTTTTGTATACTGCATAACTCTATGACACTGGGAAAATCTACTCTTCACAGTAGTAGTACACAATCTTTTACACCCATCTCAAGTAGAATCACTGACAGTGTAGCATTCCCTCGGTACTTCCAGCTTGTTATTTGTGCTGAAGTCCTCAGTGAGACTAGCACCTCTACTGACCCGTTTTAAAAATTCTTTCAAGGACTGCGGCTACAACTGGCTGGGTCAGCATTTATTGATCCCTAATTGTCCTTGAGAAAGTGCTGTTGAGCCATCTTTTGAACCACTGCGGTCCATGTGGTAAACATACACCCATGATGCTGTTATGAAGGGGGTTCCAGGATTTTGACCCAGAGACATTGAAGGAACGGCAATATATTTCCAAGTCAGGATGGTGTGTGATTTTGAGGGAAACTTTGCAGGCAGTGATGTTTTCCATGCATCTGCTGTACTTGTCCTGCTAGGTGGCAGAGGCCACGGATTTAGGAGTTGCTGTTGAAGTCGCCTTGGTGAATTGCTGCAGTGCATCTTGTAGAAATGACTGTTGCCACTATGTGTTGGTGATGGAAGAAGTGAATGTTGAAGGATGGGGTTCCAATCAAGTGGGCTGCTTTGTCCTGGATGGTGTCAAGATTCTTGAGTATTGTTGGAGCTGCACTCATTCAGGCAAGGGGAGCGTACTCCATCACATTCCTGACTTGTCCCTTCTAGATGGTGGATGGACTTAGGGATTTGGAATACTGCATTCAGTTCTGGTCCCCCTGCTATAGGAAAGATGTTGTGAAACTTGAAAGGGTTCAGAAAAGATTTATAAGGATGCTGCCAGGGTTGGTGGATTTGAGCTATAGGGAGAGGCTCAGTAGGCTGGGGCTATGTTGCCTGGTGCATCAGAGGCTGAGGGGGTGACTTTACAGAGGTTTATAAAGTTATGAGTGGCATGGATAGGGTATGTAGCCATGGTCTTTTTCTCAGGGTAGGGGAGGCCAAAACTAGAGGGCATAGGTTTAAGGTGAAAGGAGAAAGATTTAAAAGGGACTTTAGGCAACATTTTCCATGCAGAGGGTGGTACATGTATGGAATAAGCTGCCAGAGGAGGTAGCGAAGGTGGGTAGAATTGCAATATTTAAAAGGCATCTGGACGGGTGTATGAATAGGAAGGGCTGAAAGGAATATGGGCCAAGTGCTGGCAAATGGGACTAGGTTGATTTAGGATATCTGGTCAGCATGGACGAGTTGGACCGAAGGGTCAGTTTCCAGCTGTATATCTCTATGACTCTATCACTCTAAGTTAACTACTCAGCTCAGTACATACATCTCCATTAGCACAGAGCTCCGATATGAGAAATTTAAACTCTTTTCAGGGAGAGTGAATCAAACACCTCTGGATGGACAGTTCAGACAATAAAAGCAAGAGACTGACTTGCCTTATAGTTTCTGAAATCAGTACAAGTCCACCATTAGACAAGTTGAAATCAGCCCAAAATCATTTTCCCATATTGCACTGCAAAAGATTGGAAATTTTGACTTTTTTGTTTCCAGTGTTATCTTTGGTCCTAGATGTGTTAAACTTGTGAAAAACAAGAGCACAGTAGTGTAATTATTTTTCTGAAGAAGGGTCTCGACCCGAAACGTCAGCTTTCCTGCTCCTCTGGTGCTGCTTGGCCTGCTGTGTTCATCCAGCTCTACACCTTGTTATCTTAGCACAGTAGTGTAGTGGTCACAGTACAGAATTTCAAATGTCATCATGACTAGCTGAGTAATTGAATTCAACAGATCTGATACTTTGTAGGCTGAATGGAAAGTTGCTTAAAAGAAAACACTGGTTTATCAACGTTTGACTGATTGAATTGATTTTTACTGTGTCTGAAGTGTCCCAGCAAACTCTAAACAGGTATAATTATTATATAAAACATTGCCTCCATTATTTTCTAATGGCACTAATGGACAGGTAATAAATGTGGCTTTATCTAGATACTGAGATTTTTTTTTTGTAAAGTACGACAAAATATAACGATTAGCTGTATATGACACTGGGAGTTTTTTCTTCATTTGTTTATGAGATGTGGGCATCATTGGCTAGGCCAGAATTTATTGCCCATCCCAAATTGCGCTTGAGAAGGTGGTGGTGAATTGCCACCTTGAACTGCTACAGTCTGTGTTGTGAAGCTACTCCAACTACACAGTTTAATGATTTTGACCCAGCAAAAATGACAATTTGTTTCTAAGTTAGGTTGGCTAGTGACTTGGAAGAGATTTACAGGGAGTGGTGCACCCAAACGTCTGCTGTCCTCATCAAAGGTGGTACAGGTCACAGCTCTGAATGGTGCACTTGGAGAAAGTCTAGTTTCTTTAGTGAATATTCTGCTTATTTGTACTGTAATTACTTTGCTGCCTCTCTGACAATGACTTTGACTTCACTGTAATTGGATGCTTTATAACAACAGTTATAATATCAGTTATTTCATTGGCATGTTTTCCTGGATAAGTGCCAACAGATTAATTGATTAAAATCTGTAATTTTCTACCTGTCAGATAAATTGCTTTGTAAGTATTGCTAAATACTTATTATTGTTCCATGTGGATGGATTAGTTTCATAACAATACCTGATTCAAGAACCTGGAAAGGAAATTTTAATTTTTTTTCTTTGTTCTTGAGATATGAACTTCTCTAACAAGACCAGCATTTATTTCCCATCCTTTAACCACCCTTGTGAAGGTGATGGTGAGCTGCCTTCTTAAACTGCTACAGTCTGCATGGTGTACTTCCAAAATGTTATTTTCTGCAGTGGCTTAATAGAATCAAGTGACTTGCTAGGCCACGTCAGAGGGCATTTAACCATTGATGTCAGTCTGGATTTACATGTAGGCCAGACTGGATCAGAATTGCAGATTGCCTATTACGATGGACAAGTGAGCCAGATGGGCTACCTCCCAACCCACCATCCATTCCCGGTCTCTGGATCATTTGACCAGTAACACTGTGCTATCATTCCTCTAAGCATTTCGTTACGGCATGTAAGAGAGCACTGGATGGTTATTTGAATAGAAATGGTGTGTAGAGATATGGAGAAAAGGCAGGGGATTAGTTCTAGGTGATTGAACTGGTGCAGACACAATGGGCTGAAAGGCTTCCTTCAGTGCCAACCAGTTCTGTGAACAACTCAACCAGGCCTAAAGCCAAAGTATCCTATGATTTGATTTGTACTTCTCCTTTGCACTTTCAGTATTTTCATGTAAAAAATGTTCTAAGAATGGTATAAGTGAATGAACAGCAGCAATATTAATTTTCTCCCACACGTAGGAAAGCATTCAAAACTCAGCAATTCTGTGGACTTTTGTGGCAAAATGGTAGTGTTCCTGCCTCTTGGTTAGAAGACTTGGATTCAAGTCCCATCCACTCCAGAGGTGTGTCCTAACACATCTGAGCAGATTGATTAAAGATACCTGTGGGGCACCTACCTGACTCAGATAGGTATCTCATATGTCTGCATTTTATAATCATAACTCAGTAGGTACAGAGAAGTGATTCACCCATAAGATATAGGATCAGAATTGGGCCATTCATTCCATCAGGTCTACTCAGCCATTTGATCATGGTTCATATGTTTCTCAACCCCATTCTCTTGCCTTCTCCCCATAGCCTGTGGTCCCCTTACTAATCGAGAATCTATCTATCTCTGTCTTAAATACACTCAGTGACTTAGCAACCGTAGCCTTCTGCAGCAATGAGTTGCACAGATCAACCACCCACTGGCTGGAGAAATTCCACCTTACCTCACTTCTAAAGGGTTATGCCTTCACTCTGAGGCTATGCCCTGGGATCCTACTCTATCCTGCTAGTGGAAACACCTTCTCCACATCCACTCTGTCCAGGCCTCTCTCTATTCTGTACGTTTCAATAAGATTCCCCCCCCCCCGCCGTCATTTTTCTAAACTCCATTGAATACAGGCCCAGAATCCTCAACTACTCCACATAAAGCAAGGTCTTTATCACTGGGATCTTTCTTATGAACCTCTTCTGGACCCCCTCCAAGGCCAGTACATGCTTCTTTTGATGCAGGGCCCAAAACTGCTTACAATATTCCAAATACAGTCTGACATGAGCCTTATACAGCCTCAAGTACACACCTACTCTTGTCCTCAAGCCCTCTTGAAATAAATACTAACATTGCATTTGCCTTCCTAACTGCCAACTGAACCTGTATATTAACCTTAAGAGAATCCTGAAGCAGGACTCCTAAGTCCCTTTATCCTTCAGATTTCCAAAGCTTTGCCCAACTTAGAAAATAACTATGCTTCTGTTCTTTCTGACCAAAGTGCACAACCTCACACTTTCCCATGCTGTATTCCACGTGCCATTTCTTTGGCCACTCTCCAAGCCTTACTAAGTCTTTCTACAGCCTCCCTGCTTCCTCAACACAAGCTGTTACTCCACCTATATTTGTGCTATCTGCCAACTTAGCAACAATGCTCTCCGTTCCTTCGTCCAGATAATCAATGTATAACGTGAATAGTTGTAGTCCCAGCACTGACCTTTGTGGAACTCCATTAGTCACCAATGCCATCCTGTAAAAGACCCCTTTATCCTCAATCTTTGCCTTCTGCCAGTCATCCAATCCTCTATCTATGCATCTTGCCCCTAACACCATGGGCTCTTATCTTACTTAACAGCCTTCTGGAAATAGAAAAATAGACCACATCAACTGACTCTCCTTTGTCTAACTTGCTCACTACTTCCTCAAAGGATTCTAATGCATTTGTTAGGCATGACCTCCCCTTTACAAAGCCATGCTAACCTAGCCCACTTCTACAATGCACTTCCAAGTACTCCGCAATCTCATCCTTTAAAATGGATTTTAATGGATCCGTTCCATTTTTATTGCTTTATCTGCCCTCCTTCTTACAATATTTTTGATCTCATTGTGCTGTTAAAGAATATTTGCAGTCTTGCTGATGTACGAAAAGGAGTAACTTTAAGCAACATCACATTATGGCTTTATCTTGGCTCGAGACTGAAAGAGAGAGTAAAATCATGTGATTTTGCATCATTACTTGTGGTGTATATTATCTCATTAACCTATCAGTCACACTTAACCCTTCGTTACATCTTCCCCCAAGTCAGTGTATATACTCACAAGCAGTTTCCACTGGTCAGAAGAAAATATGTTAAAACTCCCTTTGTGAAATTTACTTTGCCTTTCATTCACATGTTAAATATTTTCTGCTTTTTTCATATTCATTTTATGTAACTCCTCTGTTTCTAGGATGAGCCTCTGGACAGTGTTTAAGGTAAGCTGAAGAAAATAATTGTTAAGATGTAGCACTGTTGCTGTTACGAAAACCAGTGATATTGCTGCAGCACCCTGACTCTGTAATTACAAGTTTACATAAGGAGATAACGTGCTAAATGCAGACATAAGAATTTATAAAGGAAAAAGTTGAGCATACTGTGAAGCACAGAAATTTTCAAATACAGAAGTGGATTAGATCAATCAGGAGAGAAAAATCTTAAAGTTGATTCTATATTTATAGATTTTGCATGATCCTGAGTTGTAAAAGATGTTTTAGATCTCTTTACAAAATATTATCAATTTGTTTAAACTTGACATTTACATGGAAACAGACAGAAAGGAAATGCAATTTTGTAAAGTAAGTTCTCCAATACAAGATGTATGGAATACTTGCTGTAATTTATATACATATATCACTAATGGAATACACCAACTGTAAAGGATAACTAAATGCAGATGCAGCTAATACCACTCTTGATTCATCTAAACTAGGTTGGATTAATCCTTTTCTTACTAAATTGGCAGGAAGGCAAAAAAGGACTGGGCCCAATTCACGAGGGATTTGAACTGGCAAACAAGCACATGTGTGAATGGAAAATAGCCGTAACTAACTCCAAAAGAGGCGTTTTCAATAAGTTCTCTGATGACTTCTACTGAGACATTTGTATGTTTCTTCCATCCAGAAAATTGGATACTTTCAACACATAGAGTGAAAAGTTACTAATTATATGTTTTACTTCTGTGAAAAAATAAACTCTGGAGTCTGTTAAGAGAAATTATTTTGAGGTATGGTGGGTATGCGGGTGGAGTAATGTTCAGGTTAGCAAAATATAAGGAGCTTGCAACCAGTGAATAGTACTTAGACTCAAAATACAAACATACAAAAATTAAGCTTAGAGAGGATTGTCGGGTTTATCAAAGTTCATTGCAACTATTAGTAATGCTACGTCCTGACAAAGGCAGAAACATTCTGCGAAATTTCTCTTCAGAATTGTTATCTGTGAATCACCTCCAAACAAACTTAACTAGTTCCCCTCCAATATGTCCAACTACACAGAGATAGAGATAAAGGTGAATAAGAGAACTGACAAATTGTTGGCTTAAACTTTGTTTCCCTGTTTAAACTCCAGAAATCATAATCCATTTTCCAAGTCAAGAGACTAACCATAATTTATGGATGTTTGGATATAATTGCCAATAATGTTTAAGATATTGGCATCAAGGGAGCAGAAAATGAGTCATATTATTCACTTACTAAGCTATTGACTGGTTTGGTTGAAGTACAATGCCAGTTCTGAATACAGTTTTCATTTATTTTCAAACAGTTTGAGTTGTCATCAGAGAAGGACAACAGCAGCACAAAACTGGAAGAATCTACAAAGGATTCCAGACCCTAGAAGAGCAAACAGTGTGAATACCATCCATTTTTGTATTGAACTTTTGAACCTATTGTGAAAGTGTTATTTCCCTGCTGAAGGTTGGCAGATTGTGTCCTTTCTTGTTAAATTATTGGATGTTTTTGAAATTTAAGAGAAAACTGTAAAACATTCAGATAGATAATTTTTTGAGAGCTGAACTTCTAAGTACTTGATTTGTAAGATTCAACTTGAGGAATTAAATTTAATTATAGCCAGAAATTGTGCAGAGTGGTTTAAATACATTCCATAATTTCAGTGCTTTGCAACTTGAACAATTCGGCTTTTTTCAGGCTGTGTGGCAACTGAAGCTTCCAATATTACTAAATTATTTCTATGAGATGCTTCTCTGATCTCAGTGTTTAAATATTGCCCATTATATCATTGTTGTCAGAAGGTCTTTTAACTTCCATTAGAGTCTTGCCTCCTTTACTGTTCCTTAATTCTATTTATACAGTTTTTATTGCCCCTTCTTTCTGCTGTATTGTTGTCTTTCACCAAAAAATGCTATTTCGGCCCATTTGACCTAATTCCCGATTCTTTCAGAAGATTCAACAGCCTGGCACACCACAAGGACCCAATCTTGCCCAATTTATGATTAGATCTCTAGAACAACTACTACACGTTTACCCTTCATGTGTTCAACCCATTCGCCTTATTTCTCATAATATCTGCATTTCTGTAATCATTTGGGTAGCTGACCCCATCTTATCCATAGTCATATATTTCTCACAGTTTTGATCGACTGCATATTTGATTGCTAATATTCTGCATATTGTTATATTGGCAACAACAAAAACTATTTACACTTGTATAGTACAGTTAATTTAGTAAAGCATCTGACAGTATTTTATAAAACTGATTTGACACCTAAGATATTGGGGCAGATGGCCAAACAATTTCTGAAAAAGATAGGTTTTAAGAATGCCTTAAAGGAGGATGTGTCGGAGAGATTTAAAGAGAGAATTCCCTAGCTTAGGAGCCAGGCATTTGATGGCATCAACATCAATAGTGGAACAAATAAAATGGTGAAAGTTTAAGAGGCCAGAATTACATGAATACAGATATCCTTGAGGTTTTATGGCTGAGGCGACTGCAGAGATAACAAGGGCTGGAACAGTGGAAGGACTTGAAAATAACGATGGTGAAATAACTCCACAAAGGCCGGTATTCCATCACCAAGTTGCTCTTTATTTACATGTGCATAGTACATGACACTAGCACAGAGATGGATCCTAGAGACAGTAGAACCCCTGACACTCCTGTTTACATCTGTCAGCCAGGACTCCCCAACTGGACTTAGCTAACAGCCTCAATCAGGAAAGTCATTCCTTAAGATCCACCTGGCTGACATCATTCCAATCACTACAGATGGCAATTTAAAAATCAGGTCATTGCTTCACCAAGAGCCAAGGTTTTTATTTTGTAACTACTCCTTTATTCTCAATGGGTATTTTATTATTAGTTCCTATAATCTTTGTGTTCGGGGAATATTTCTTTTATCTTTATCTCAGTTTGTACTCCAATCCTCATACAATTCTGAGGTAAATATAAAAGAGTTATGCAACTTTTATGGCTCAATAGACTGTCAGGCTATTGTATTTATTTTATTCATGTTTGTTTTAGTGTTAGCTATTATTTCCCATATAGAATTAGGGTGGTAACCAGCAGTTTTGATGTCAGCTAAATAATCTGGTAAATGATTACCCCAGTGAGGTTCAGAATGATTCTTAACTTTCTAGTGTGGTGAATGCGCATTATCTTTTTGTGCAACATGGTGACTACTTTACCTGGACAGTTATGAGGAAAGATTGGAGAGTTGGGACTGTTTCCCTTGGAGAGGAGAAGGCTAAGAGGAGATTTGATACATGATTTCAAGATCATAAGGGGTCTGGACAGAGTGGATAGACAGAAACTGTTCCCACTGGGTAATAAATAGTGACCCGGGGATGCAGTTCTAAAGTGTTTGCAAAATGAGCAAATGTAAAGTAGAAATAACATTTTCACTTAGCAAGTAGTGTGTGTAAGGAATGCACTGCCTGGAAGTGTGGTAGAGGCATGCTCAATTGAGGCATTCAAAAAGGCCATGGGATGAATGATTGAATTGAGACACAGTGCAATATTACAGGAAAAAGGCAGGAGGTGGTTAAGATGCTCAGAGAGCCATTGCAGGCACAACTGGCTGAATGGCCTCCTTCTACACTGTAAGATTTCTGTGACTCCGATTCAGTGACAATAATTTCAGCTTTACAATGTGAAATATTTTCCATAGCAGCTTTATGCATCACAAGAATCACATTTGTGCAAAAGTCTTGATTTTTCCAGTGAAACCAGATAATACTCAAAATAAAAGTGGAAACTTTACCACGTGGCTTCCTTCAAATCACCAGACGAGGCCAGGAGTCGCTACATGTCCAGGGGCTAGGGCCGGTTTGAGTGCTTTCCAGTAATGAGGCGTTCTTCATTTGTAGCAGAGGAAAGGTTTGTGTTACTGATGCATCGTTTGATCTACCTACATCTGACACTTATTACAACTGTAACAGAAGACAGTAAATATAGTAGCTTGAAAAACAGAATTTCAGCAATAGCTATCTAGCTGTACTGTTATGTAATGAAACAATCTTGGACATGTGTGCTTGGATTTTACTGAGGTCTATGAATCAAAAAATTACACATGATTAAAAAAAATCCTCAATATGGCCAATTCCTCTCTTCACTAAGTATGCATTTATGCTATGATCTCAGTGTTAGAACTCAGGGCCTGAACTTTATTTTCCCTTAACTGCACTGTCAGTCTAAATCAAGACCTTTTCACACAAAACCGTTTCTTTATAACAAGGTGTAGAGCTGGATGAACACAGCAGGCCAAGCAGCATCAGAGGAGCAGGAAGGCTGACGTTTTGGGCCTAGACCCTTCTTCAGAAATGGGGGAGGAGAAGGGGGTTTTGAAATAAATAGGGAGAGAGGGGGAGGCGGATAGAAGATGGATAGAGGAGAAGATAGGTGGAGAGGCGACTCGGGGGAAGTTGCGGTCCTTGAAAAATGAAGATGTTCACCCGCACATCTGCTAATGTGGTATACTGCATCCGCTGTTCCCGTTGTGGCCTCCTGTACATTGGGGAAACCAAGCGGAGGCTTGGGGACCGCTTTGCAGAACACCTACGCTCGGTTCACACTAAACAACTGCACCTCCCAGTCACAAACCATTTCAACTCCCCTTCCCATTCCTCAGACGACATGTCCATCCTGGGCCTCCTGCAGTGCCACAACGATGCCACCCGAAGGTTGCAGGAGCAGCACCTCATATTCCGCTTGGGAACCCTGCAGCCCAATGGTATCAATGTCGACTTCACAAGCTTCAAAATCTCCCCTCCCCCTACTGCATCCCAAAACCAGCCCAGCTCGTCCCCGCCTCCCTAACCTGTCCTTCCTCCCACCTATCCCCTCCTCCCACCTCAAGCCCCACCCCCATCTCCTACCTACTAGCCTCATCCCGCTCCCTGGACTGACCTATCTCCTCCCTAACTCCCCACCTACACTCACCTTTACTGGCTTCATCCCCGCCTCTTTGACCTGTCTGTCTCCTCTCCACCTATCTTCTCCTCTATCCATCTTCTATCCGCCTCCCCCTCTCTCCCTATTTATTTCAGAACCCCCTTCCCCTCCCCCATTTCTGAAGAAGGGTCTAGGCCCGAAACGTCAGCTTTCCTGTTCCTCTAATGCTGCTTGGCCTGCTGTGTTCACCCAGCTCTACACCTTGTTATCTCAGATTCTCCAGCATTTGCAGTTCCTACTATCTCTGAAACCGTTTCTTTACAGTTGTCTGTGAAAATGACCAAGAAACTCAAATACATACTGAGATGTTTAATGATAGTTGGAACCAACTTCTTGAGTCTCTGTTTGTTTGTGTTCTTACTGAATATGTTTAAAATCTGCTTCAGACTTAATCTTCTGCTGGATGACTAACAACTTGGCAAGAGTTTGCAGACATTGCATCAGCTGTAATGGAGAATGTGGCCCCTGACTGTCAACCACATTTTCTGTTTCCTGACCTGCGCATTTCTTTTCTGAGGCTCTACTATCTTCATAAACATTCTGCTTTCCGGCACCATTTCACAGCAGCAAATTCAATGTTGCTCCTACAGACTAGAGGAAACTGGGGAAAGTATTTGCAGACAATACGAGACCATGCAAGTGTAAAAGAACTTTATTTAACCAGACCAGAAAAGTTTGTCTCTGGCAAATGCAGTTAGGGCCCAACATTTACTAGCATTTAGTTCATAGACGGTATAGGGGATACAGTCAAGTAACATACATTTTTACACTGCAATCAATCATGTACTTATGTTATGACAGTTTTAGATGTACTTGTTCCACTTCATTCCTCTCCAGACTTTTATTTTATTCAGTGGATATGGGCATGATTGGCTAGACTAGCATTTATTGCCCAAATACTATTTACTCTTGAGAAGGTGGGGGTGAACTGCCTTTTTGAACCATTGAAGTCCATGTAGAGTAGAGACACCCACAACACTGTAAGATGGGGGAAGTTCCAGGACTTTGATCTGGTGGCAATGAAGGAACAGCAATATATTCCCAAGTCAGGATGGTGAATGTTTATATGTTTCTTTTTTAATTTACTCATTCTCGGGGGGGAAGCCTTGTTGGCAAAGCCAGCACTTGTTGCCAATCTTAATTGCCCTGGAGAAGCTAGTGGTGAGCTGCCTTCATGAACGACTGCAGGCCATGTGATGTAGGTGCTGTGAGGAAGGGAGTTTCAGGATTTTGATCCAGGGACAGTGAAGGAATGGAGATATAGTTCCAAATCAGGATGGTGTGTTAGTTAGAGAGAAACTTGCAGATTATGGTGGTTTGTGTATGCCGCTTTTCTCGGGGCTAGAGTTTGAGTGTTTGGAAGCTGTTCTTGAAGGAGCTATCGTGAGTTGCTGTAGTGCATTTTGCCACTGCGCTCCAGTAGTGGATGGGGTGAACCTTGAAAGTGTGGATAAGTTTTGATCCAAATCACGTCAGGGTTCTTAAATGTGTTGTTGGTGCAGAATTCAGGCAAGTGAACAGTAATACACTCCCAATTTGTGCTTGTAAATGGCAAACAGATTTTGGAAGTCAAGAGATAAGTTACCCATTGTTACATTGTTTGGTTAGGAGAGCAATGTTTTCAGTAAGTGTAGTGAGCATGTAATTGTAAACTGGAAACTTTTGACAACTGCAAATACATATTCCTTACAGAAAATGAAAAGCTATTCACGTGTTGTGATGAAAAACAATTCACATGTTGCACTTGCAATCACTTTGGATTTATGGCAGTATCTTTCTCACGCTAATTATGCACATATGCACTAGATCAACATCCTCAAACTTACTCCCTAAAAATATATGGCTCAGATTTAATCTCTGCTTGCAGCCACACTTCTCATCAATATTGTTGACATAGTTGTGAAATGAATCAACAGTAATGTTTATTCACAGTTGCATATGTCATCATCTTTCCTACAAAATAGGTTTCAAAGTTCTCCCGTCATGGAGTTAACATTTCCTATTAGTGGACATTGTTTAAGGTAGAATGTAATTCAGATTGCAGCTGGAATGATTTGTGCATTACCTGTGCCTTCAGCCATTTCCCTGAAGAATATTGGTTCCCCTGGGGGCAGAGCTAATGAGGTTATGCCAAGACAACCAACAGTTGAGCTGACTCATTGATATCGGTGCAGAGGGATTGCTCCAGTGGTGCAGTGGTAGTGGCTCTACCTCTGGGCTGGAAGGCCTAGGTTCAAATCCTACCTGCTTCAAGGTGTGTCATAACCTGTCTGAACAGGTTGTTTAAAAATATCTATGGGCTGTGAAGGCAGTGCCTCAGGCAAGTAGGCTCACATTCTTGTTTGCATGGTAGTTGCTGTTGGAAAAGTTGGGCTCAATGTTAATATCCCCAGCGCCCCCATTTGACATTGCTTGCAGAAATAGCAATAACAATAACACTAATGAAACATTGTATTTGTAAATGACACTCACTGCTGAGTTACAGTGACAATGTGCATTCTGTATCCTGAGATTCTACTTTTCAGTATTAAAATAACACAAAAAAGGTTAGAAAATGAAAACGGAAACTGTGAACAGGACCCCAATCCATACATGCCTGTTACCATTTCATGGTGGTGGGTTTTCAGGAATCTGAATCTCTAGGCATTGAGGGGCAGGACATTTCATGAACATATTTTAATTGGGCTCCCACAATTAGGAGCTTGATTTAAATATTATTGTTACCGTTTGGATTTCCCAGATGTTGGTAGCAAAGAAAGGGATTTGGCAGCTGGTGTCTCAAGCCAAGTGCCTTCTTAATAGCACTCCTGTGGGCTAGGCACAGAAGACGTGCTCCCACTCTTCTCCCCAGACTTGCAAGGAAGTCTTCTGCTTCTTTTAAAGTCACAGAGTCAGACAGCACAGAAATTAAAATCCTATTCATTCACAGGCTGTGGGTGTCGCTGTCTGGGCCAGCATTTATTGCTCAGCCCTAGTTGCCCGGAGGGCAGTTAAGAGTCAACCACATTGCTGTGGGTCTGGAGTCGCTGGTAGGCCAGACCAGGTAAAGATGGCAGTTTCCTTCCCTAAAGGACATTAGTGAACCAAATATGTTTTACTGACAATTAACACTGGTTCCTTGGTCATCCTTCAATTCTTAATTCCAGACCTGTTTTACATCAATTATGCCCTCTGCTTCTACTATGCCATAATAGCAGAACAGTCCTTTCTTCCACAACAAGCCCAGATAGCTTTTCTCTTAATGCCATAATCAGGATCCTAATGTCACAGTCTAGATGCTGGTTTTCCTGCCATTTGGCTGGTGAACACATACAAGATTCTGAAGGAGATAGCAAGAACTGCAGATGCTGAAGTCAGAGTCATTACAATGTGGGGCTGGAGGAACACAGCAGGCCAGGCAGCATCAGAGGAGCAGGAAAGGCAACATTGCGGGTTTACACCCTTCATCATGTGAAGATTCTGAAGGAGTTTGATCGAGCACATGCTGAGGGGTCGTTTCCGTTGGCCGGTGAGTCTAACACACAAGGACTCATCTCAGATTTTTTTTAGGACACCAATGAGGAGAACGACTTTATTCAAAGGTTTGTGAATCTTTACAAAGCACTACCCCAGAGGTTTGTGAATGCTGTATTGTTGAATACATTAATGCAGGGATAGACAGGTGTTTGGTGTCTCAGGGAATTGAGGGTCATGAAGAGTAGGGGAGAAAGTTGATTGAAGCCTGAGATTAGCTATGATTGTGTGGAATGGTGGAGCTGACTCAGTGCGCCGTAAGGTCTACTCCTGCTCCTATCCCTTGTGTTCATATGCCAGGCAGGAAACTAAAGAAAAATGATGATAATGAGGTCCAGCCATTACATTCAGTATGACTTCCACGTCTTTGGCCTTTCCCAATGTCTCAGCTGGCTTCCCAGTAACCTTCCTCTGGAATATTAAGGTGGTGTTAAGCTTTTTAAGTGATGTTAAGGTCCTCAAAACGGGTAAAATGGTGAATGTCCTTGGTGTATCGTGGATACCTAAATACAAAGCAAAACTTTGCTCTGCCAAAGGAAGAAAAACTCTCCAAATGCATCTACAAACAAAATCTAAACTTTCTCTACTAACATGACTTTAAAAAGAAAAACTTTGTTATATAGTGCCTTGACTGACCTCCAGTTGTCCCAAAGTGCTTCACAGCCAATTGAATACTTGTTGAAGTACAGTCACTGCTGTAACATAGAATTATGGCAACCAATCTCCACAAAACCCATTCCCACAAACTGCAATGTGGTAATTATCAGCTCAACTGTTTTAATAATGTTGGCGGAGGGATACATAATAGCCAGGACAGTGGAGGGAACTGGCAGCATCTGTGGGAAGAAAGCAGAGTTCATGTTTTAAGCCCAGTGACTCTTCACCAGAACTGAACTTGAAAAGTTAACTCTTCTTTCTTCCCACAGTTACTACCAGACCTGCTGAGATTCTCCCGCAATCTCCCTTTTTATTTCAGATCTCTAATATCAGTAACTATCTGCTTTAGTTTATAGTAGAGAGAACTCTCTTGCTCTTTTTCTAACTAGTGCCATAGGATCTTTTACACCCTAAAAGGGCAGAAAGAGTCTTGGTTTATTCTCTTATTTAAAAGATAGAATTTCTGAGTTGACAATTTCTGCTTCTTCATAAGCTGCCGATTCCCTCATCTCCAGTGAGATGACACCACCCAACACGTTCCCCTCCCTTGTCAAAATTTCATAGACACCATTCTCTTCGGACAGCCTTGTCCGCTCTTCCTCCACGCCCAATACCTCCCCATACCACTACAGCATCTTGCCATACACTCACAAGTGTTACACTTGCCTGTTTACCTTCTCCTTCCTCACTATCCAAGGTTTCAGACACACCTTCCAAGTGAAGCAGCAATGTACCTGCACTTCAATCAACCTAGTCTACTGTATTGACTGCTAACAATGTTTTCTTCTCTACATTGAGGATTTAAAACGCAGGGTGAGAGATCGTTTTGTGGAAAACATATGTTCTGTCCATAGAAGTAACCCTGAAACTTCCAGTTGCCTGCCACTTCAACATACCACTGTCTTCCCTGGGCAACGTTACTGACTCAGACAAAATGCAGTGCTCCAGAAAAGCTCAGGACAAGCTGGAAGAACAGCATCTTAGTTTCTGCTTGACGACTTTGCCGCCTTCAGAACTCAACATCGAGTTCAATAATTTTATGGCCTGAACATATGATGGCATAATGGTTAGCACTGCTGCCTCACAGCACACGAACCTGGATTCCATTCCAGCATTGGGTGACTATCAGTGTAGAGTTTGCGATATTCTCCCCATGTCTCTATGGGTTTCCAGTGGATGCTCCACATTCCAAAAGGTTAGGTGGGATTTGCCATGGTAGATGCACGGTGAGGGTGGGGGTTGGGTCTGGGTGGGATGCTCTTTGTAGGGTTGGCACAGACTTGATGGGCTGAATGGCCACTAGCTACACTGTACACAGTCTAATAATTAGATATAGATGACTTCACACTTAATTATTTTCCGGTAATATATTTGTACCTGCAGCATTATAATGAATAAATGAATGCTTTGAAGTGTTCTTCAGTCGAAGAAAGCAGGAGCTCAGTGTAATTGACAGTTCAAAATGATGATGATGGAGCAACGGCTCAAACGCGAGAAGGCGTCTGTCCCACGGGCCGCTCCGTACTTTGCTCTGCGCATGTTCCACGGGCCGCTCCGTACTTTGCTCTGCGCATGTCCCAAGGGCTGCTGGGGACCGAGAGGGGATATTGTCAAAGTATTTTCTTCAAAATAGAATTAACGGCTTTGGCGCGATGGCTTTTCAATGTCAGAAGCAATGCTACATGAAGGAGGTAAGAATACCTGGAAATAGTGAAATCATTCCCTCCCCTCCCCTCCCCCACTCTCTCCCATTCCCTTCCCCCTCCCTCCACTTCCCAGGTAGAATTAAAATCTGCTCCAAATCTTCACCATCCCCCAACCCTACCTTCACCCACCCCAGAGCTGATCCATGACCTCTGTCCTGGACCTGATTCCTGTCTGATACCATCACCGACATCCACCCCCACCAACCTGCCCCCCCCCACAAAGCCCTGCAAGAGGTCTACCCTCCCAAATAAAAGCACCACTCGAGCACAACAACCAACCCAAGTCAAAACCCTGATGTAACCTTACCATTCAACTGCTTCGTTCCTATCCACTGAGCACCTGTAGCCCACATCTAACTGGCACCCTACATCCCCCACCCCTCTCATCTGCCATCCTATCCATAATCCAATTGGCACCCACCTCAACCCACCCACGATCGAGGAGACAACAGCCTGATTGACTGGCACAGCATCCAGCACCTTCAGTATTGAGAGTGTGCACCACAGATGCATGGTGGCAGCACTGTGTGCAGTCTACAAGATGCACTGCCGCAATTCACCCAGGCTCTTTGAACAGCACCTTTCAAGCCCATGACTTCCAGACCTCGCAGGATTAGGGTAGCAGATACATGGGAACACCAGTACCTGCAAGTTCATCTCAAAGTCACACAACATCCTGCCTAGGAACTGTAACACTGCTTCTTCATTGTCACTGTGTCAAAATATTTATGATTTAAAATAAACGTTATAGTATTTATAGGCTCAGTTAAATCAACCAGGTGGTGGTGGTGTCCGTGCTGACAAAGTGGCTTTGTGTGTTATTGAATGTAAAAAGTGTTGTGATTTCCAAATGATATAAAGAACAAAGAACAATTAAGCACAGGAACAGGACATTTGGCCCTCCAAACCTGCACTGACACATTTTGCCCTTCCGTATTAAAACCGTCTTCACTTACAGGATCCATATCCCTCTAATGCAACACAGTGGCTGAATGGTTAGCACTGCTGTCTCACAGTGCCAGGAGCCTGGGTTCGATTCCCCCTCAGACAACTGTCTGTGTGGAGTTTGCACAATCTCCTCATGTCTGTGTGGGTTTCCTCCGGGTTCTTCCCACAGTTCAAAGATGTGCAGGCTAGGTGGATTGGCCATGCTAAATTGCCCATCGTGTTCAGGGATGTGTGGGTTACAGGAAAGGGGTCTGGGTGGGATGCTCTGAGGCTCAGCATGGACTTGTTGGGCCGAAGGGCCTGTGTCCACACTAGGGATTCTATGGATTCTATTCTATGGATCTATTCCCTTCCTATTCATGTATTCATCCTGGTGCTTCTTGAATGCAGCTGTTGTGTCTGCTTCCACCACTTCGTTTCGCAGTGTGTTCCAGGCACTCTCTACCCTTTGTGTGAAAAACATACCTTGCACATCTCTTTTTTTAAACTTCCCCTACCCCCCACCCTGCACCTTGAACCTGTGTCCCCTAGTAATTGACCCCTCCATGCATACTTTCCACTGTATCCATGCCATTCACGATCTTATAAACTTCTATCAAGTTGTCCCTTAACCTCCTGTGTTCCAGTAAAAACAAACCCAGTCTATCAAAAATTTCTCCATAGCTAAAATCCCCCATGCCAAGCAGCAGCCTGGTAAACCTTCTCTGTACCCTCTCCAAAGCATCCACATCCTTCTGGTGGTGTTGTGACCAGAACTGTATGCAGACAAACTAAAGTTCTATAAAGCTGCAGCTTAACTTGTCCATCCCCTTCCAATGAAGGCGAGCATGCCATACACCTTTTTTTACTGCCTTATCTACCTGTGCTACCACCTTCAGTGATCTGTGGACCAGCACACCCAGATCCCTCTGGATATCAATACTCCTAAGGGTTCTGCCACTCACTGTATAATTTCCACCTGTACATGACCTTCCAAAATGCATGACCTCACATTTGTCTGGTTTAGACTTCATCTGCCATTTTTCTGCCCATGCCTCCCAACTGATCTAAGTCATATTGTATCCTCTGACAATTCTCCTCACCATCTGCAACTCCACCAATCTTGGTATCGTCCGCAAACTTACTTATTAGACCAGCTATGTTTTCCTCCAAATCACTTATATAGACCACGAGCAGCAGAGGTCCCAGCACTGATCCCTGTGGAACACCACTAGTCACGGCCCTCCATTCTGAAAAGCATCCTTCCACTGCTACCCTCATGTCTCTTATGACTAAGCCAGTTCTGTATCCATCTTGCCAGCTCACCCCTGATACCATGTGACTTCACCTTTTGTACCAGTCTGCCGTGAGGGACCTTGTCTGTGCTGTTGGGTTGTATATATATATACCTGTGGGAGAATTTTGGCTTTTTTGTGGGCATCCAGTGGCTGCAAATGAAGCAATTATTGGCCCAAAACCCCCTCTGTCATTGGTGCCTCTTGTGGTTCTTTGTCCCTGCCCCTTTTCTTTTACAATGTTTTTTCAAATGTTATATGATGTCAAAATTTAACTTATTTTGTAAAGTTCAATACAACAAATACAGTCAGTATAGTGTTTAGCATTCTGAATTCTCGTTATATCTACAACTAGATTTTATATTTACGATATGAATTTTGTGTCAAGCATACAGCCAGGTTTTCCAGCTCCTTGATCTGCTTTGGCAGGAGTATTTTTGTAGCTTTTCTACATCTAGGTTTTCAGACAGTTGTCCCATGCTTTAATGTGTGTACCTCAGCATCTAGTCCGGGACCTTGAAGTGTGCTGGTTTGCGCCGTTCAGTTGTCTCTGCTCTGAAAGGTCGGCAGGCATTGGGCAGTTCCAAGTGTGTCTTTCATGCATAGATAGACCTTCAGCAACTGTTGATGCGTGACTCAACAAGCTTCCTTTGGGAACAGTAGAGAACAGAATCTTTCTTCTAATCTTACAAAAATGCCTGTTATCTCTTAACCAAATGTCTGTTGGATTGTCTGATGTCTTAAATATCGTAACCAGTCTTTTTACAAATGGGGAGTGACCTGTTATGTATTTCTAAAAATTTCTGTACTTATCTCAGTCTTTTCACTGGTGCAAATGTTTATCTTTATTTTCTTAATAACTTTAATATGCATGTCTTAGCAATATAATACACCAGTCCTGTTTTTCTTGCAGCTTGTGTTTTATTTGTATGATGCATTATATTTCAGTTTGAAACCCTGGTGGTATCATGTATTCCAGCAGAGTTGAAAATCACTGGGAAAAAAGAAACTCTGAAAGGTTTTAACGTGATTCTTGAGGACACTTTACTGTTTCCAGAGGGAGGTGGACAGGTCAGTGGTTTGTTTCTCAAAGGGTTGTGTTTATTTGTGCTGTAATTGGGAGTCGGAGTGAGTGCACTTTCTGCATGTGCAGGTGCAGCGTCGGACTGTCTCAAGCAAGAATGCTTTTAAGTTCAGTGCTACTTTTTGCTGCTAAATGATGTGCACCTACCATCTTGGCGAGAGAAGCCACAGTGTAAGCTGATTGTGTATGTGCAACTTTTCCTGATGCCCTTTGCAATTACTGCAGGAGTTGTAGTGTTTTTAAAGAATTGGATGGTTTAAGGTAGGTTCTGAGTCCTATTTAGTTGAAGGGCATCTTTTAAAATGTATTAGTAATGATAGACAGTCCTCCCACCCATCTAAATTATTATACAGTACACATAAAATATATTTCAATGACATACTTAAAAATGACTATTTGCTTACAGATATCAGTGAGATGGATCTGTCTGCTTCTTACTGCAAAGTCTCTCTATCCCTGGTAGGAACCTGAAGCACTCAGCTGGAGATAAAAAGAGCTGAGAGAGAGGACTGGAGCCAGAGATGCAGGGGAAATGTAGGACACAGCGCATCTCTGACCACCAGTGTCTCATTCAGTCTTGCTAAGTACCCTGGGCAGTTGCCCTGTTGCTGATATATAAGGCCAGCTCTGTACCTCAAATTGTTCGGATTTTATCCGATTTGAGACCCATTTGTTTAAAGTGATTTGCAGTGATACATATGAAAGATGACAGACAAAACAAACCAGTCTGGTCCTTAGAGTCTGTACCCCACAATTCTGATCCCTTGTCAATCACAACATAAATATTATCAGCAGCAACAACCCCCCAGAAAAATTTTTATGACCTCGTAGAACAGGAAGAAAATGAGATTTAAAACTCAGGCCATTTTGAAGTAAAATATATGCAAATCTCCTCCCTGACCCTTTTTTATGATTAAACCTAAATTAAGACATCATCCTGGCTCTATTAACATTACCTTTTGTAGGATGTGAAAGTGACAGTTTAACTGCAGTGAGATTAGTGATTAAAAGTAGCAGGAATGAACCTGTCTTGTGGGGAGCTTTAAACTAATTTTGAAGTTTGTGATGCAGTAGTATAATTGTAATCTCATGTTGTTGAGATGATAGAATGTTGGATGAAGGCCCGATGTTGCTTAGCGTAATTGCTTCTGGACCTTTCTTTGACCTTGTCCTTAATAAATTTTATTTTCACTTTTAATAATTGCCTTCTGAAAGATGGGCATAAAAGTGCACATGTATCGTTACATTGCCTACAGCACCACCAATTGCTGGAACCTAAAACCAATTTTGGAAGTGTTGACATATTTCATAGGGTTGACATGACTACTGCAACTGTAGCAGTTAGGTGGTTAAATAGTTAGGCAGTTGTTTTTGACCAGCAATTACGCAATGTGCTGTAAATCTCTATGATTCTATGAAAATATACCAATTTCAGGTTGTTCATTAAGGTAATGGTTCTAGAAAGGTGAATGTTAACATTAACCTGCATTAAGCTTCACCCAATCTGATGATGTCATACAGTCTTGGGAAAGAATAAAGAATCTAGTTTGAGGTGCCAATGGGATCCAGTGTGTCATTTCTGGCTCCTGATAATCTTGATAGTGATGTCCAACCAGCCAATGTAACTTGCACCTATTGCTAACATGCAATAAACAACATCTTGTTGTTAACACAAGTACCTCTTTTTGTTAAGACTCACGAGTTGTTCATCCTCCACCACTGTTCACCATATTCTAAATGTGGTCTAACTGGTGTCTTGTGTAGTTTTGGCAAGACATCCATATTTTAATACTTTGTTTCCTTTGAATTAAAGGCCAATATTCCATTTGTCTTCACTATTCTTGCTGAAATTGAAAGTTAGCCTTTTGTGATTTATGCATGAGGACTTCAAATCTGTGTTGCAGCTTCCTGCATTGTATTCAGCTTTCCCTGTTCTTTCTGTCAGAGTGCATGATCTCACATTTTCCAAATTATATCCCATCTGCCAAATTTTTGCCCAGTCTCTCAACCTGTCTATATCACTGCAGACTTGCTATTTGTCTTCCCACCTATTTTTGTGTCATCTGCAAACTTGGCAATGGTATGTTCAGGTCCCCCAAATCATTCATATATGTTGTAAAAGGTTGTGGCCCCAGCACTGATACCTGTGGCACTTCACTATTTAGCAGTTGCCATCCTGAAAATGCCTCTTTATCTCAACTCTCTCTGTTTCTCTCTCCCAATACTTGGCTAACCCACTATCTAAGTTAACATACTACCCTCAACATTGTGGATTCTTATTTTAAGGAGCCTAATGCACAGAACATTGTCAAGTGCCTGGTGCCGTTTGGAACTGCAAATATATTACAATTACCAGTTGTCCTTTCTCTATTCTGCTGGTTACCTCCTCAAAGAATTTGTCAGGCAAGATTTCCTCTTTATGAAATCATGCTGACTCTGCTCGATTATATCATGTATTCTTAAGTGCACTGCTATTGTGTCCTTTATAATAGACTCTTATATTTTCCCAATGACAGATATTAAACTAACTGGCCTATCATTAGCATTTTTTGGCTCTCTTCCTATACAATTAAGGGGCTACATTGGTAGTTTTCCGATCCTCCAGGACTTATTCAGAATTCAATGATTCTTGGAAAATTATAACCGGTCCATCCACTATCTCTGTAGTTACATTAATATCCTAGGATGCAATCCATAAGGTCATGTCATGAGGATATGAAACTATCTAATTCACCCAGAAGACATCCGTGGACAGTGAATTAAGATGTCCAACCAAATCAGCAGGTTGAAGTAAATAGCTTGTGTACTTCACATATCTTCAGCAGATTGTTCAAATTTTTTGTTGCAAAATGCAGATGAGCTGCATGGAACAAATGGAAGCCAGACCAACAACCATAGATTTGTGGGCAAAAATAAGAAATTGCTTGATCTAACAATTCAGGATACTGCAAGGAAGAAAGTAGTTGATTCCACTGAACAGCTGTCTTCCATGATGGCCATTCATGAGCTTAAAGATACCTCAGATGATGCTATGGAGCAACAACTGATTTAGCAGGAAATGTTCTTCTGCACAGGGAATTCAGGAAAGTTTAAGGTCCTCCCAATACAGTAATGGGATTAGCAGGAATTCCATACTTTGCGAAGGACATCTAAGGTTTAAAAGATCTTCCAGTGGAGAAATTATTTACAGATGATCAGAATCAGGGTCAACAGTCCTCAAACTGAAGACTTGCCATTCTTTCAAGTCTAAAGAGAACACTCTCTGCAACAGGTGTGAAACCATCAGACCACCTAGATTTGTGAAGTCGTAGACTTATTGGGGGAGGAGCCTAGTGGTAAATGTAAAAGTAGTTTTAAATCTGGAATGTATTAATGTTAACAAGGGAGCAAAAAAACTTATGGGGAGATGTTGTATGATCGAATGGCTCATGTTGGAGACTGCATTAAGCTCCACCCAGTCTGATGTCATACATTCTTGGAAGGAGAATGAAGAGTCCAGCTTGAGGTCCTGAGGGTGTCAAACATGTTATTTCTGACTCTCGATAGTCTTACGAATTATATCTAAACAATCAATGTAACTATTGTAAATAAACTACACCTTTTTGTTAAGACAGATGTCTTTTATTGTTAAGGCTCACTGCTGGTTCATCTTTTACCACTGTTGACCAAGCAGGGCCTTATCCTCCATACAGAAAGGAGGATTAGTTGGAGCATTCTACCCCAGTCATTAATTGGTAGTGATTGGTTCCACAGAACATACAACACAGTGCTAATTAACATCTTATAATAAATGGGCTAAAAGTCTAAGTCAGACTTTATGGGAATTTGATATGAAGCCATTTGGGTTGATAGTTCCGATTAAAGATTCCGAACCCCTTTATTGGAATGGAATGACATAGAAACAGTAATAGAAATACTGGCTACCGCGTGCTCTTGAGACAATCTGGTTTCTGGCAAGCACATACCAATTCTGCCCTGCTGTTGGAGCCAAATAGACCAATCAGCCATGTTAGAGGTTGGACTGTAGAGACTTCAGTAATGTAGAAAGATTGACATGATAAACCAACTCTCATTTGGTATTGAATATTGGAAATGCTTTAATTATTACTGGAATTGAAGTTTTGCCTGTGCTTAAAAAGCGATGAAAATAATCTTTTGAAAACTTCATACAATTTATTTCTTAAAGCCAGATGACCGTGGGTTTATAAATGGCATCCCTGTGTTACGAGTAACAAGACATGGGCCAGAGGCTGTTCACTTTGTGCAGTCATCCTTGGAGCCTTTATCTAAGGTTCAGGTGAAGATTGACTGGGAAAGACGGTTTGACCACATGCAACAACATTCAGGTACTCGATATGAACTTTCATTGAATTTTTAGGATGTTTTGGGTTGCTCAAAAATAAGCCACTTACTTTACTGCTTGAAAGCAGTGGGAGCATCCTCCCATCTTCCTGCTCTGAAGATCCCATTTTGTCAAAGGGAAGTTCATTTACAAAAATTGGTAAGGACCGTAGAGGTAAGCCCTAACGCTAGAGTTTGGGCTCTTGTCACACTTTGATCAGTTATAAATTGATATCTCAACAGGAGTTGTTAAATTGTTCAATTAAATTAAAAATGCAATTTTTTTGGATAGATTTAACTATTTTCTAAGTTTAGACGTAGAGTTGGACTGAAAATGTCTTCAATATTGACATTCCACGACACTGTATTGCTTAGAACATACACTTATAGAAAGTGTTCTGCTCCCATGACATGCATTATTATGTTGACTAGATATAATGCAGAAAGCTTGTAGCTGTTCAGCCCAATTCTTTTCATTTTGTTGACAGGAATCTGTTGGATTGTCTTTATCTATATGGGGAATGAAGTAATGATGTTTCAGGGTGGGCCTGTCAGGGATCTCAAATGATGCTATCAGTGTAAGGGAGTAGTGGAGACTGAATTTTGGAGTTCCCAAGTCCCAGGCTTCCTCCAGGGCATGACCACAGCCCCCCTCTTCCCCAGTTGGACTTGAGACTGACCAATGGTTATGAGGTTCAACGTAGGTGAAAGTAGAGATCATGGTTGTGGCACCAATTGGCCAGCCAATCACTTTTTTTGTCTTAATTGGCCTCCTAGCTTTCCGAGGGAATTGAAATCCCAAATTACCCGACCCCTCTAACCTGTGCTTATTGACAAAGTCTGAGTGGATGTCTCATGCAGACTCTTCTCAATAATTACACTGGAAAACATTTACCCTATCCATTTTGCAGCCTTTTTCTTTTAAGATCTTATTAAATATCTGATATCTTCAATGAAAAAGGTTTCTAATTTCTGGAAAATTTCATTTTGGTTTTCATTTTTGCATTAAATTATGTCTGGCACTTTTACTTGAGAATAAGTCTAGATCTTTTTATTGCATTTTTTTTCAGGACAACATTTAATTACAGCCATAGCAGATTTGATGTTTGGTTTCAAAACAACCTCATGGTAAGCATAAATTATAAGTAGAGTTATGTTCTATGTAGGGAATCGTTTCCTGATTGCATTTGTTTTTCCCTTCAGATTGCATTGTTAAATAATTATTAATTAATGTTCGGTTATGGGCAGAATGAGAAAAGAACATTGCGCCTATCGTTCCAACTGGAGTCAATGACTGATTTTATCATGGGTTCTTTTGTACACCATTTATTGATCCTCTACTTTAAGGAACAATAACTTGCTTCTCCAACTTCCCTGAATAAAATCAAATCAGGGCCAAAATATCTTTCCATTCTTATTCTACTGAATTAGACTTTTGATTTTTCTTCAGAAGAGTCATAATTGCCTCAATTGCCAGATCTGCTGAGTATTTCCAGTGTCCATAGTATATTGTCTTTGTTACCTCTTTACAAGTTTGACTGAAATTTCCACTTTTCTGGGATTGGCAGGTTTTTTTTCTTGTTCTCCAGTCTTGACTCTAAGTTGACCCTCTAGTCTTGTGCTCAGTAATCAAGTCAAATAACCCATTTGCTTCCAATTACTTAAGGCCCTTCGTTATTTATAGACTTGAATCGTGACTCATGTCAATCTTTTCTCCTGAGAAAGTATCTTTAATCACTGGAGCATTTTTTTCAACTGCTTAACTAACCTATGAAATGACACTGTTGTAAGTCCTTGGTTTCTGAACCTGTATCTTTTAAAGTTGTATTTTTTATTTCAGCAATAATCAATGTGACGTTCGCACAGGCCTTTATTTTAGCTGAAACTTAGACTGCTGTTATAATTTATGGGTAGCAATTTAAAAATGCCAGTTCTCTAGTGGTAATTATGCCCCATCTATCTGAAGTGCAGTAAAGGTGCAGGGAGCTCTGTTTTAAGTGAGAATTGTACAAAGGCTTAGGAACTAAACGTTAATTTCTTCTTCTAATGATAGGTCCCAGACCTGAAATGTTGACACTCTTCATGGATGCTGCCTGATCTGTTGAGCATTTCCAGCATTTTCTGTGGTGCTGCTTGAACCTATAACAAACCATTGGAATAAAATGTTGCTTTTTTGTCAGGGTGTCAATTGAGTTGAGACAGGAAGTATTTTCAATCTTAACTGTACTGTACCCAATTTGCGAGTGTTTAATATCAACACTGGGCCCAAAGGGAACATTGTCACATTTCCCAGCACTGATATTTATCAGCCTGATGACCATCAATTCATTGAAAAATAACTCTCAAGGATATTTTTACAATCTAATCAGGACGTGGTTCAAAGCACTCGGAAAAATGTATTTCCCCTTTGAGAAATAATACCTTCTTGGGAGTAGTTTTCAAGAATTTCTACTCATGAAGGAAGGTATTTAGCTTGCTGATAGGTTTTCAAGTGTTAAACCTGGTGAAAAAATGGGCAGGAATAGACAATTTGATCTATTAATACTGTCCCATAGCATGATGTCTAGAGCATCGTAGCTAGATGTTTCCAAATCCCTACAGCCACACATTTTCCTGGAGAGACAAAAACCCAGGCCCGTAAGATAAAATAAAACTCTGAAAAATTCCTCTCCACCCTTTCACTCAATCAAAACTAGTTCAGAAGATTTTGTTAAACTTTGCATTTGTTATCTGTTAATTTATTTACCTTCTGTATGACGTATCTGTGATCAAAAGCTGGTCTGTGTTTTTCACAATTTATATAATGTGTAAAAAAAAAAAAAAAAATTCCAGTAGTTTTGGAGAAAATGACAAAATCTGATTAATTTTCCAGCGTTGAATGTCATACTGGACATAATTAGTGATTTGGGACTTTTTTATAATTTTTTTTTCAGGGAACTGGGCCGTCAACGTAGTTTCATTGAACTGGACACACCTTCTGTGACGGGTGAGCAGGTTGAAGCTCTGGAAAATACAGTAAATGAGAAAATCAGGGAGCATATTCCTGTCAATGTACGAGTTGTATCTGTAGATGACCCAGAGGTAGAAAAGGTAAATTTGGATCGAGGGACATGTAGTTTTAAATTTTGATTATTTGCTCACCTCTCCTGGCACCCTCTAGCTTTGTCTCTGCTATCCTGAGTGTGCAGCTAATAACTGGGTTTTGGATAGAAAGATGCCAATAAATAGCCCAAGTGGAAGTCTTCATTTGCCATGTGGATCTAGGCAGTAAGTATTGGCAAGCTATTCTGTAAAGTAGTGCAGCGTAGCTCAATCCTGTCCTTCCTTGAACTTTTCAGTAAGGAACACTAATTGATGATCAGGAACAAATACCCTATAAGGTTTTAGAGTAGTTTTGTAGCTCGGGTTGTGGATGTTGTGGTTGGTTGGCTTGCCGAGCTGGTTCGTTGTTCTGCAGACGTTTCATTACCCTGCTGGGTAACATCATCAGTGCAGCCTCTGATGAAGCGCCATTGTGTTTTCCCACCTGTTATTTGAACTCTGGTGTCCGTAGGGCTGGATTACCTCACTTATGGTTTTCCATCACAGTGGAGTGTATATGGGGTCGAGCTCTGTGTGTTTATTGATGGCTTTCTTAGTAGACTATCAGGCTTCTAGGAATTCCTGTGCTTGTCTCTGGTTTGTTTATCCCAGGATCCTGGTGTTGTCTCGATCAAATTGGTGGTTTTCCTTATCCATCTGGATAGAGATGAGTGAGTATTAGTCATGTCTTTTTGTTGCCAGTTGATGTTCATGTACCCTTGTGGTTAATTTCCTTCCTGTTTGTCCAGTGTAGTGTTTGTCACAGTCTCTGCAGGGAATCTTGTATATGACATTGGTCCTGTCCATAGTGGGTAGTGGGTCTTTGGTTCGGGTGAGCAGTTGGCAAAAAGTTGATGTGGGTTTGTGTGCTACTCTGATGCCCAGTGGTTTTAAGAGCCTCGTGGTCAGTTCAGATGTGTTCCTGATGTAAGGTAGCGTGATGAGTGTGTTGGGGCGTATAGTATCTTCCCGGTGTCGTTCATGATTTTTCTCTTTTCCCCTTGCATAGCCCAACTCCATTACCATCAGAATCAAAGTTGCCTCTTGGGCTTCAAGCAGACTTCTAGCTTGTATGACTGACTGTTGTGGCAGATTTAAATAATAATTAGGCAAAATGTACTTTTCTTGAGAAGACCCCATCTTTGACAACAGTATCTTTGGTATATGAGGATGAGATACTGACTAAAACTAGATTGACTTGAAACTATTTAACTGAGTAATAAGTACAGATGGTCAATGAATGATTTAGTTCATTAAAGGTCAGGACGCACCCATACTAAATGAGTACTGTGGAAGCACAGTTAGTTAGATTAAGTCAATCCAGCATGCTGTTTAGGATCTAGAAGTGACGTAAATCTGCGTTTTTAGAATTATTTAGCTTTTAGTACTTTTAGATTTTGTGAGTTTTCTCAGAACAAGGTCTATTATTCACAAGCAACATGGGAGAGGAAAACTTCAGTTAAATTAATTTAGATTAATGCTTAGGTTGGAATCTATTGCAGAATTGTCATTCAGGCTCAGGTAATATGTTAAACTAAAGGGACCATGTCCAAAGAGCTCTAAAACAGCACATGACACCAAGATTGTATTACAGCTTTGATAAGCTTCCAGTTTGGCTGTTTGTGTGAGTTTTTTTTGTCAAAGATAAGATGTTGGGCCGCAGAGTTTATTGTTATCTCTGGTTGTCTTGCTGTGATGATACTAATTCTTACATCTAAAGACAGACTAAGGGTTATGGCACCAGTTCTGATGCAACTGTTTTAGAGATTTTGCCTTGTGTCTGAGAATGCTAGTAATAAAGCAACGTTTTGTTGCTCTGAGACTTGGAACTTCAGAGAAAGGAATATGTGCTTTAATGTCATTAATGCTATTTTCTTGCAGACTTGATTTTGCTGCATTTGCTATTTCTAGTTTTTTAGAATTTATTTATTTAGAATCCCTACAGTGTAGAAACAGGCTCTTCAGCCCAACGTGTCCAAACTGACCCACAGAGCATCCCACCCAGACCCATCCCCCTATAACACACCTAATCTAGACATCTCTGAACACTATGGGGTAATTTAGCATGGCCAATCCACCTAACCTGCACATCTTTGGACTGTGGGTGGAAACCGGAGCACCTGGAGGAAACCCACGCAGACACGGAGAGAATGTGCAAACTCCACACAGATAGTCACCCGAGGGTGGAATCGTACCCGGGTCCCTGGTGCTGTGAGGCAGCAGGGCTAACCACTGAGCCACCGTGCGACAGAATCATTCCTAGAAGTGTGAAGATCATAAATTAGAAATATTACAAACCTGAAATTTTGCTTGGGCCTTCTATATTGGAGATTCCCATTTACCACAGGCATATATTGGTGGAAGTGCAATGCCTCTTCAGTGTTTTAATTTTTAGTCTGCCCTTTTGTTACCAAAGCATCCTGACTCCACTGTGACAAACCTGTACCAGAAATACCAAGTAACATTAATGTGTGAACAGTGGTAGCAGAGTTTGAGAGAGGAGAAAGCATCACAAGATTTGATTTTTTTTTGTGTATTATAAACCTTAACCACTCTAAGCTAAAGTAGTAGTTTGGAATCAGTTTTTTTTTTGTTTTTTTTTTCTGAAGGAGAGTGATTGTTTGTATCAAGCCAGATATATAGGATTCACTACATTTCCAAGTTCAAGCTATGTTGAATGTCCATCTGTTCTAAGGATGGCATTCATGTAAATAATTGAATAACTTTTAAAAAATTCTTCTGTAAGGTGTCTTGTCACTGACTAGGCTAGCATTTTTTCCCAGACCTTTGAGAAGGAGGTAGTTAGCTGCCTTCATGAACTGCTGCAGTCCACGTGTAGTGCATACATCCATAGTGCTAACAGGAAGGGAGTTCTGTAATTTTGACCCAGTGACAGCAAAAAAATGGCAATATAGTTCCAAGTCAGGAAGATGCGCATCCTGGAGGGCATCTTGTGGATAGTGGTGTTCCCATGCCGTTGCCTTTGTCATTCTATGTGGTAGAGGTTGTGGGGTTGGAAGGTGCTATCTAAGGAACCTTGCTGAGTTGCTGCAGTGCATCTTGTAGATGGCAGCACACTGCTGACACTGTGCTGGTATTAGACAGAGAGAATATTAGAGGTGGTGGAGGAGGTGCCAGTCAAACAGGATACGTTGAATTGGATGATGTTGAACTTCTTGAGTGTTGTTGAAGCTGTACAAGTAGAGATTATTCCATTACACTTCAGATTTGTGCCATATCAGTGCTGCAGAAGCTGTGGGAGTCAGGATATAAGTTACTAGCTACAAAATTCTCTCGCTTACACCTACTCTTATAGCCAAAATATTTGTATGGCTAGCCCACTACAGTTTCTGGTCAATTGTAATCCCCAGGTTATTGATAGTGATGGTACTGCCATTGAATGTCTAGGGTAAATGGTTTGATTCTCTCTTGGCCATTGCCTGGCACTTGTCAACCCAAATGTGCATGGTGTCCAGGTCCTACTGCATATTGACGTGGGCTGCTTCAGTATCTAAAGAGTTGCAAACATTACTCGTGTAATCATCAGTGAACATCCTGATTTCTTTCTGGCCTTATGCAATTGATCAAGCCACTGAAAATGATTGTGCCTAGCCATCCCTCAGAGGAGTTCCTGCAGCAATGTACTGAGATGGATTGACCTCCAACAACCACAACTATCTTCCTTTGTGTTGTGTGACTCCAACTATTGGAGAATTTTCCTTCTCTTACCATTAACTGCAGTTTTGCTAGAGCTTCTTGATGCTATACTTGGTCAAATCTACCTTGAGTTAAGCTCTTTTGTTCTTCTTTGACCTAAGACTGTAATGAGGCCAGGACCTGAGTGGCCCTGGCTGTTCCCGAATTGAGTGTCAATCAATGAGTTCTTGCTGAGTAAGTGCTGCTTGATTGTGTTGTCAGCAACACCTTCTACAACTTGGCTGCTGGTTGAGAGTAGACTGGGGCCGTAACAGGCTAGGTTGGTTTTATCCTGCTTTCTGTGTACAGAGCACACCTGCACAATTTTGCACATTGCCAGGAGATACTAGTGTTGTAGCAGTCCTGGACCAACTGGACCAGGGTGCAGCCAGTTCTGGACATACATTTTCAGCATCATTACAATTGTCAGGGTCCATAGCCTTTGAACTATCTAATGCCTTTAGCCACTTCTTGATACCACATGGGTGAAGCAAATTGGATAAAGTCCAGTATCTGTGATACTGAGGACCTCAGTAGGAGCTGAGAGAGATCATCCACTTGGCACTTCTGGCCACTGATGTTTGCAAGTGCTCAGCCTTTTGTTCTGTTAATGTGGATATGCATATTTTATAGTGTGTCCTACTCCATTTAGTTGTTTACTTGTCCCACCACTACTTACAACTGAATTCGACAAGACTGCAGAGTTTCAATCTGATCCAATGTTAAATGATTGCTCTGTGCTGTCACATGCTGCTCCTGCTGTTTGGCATTCAAGTGGGATGTTCTGAAACTTGAAAGGGTTCAGAAGCAATTTACAAGGATGTTGCCAGGGTTGGAGGGTTTGAGCTGTAGGGAGAGGCTGAATAGCCTGGGGCTATTTTCCCTGCAGTGTCGGAGGCTGAGAGGTGACTTTATAGAGGTTTATAAAATCATGAGGGGCATGGATAGGGTAAATAGTCAGCGTCTTTTTCCTGGGGTGGGAGACTTCTAAACGAGAGGGCATAGGTTTAAGGTGAGAGGGGAAAGGTTTAAAAGCGATTTAAGGGGCAACTTTTTCACACAGAGGGTGGTGTGTGTGTGTGGAATGAGCTGCCAGAGAAAGTGGTGGAGGCTGGTAGAATTACAACATTTGAAAGGCGGCATCTGGATGGATATATGAAAAGGAAAGGTTTAGAGGGATATGAGCCACATGCTGGCAAATGAGACTGTATTTATTTAGGATATCTGGTCGGCATGGACGAGTGGGACTGAAGGGTCTGTTTCCGTGCTGTATGTCTCTATGGCTCTATGACTCTTCAGTAACTTCACGAGTTTGACAGCTCATTTTTACATGTGCCTAGCGTTGCTTCTGAAATGCCCTCCTGCATTTTTCATTAAGCTAAGAAGACATGAAGAGGGAAAAGCAAAGTTATTTGTATCTTAAACAGTTTTGTAACGTGCAAGATAAGTAGTCATAAAAAATACTCTTCTCTCTGAAGCCTATATCTTTCAGTTTTAATAGATTGAGTAGTATGTATAACCTTGGAGTTGTGTGAAATATTGACTTAGATTTTGCTTTCAGCAGCGATGTAGCCGTGCTCTTTGTTGATCTCAAAGAAAGCAGCTCGCAGAGGTTAATGAGCTCTGTGATGTGAATTTCGTTTTTGTCAATGTCAATTTTATTCCAGTTGTAGGGAGTCTTTGGTGTTCAACAACAGTAGTGTTAGGCTAAGCAGACAATCATCACATTAAGAATATTTCAGGGAACCAAGATAGAGTAAGCAGGCTTCCCCACATACTTTTTAATAACTTTATAGAAAACAAATAACGATTTGGCATACACATGGGATTAAGCTAGATGCTGAAGATGCAAACCTAAAGAAGTTATTATCTTAAGTCTGTGGATTGTTTTTTTAATCATGGATTAGAGAACTTTGTGAATCTGCGGAAGGGTCACTCAATCCGAAATGTTAACTCTGATTTCTCTCCACAGATGCTGCCAGACCTGCTGAGCTTTTCCAGCAATTACTATTTTTCTTGGGAGAAATTTTACATTTTGCAATATAAAATGGGTTTCAGGTCCAGAAAGGTTGTTATAAAGTAATTAATGCCAATTTTTAAAAAAGCTCAGTTACACCTTTTGAACAAGATATAACTTCTTCGAGGGCTCTCAAAACCACAGTAATAGCATAATGAAATGGAAGTGTACACATGTTATGTGGTTTTGGGCATGAGTTGATGCCAGACATCACTGCCATTTCTCAGAGCCAAATGCTGGCACTTTTGCTATCATTACAACTGCAAAATCTGGGCCATTGCTTCACTAAGTTTTCATGTTTTAGCTATGACCGAATGATGACAGAAGTTAACATATGTGCTCCGGGTTTCACAATATCTTTTGTGTAATCCTTGGGAGATCTATTGTATTAAAAATGATGTAGAATATTTAGTTCTTATACTTTTACTGCTGGCAGTAGAAAAGGTTTGTTTTGTAGGTGAGGAGTCGGGGTTTACCAGATGATCATGTTGGCCCAGTCCGAATTATCGACATTGTAGGAATTGATGCAAATATGTGCTGTGGAACACACGTCTCGAATCTCAGTCATTTACAGGTGAGAAAATGTTGATGTTTCCATTTGCTTTCACTAAATTATGGACTAGGAACTACTTGGAGACAGGAAGGAGCAAATTAATTTGTATGCGCTTGTACTTTTTAAGTTCAGGTCTTTTAATTTAATTCCACATCATGAAAATAAATTTTCCTTCAGAATAAGGGAATAGCTTCAAGTGAATAGGATTCATAAATTACTCCTCTTTGCTACCTTTATTAAAAGAGAATGTTATTTACATGAATTGCCAGTCTTGTAATCTAGTAACCCAGTTGCATGTATTAGTGCCAAAATTATCATCCTAAACACTGGCTCTCGGCTTACTGAATCTACATGCTGGGAATGGCTCTGATTTACTACTGGTGCTACACTGACCTCATAATACCAATAATAACTTGTCACTGTTGTTTTTTTCTAAATTCACGACAAAATTTTCTGTAAATGCTGATCATATCGGTTTGAGGCTATTGTGACTGTGGAATACACAAGCCGAGGCAGCTATAATAACAAGGACTCATAAATTTAACCTTCCATCCAAAGGAAAGAACCTTTCCAAACTCAAGTACTCTTTTCTCCTTTAAATAGATTTCTTTTTAGTCATATTAATTAAGTATATATTATATTGTCAAATTTCTATGCAATTTTTTAAACATACTGTACACTTAATATAATTTGAAATAAAAACATAATTGTGTTTAAAAACTGAGCAGGCCAGTGAGTATTTGTGGAGAGTGAAATGGAGTTAATGTCTGAAGTCAAGAACAGACCTGGTGAAAAGTCATCAACCTGAAAGATTAACTGTGTTTTCCTCTTTGCAGATGCTGCCTGATCTGCTGAGTATTTACAACATTCTATATATTCTTATTCGAGATTTCCAGCAGTATTCCTGTTTTTAAATTTATGTATAACTGTTTTAATTGTTTGTTAGCTATTGACTAGGGCCCCTTCCACATTGCTTGTAACTGTGTTTAGTGTAACATGCCAATGCAGTTACATAATCCTCAACCTCTTCCTGCCAGAACCAATGATATCTTTCAACTCATCAAATCTAAAGATGGCCAGCCTTATTTTTGCTGATCTGATTGTAGCTCTGATAATCTGTGTGTTTTGGTCTATTTCTCAGGTCATCAAAATTTTAGGAACAGATAAAGGAAAGAAGAACAAAACAAACTTAATTTTCCTGGCTGGGAATAGAGTGTTAAAATATACAGAGAAAAGCTACGCAGTGGAAAAGGCTCTAACATCACTTCTCAAGTAAGTGCTTCGCTTTTCCTGGAATATCATGTAAAACAGCTGAAATCACTTCTGCACTGGTCTGCTAATAGAATTTTGATCATTTCCAAGAAAATATATAAAGTATTAAATAATATAATATAAGTACATATGGCCTCTGAAATATAACTTGAAAATTCTGTTGATAATTTGTGCTGACGTTACAACACTGTGTTAAGCATACTGTTTATTTGTGAGGACAGATAACAAGACTGAGCAACTTTGTTTTATTTTGTTGAGGGTGAAAGAGCTGAGGAGATTGAGTTCTGAGGATGTCGGGAGTTGCTTTTGTATTGCTGGATAGGCCTCGGAAGAGCATAATAGATGGGGTTTACATTCCAGAACATGTATTGCAATGCGTACGGTATGCAAAGCCTGACTGTGACACTGGCCAGAGAGCCTGAATGGTGTTCCAATATTGAGACTGCCAAAATGCAGTTTCCCATCAACAATGTAACCATCCATGTGCTGACGTCACAATTTTTTAGTCATAATTTCAGAACATGATATATCCCTGCACAGCAGTACATTTGTTGGGGAAATAGGCAAAACAGCTTCAGTCAGCGGAATCATTTTAAATAACATCTTTCTAGTGGCAAGTTCTTCCAAAGCTGCCAAACAGTTGGAATTGAGTGAGCTAAATTAACATGTCAGGAACTACTGGGTGACTTTATAGAGGTTTATAAAATTAGTAGGGGCATAGACAAGACGAATGATGGGTCTTTTTCCCTTGGGTAGGGTAGTTCAAAACTAGGGGGCATATTTTTAAGGTGAGAGGAGAAAGGTTTAAAAAGGATACGAGGGGCAACTTTTTTTACTTGGAGAGTAGTTCGTGTGGAATGAACTGCCAGAGAAAGTGGTGGATGCAGGTATGGTTACAACGGTTAAAAGATATTTGGATAAGTACATGAGTAGGAAAGGTTTGGAGAGATATGAGCCAAGCACCGGCAAGTGTTACTAGTTTGGGAATATGGTCGGCATGGACTAGTTGGACCAAAGGGTTTGTTTCCATGCTGTGTGATTTTATGACTCTATCGAAATTACAGCAATAAAACTTCGGATTCTAGAACAGGCTCATGATCTACTTTACAAAAGTATCTTAGTCATTTTTTTCGAAAGATATTATAGTGAAGGAGAGACACAATCTAACTGTAATATCCTCTTTCTCTGTCTTGATTGAAAGTAGCAAGAATGTTTGATGTATTCAAACATTGAAATTGTGACATTGAATAGATTGTTTAGAAATTTTGTGTAAATGAAAGGTGCTTCAGTGAATTTTTTCACTTAATTTTTCAGGAATGGGCCAGAGGAACACATTGAAGCTGTGGACAAATTGCAAAAATCAGTCAAATTGCTACAGAAGGTATTGCTAATAATTTAATTTGATTATGTTGTCAATTAAGAGCTGTAGTTGACCATTAATAATTGTCTAAATAATGAAATAACTAATGTGAAAATGTTTTTAACGGGAGATTTTGACAAAAGAATTTGCTGATAAGTGTGATTAACAATAGTGCTTTGTCCAAAATTGTTAAATTTTGAACTGTAAGAACAATTTACACATAGAACTGTCAGCTCTTTTAAAGGTACATTATACTCCAATTCCTAAATACACTAGGCAGAAGATTACTGTTCATCAACCTGTTAATTGGCTGCTTTGAAATAGGGGAAAGTTGTTATGCTAACATTTAAGCAATTGGCACCAGTAATTTTCAGACTAATGTTTCAGGATTTGCATGTTTGTGTGGTTACTGAGGATCTTGATAAGTTCGACAATAGAAGTCTTACTGAGTAAACATCTGTTGTATGTTACTTGCAATGTAAACAATGGATTTATGACCTTATTCCTCATGAGTCACAAAGGCAAACCTTCCCCAAAGTACATTTTCAGTTAATTTTGTCTGGATTAATATAAGATTTATATTGATTGAGAGCAACTATAAATTATATTTTCTGTTTCCTGGTAAGAAGCATTTCTCTGAAAACATTCCATTTTCATTTATTAAAGTCATATCTGATGTCTTCTGTTTCAATTGCAAATTCTATTCCATCTCCAATCCTTTTTGTGTAAGTTTCACGCAAGTTTTCAACTGATAAATCTTTGAGGTTAGAATTAAAGGTGTCAGATTGATTTGCAAATACTTGATGCGACTATTAAGGTTTACCTAGTAATTACCATATTATGTTCTCTTACAAACAGTTTTAATGCAAAAAAAATCTTAGATTTAACCAAGGTATCTCTCCAGGTTGAAATTCACATGTTAGGAGAGTATAGTAAAGTTGCCATAGTCTTACCAGATCATAGGTCTGCTCTCTCGTTATAGAGAGAGGTGACAAGTGGTGGTTTAACCTGAGGGTCACCATGGCTCGGGCAAGGGGAGAAGTTGAGAGGGAGAGTCTTTCATGGTAACCTCAGCCAGGAATTCAACCAGTGTTGTGGCATCACTGCATTGCAAACTTGCCATCCAACCAACTGAACTATCTGACCCCTATGCTAGGAGAGTTTATTGGATATCTGAATGGAGAGACCGATGGGGTGTCCAGATTTTGCAGGTATTTAGTTAATGGACAGGTAATCATGAGATTGCTTTCTTCTGCTGCTGATGTATTCTCGCTACATATTTGTCTATGCATTGGAAAAAAATTTACAAAATCTATGCTCGAATCGCGTTTAGAGTTTGTGTTCTCTGACTGTCGCCACTGGAGTATATGTTTGTTTTATTTTGAGCACTTTTGGGAATAATTAAACCCTTGGGTGGAACTTACACGTAATATGTTTTTCTTTTCTCTGCTCTAAAGAACAGTCTAAACCTGCTCAGAGATTTGGCTCTGTTAACAGCAAAAAACTTTAGGAGCGATCCAAACAAGGGCAAGTTATTAGTTTTGCACAGGTAAGAAACTTGATATTCTGCCATTATTCTTTGTATGTACACTGATGTTTGAATGGGTTTGGAACACAGCTCTTGTGCTCTTTCACTGAAGACAATAGAAGCTTATGCAGGTCACAATCTTGCTTTTCTTAAGTCAGCCATATATCAAATTGAATGCAGGTCACGTAACATTCTGACCTTTAGTTCCAGTGCAGTGATTTGCATTCAGTGGAAGTCCATACACAGACACTCCAATGATTTGTGAAGCTAGTCAGCCAAAGAAAACCACAAGTTTATGGTATGGTTGTTGATCTAAAATTAAGTTTAATGATCTAAGTAAATCACATAAGCATCTAGAGAATGGACAGCTACTATATTTTTAAACAAAAACTCAATTTCAAGACAGAAGAATGAATAACTCTCATAGATCTTGAAGTTTATTTTTCTTATTCATTCATAAGATGTGGGTGTCATTGGCTAGGCTAGTATTTATTGCCCATTCATAATTATCCTTGATAAAGTGATACTGAGCTGTTGCCTTAAACCAGTGCTGCCTGTGTATTGTAGGTACATCCTCCATAATATTAGCAATGCAGTTCCAGGATCTTAACCCCGTGACATTTAATGAGCAGCAATATAGTTTTGTGTCAGGATTGTGTGCGTCTTGGAGGGAAACTTTTGAGTGGTAGTGTTACCATCTGTCCACTACCCTTGTCCTTCTAGGTGGTGGAGATCTTGGAAGTAATTGTGTGAAAAACCTTGGTGAGTGGTTGCAGTGCATCTTGCAGAAGATGCATATGCTGCCCCTGTGTGCTGGTAGTGAAGGTGATGGATAGAGTGCAGACTGTTTTGCCTTGGATGGTGTTGAGTGTTTGAGCTGCATTCATCCAGCCAAGCAGAGAGTATTCCATTGCACTTATGACTTGTGCCTTGTAGATTGATGGATAGGCTCTGGAAAGTCAGTTGGTGAGTTACTCGTTGTGGACTTGAGCCTATGATTTTGCTTTTGTAGCCACGGTATTTAGAAGACAGGACCAGTTCAGTTTCTGGTCAGGATATATCTGGACCATTTTCCACATATCTTCCAGATATCTTGTGTATGGACATCCTTGCACTAAGTGAAACTTCTTTCTGCTCCTCTAACTGCCTTAAAGAATCTACCTTTATGTCCCATTTTTTAAAAGTATTTTTTTGGAATGTGAATTAAAGTTGAGAGAAATTCTGTTTTGGCCACTCAAAGCCATGTAAACTCAGGAGCAGCCTTTCCACAGTGAAGCCTTCTGTCAGTATGAAACCAGTGTATGAAATTTTCTACATTCTTTTGTCCGTGTAAATAAAGATGCTACACTTTTAGTTAACTTTCTCAATGATTTCTAATTTTCTCAGAACTGTTTTTTCAAACAAATTTTAATTAAGTTTCAGTACACTTCTGTTTTGTGATCCAGACTTTGGATCATTACTGCAGTGTAGTCAAAGCTTTAGTTTAAAGGGAAGAAAGATTTGGCACGCTTGCCCCACCAATCAGAGCATTGAGTACAGCAGTCGGGATGTCATGTTACAGCTATACAAGACATTGAAAAGGCCACATTTGGAGTGCTGTGTACAATTCTGGTCACCCTGCTATTGGAAAGATGTTATTAAACTGGAAAGGGTGCAAACAAGATTTACAAGGATGTTACCAAGTCTGGAAGATTTCAGTTATAAGGAAAGGCTGGGTAGGGTGAGACTTTTTTCCCTGGAGCATAAGAGGCTGAGGGGTGACCTTATGAAGTTTATGAAATCATGAGAGGCATAAATAAGGTGAATAGTCAAGGTATTTTCCCCAGGGTATGGGAGTCTAAAACTAGAAGGCATAGGTTTAAGGTGAGAGGGCAAAGATTTAAAAGGGACCGAAGGGACTTTTGTTTTTACACACGGGGTGATATGTGTATGGAATGAACTGCCAGGGGAAGTGGTGGAGGTGTTTACAATTACAACATTTAAAAGAAATTTGGACAGGTACATGGATAGGAAAGGTTTAGAAGGATATGGGCCAAATGCAGGCAATTTGGATTAGAGTAATTTAGGATGTCTGGTCAGCATGGATGAGTTGGGCCAAAGGGCCTGTTTCCATGCTGAATGACTCTGTGACTCTAAGACTTAGTATTTACATAGGATGTGCTAAACTACTTTACAGTCAATGAAATATTTTAAAATGTGGCCACTGTTGTAATTAAGTCTTCTACAGCACTTGAACTGTGTTGTATCTGACCTGGCATGTTTGATCCTGGTACTAGTGCTTAATGTGTTGCTGTTCCCAGCACTGACCTGTCTTCAATTCTGAGAGCACAAAATAAGGTTTAAGAAAACATAATAGGAGTACTGCTATATGTAACAATGTAGCTGTTAGGAAAGATTGGACAGGTTGGGATGTTCTCTTTGTAAGACAAAAGGCTAAGGAGAAAGTTGATTGAGATGTATAACAGGTCTAGATGAAGTTTTCCTATTTACTGTATTGGAGAGGTCATTGATTAGTGGGGGCATCTATTTAATGTGACCGGTTGAAATGTTAGAAGGGAAATAGAAATAAATTTTCACCCAGAGGATGGTAGGGGTTTGGATCTCGCTACATGAAAGGCTAGGACATGGCGAAACCCTCTACTAATTTAAACAATGTCTGGATATGTACCTCAAATACATTTATGAGAAGGGCTACAGATCAAATTCTGCAAAGTGAGATTAGACTGGGTGACTCACTCTTTTTGGCTGGCGCAGGTGTGATTGACCAAGTGGCCCCTTTTTCTGCTTAAACATTTTAAACTTCCAGAGTGGGCAACTGTCTATATTCTCATTGTTTCGGTGAACGGCCCTTTTAAAATTTTCATATCTGTTTCTGTTATTTTCTTTCAGGAAAGATGGGGACAATGAATTTATGAATATTGTAGCAAATGAAGTTAGTGCTGAGGTAAGGTGGAGCAACTGTTACTGGTCAATTTAAATGGTGATTGCAAAATCCATTTTTGTTTATTTGATAGATTCTTATTGATTGCATCAGTATGTAATCTTCAATAATGACTTCTTACTCTCACTAATGTCTACCATTCTCATCTTTCATATTCATTTTGTCTTATTGCATTGTTGGCTCTCCAGATATTTTTCTTTTGTTTTGCTTTGGCCCTTGCTTTCTTTCTGTGTGTGTCTGTTTGAAACCTTTCTTGTTTCTTCTGTTCCATGAACCATTCCGTCTGTATCCATCTGTGTCATTGAGTTGGCTATCCCCACTCTCCTACTGTAGTATTGATTGTGGAGCAGGCTAAAGGCCTTCATGGCGGTGCTGTGCTAATTCATTGTACCTCACTTCTAATGGCATCAAGCGTCAGACATTAAATTACTTAGGCAGCCTCAAATAATTTGTTATTTTTGCATGTAACCAGCACAGTACTAACCAGAATTTGTCAATCGTTGGAGATAATTAGACAATCCCATCTGATCAGGGTGACTGCAGGAGGGACTTTTATTTTCCCAGTACCACTATCCTGAGGTCTTACTGACTTGGGCTTATATTGAGCTTTCCTCACCTCAAGATACTTCAAATTGGGAAACCTACAACGGAAACACTCATGTAATATAGGAAATGCAGCTGCAAGATTTCTCTCAGCAATCTCCCACAGGTAGATATGTGAAAATGACCAACAATCTGATTTTTCGATGTTGATAGAATAAATATTGGCCAAGGCACCAGAGAGGACTCCATCGTGCCTTTCTGAAATTAGTGCCATGGGAAGGTCGGTAGGATCTCTAATGTCCAAGTTAAATATTGACACCTCTGACCATGCACCATTCCCTGATTGTGTCAGCCTTTTTTTTTGTGTGATCAAATCCTGGAGTGAGACTTCAATCCATGACCTATTGTCTCAGTGGTGACAGTTCTACCTACTGAGGTACAGTTGACAGTAGAAGAATGTCACACTAGTGGAACCCTTGTGTGGTTTGGATCAAAGAGCAATTTTTGATCAAACTCGAAGGTCTTTTCAGCTAATCTTTTTGCCCTAAAACCATCTGACCTCCATCTTTCCACACACAGTCACAGCAGTTCTACAATGCAGAAGGAGACCATTTGGCTCATTGTGTCAGCACCAGCTCTTTAAATGAGCGTTATTACCTACTGCCAATTTCCTGCTTTTTCACCATCCCCTTGTACCTTAAATAATCATCCAATACCCTCTTGAATGCCTCAGTTGCCCTTGCCTCCACCACAACCACACTTCCAGGCAGTACAATCCTAATCCTAACTACTCACCCTGAGCAAAAGTTTATTTTTCTCACCTCGTATTTGCTTCTTTTGCAAATCATTTTAAATCCATGCCCTCTTGCTCTTGATCCTTTTACAGACAGAAAACAGTTTCTCTCTCGACAACTGGCTTATGATTTTGAAAATCTCTGAGATCTCCTTGCAGCCTCCTTCTCTCCAAGAGGAATAATCCCAACTTTTTCATCTATCCTCATAACTGAATTTTCTGATTCCTGGAGCCATTTTTGTAAATCACTTCTGCACTCTCTCCAGTGAATTCACATCCTTCCCATAATGTGATAACGAGACCTGTACGCTGTAGTCTTGTACAAGTTTAACATCACCTCCTTGCTGTTGTGCTCTATACCCTATTATGAAGCTGAGGACACTATATGCTTTGTTAACTGCTCCATCCATCTGTCCTCCCATCATCATTGATCTGTGCACATTTACCCTGTGTTCCTGCAACTCCTTTAGAATTTTACCCCCTATTAACTATTACCTTTCAATGTTCTTCCTATCAAAGGGCATCTCCTCTCACTTCTTTGCATTGAAAACCCATCTGCCAACTGTTCACCCACTCCACTGACTTGTCTACACCTTTTGGAGTTCTGCATTGTTCTCCTCACAGTATACAGTTTTGTGTCATCTGCAAACTTTGAAATTGTCCCCTGCAACCCACGATCTAGATCATTGCACCGAGTGTACTAAGATCTGGATCAATAGTGCTACCAAATTCAAAGGAGAGCAAAGTTTTATTCCCTGGTACTGATTCATGTTGCCTAGATAAATACGAATAAATGTTAAACATCTTGGAGATCATCTTCTGTTTATTCTGTTTCCTCAGGTAGTGCTTGCATTTCTAACAGTCGGTGATGAAAAAGGAGCAGGCTTATTCCTGTTAGCAGGTCAAGTGAATGCTGTCGAAGAGCTAGGTTCAAAGTAAGGTCATATTGTCTAGTTTCTGTAACTGTTCAGGCAACTTGTGAAACACAAACTTCATTGCATCTATTGCTTTGATGTTTTTTTAAGCAATATTGATTGTCTATGACAAGATATTTTAAGGCCCTCCTAATGTACCAGGGCTTTCCAAACTGACCCCAGTGTGGTCAGCCTAAGCTTTGGAAACATGAGCGCCAAGTGCCAACAGCTGCACGGCCACTTTAACTCCTGCAGTTTTTAAATAGTGGCCATGACCCAGCAGTCCGATCTTACAGTCCCAAATCCAGTCCTAAAAAAACTAATGGGAATGTAGGTGCTTTTTACCTAAAAAGCCCAAGCACTAAGCAACTTGCCTTCATGGGTTTCTTTTACTATCCCCTAATCCTGTTCCCACAATCGCAGCCATCCAACAGCCCTTGCCCCTAGCAGTTGGTCCCAGTCCTGCTCCTACAGATGTGGGTTCTGACGATTTTCAAGCACCAATGGGAATATGATTGGGGGAAAGCGCTGCCTTATATAGTCTTAGTGAATATTCTGTAACTGTTAGCAGAGCAGCTATCCTAGCACTAGGCAGTGTTAATACACAAAGCTGATACATATATAATGAGGATATTATCTTCCAAAATCTTAACCTAATCCACCTCTTCTCTGCAACATATTTTGGGCTAATTAGACAACAATGTTAATATCATGGATGTGGTGAATTTTTCTGGTTTTACCTTCCCAGTTGAAAGAAGCTGGGATTAGTGAGAACCAAGGAACCAACCACAGAGGAACTTTGTTTTTAACAGATGGAGCAGTTAGTTACTTCTCAGGTCCTACTGTAATAAAACAAAATTGCTTTCTACTTATGGTTTTAATTGCATACTAATTTGGCAGCTACTGTAAGAACTATGAATGAGTTTTATCAGTTCTTTGCTGAGATATTGAAGAGAGAATTCTAGCTCTCCTGTAAATGTTCAAACCCCTGAGGAGTAAGTGAGGATTCTGCCTCTTCCGAGCAACTCTGAAAACAGGAATGAAATTGAGGGGAGGTGGGAACCGTTTGATAATGCAACCTAAAAATGTTATCAGGCATTGTCTATCCCACAGGGAGTGAAACAGATGTAACAGATGCTCCTTTGTTAATGAGCAAGAACAATTGGAAAATATGACAGCTTCAGTAAACTTGGCAAAAGAAAGCAATTCATTGGCTGTCTATTTTGGTGTTGTTCTTCAATGTAGGGTCGCTCAAATCCTTGATGGAAAAGGTGCTGGAAAGCGGGGACGTTATCAAGGTAAAGCAAACAAGATGAGCAAACGGCCAGAGGTGGAGGCTCTCCTTCAGCAATACGTGAATGCGATGGATACAAAAGAGGAATGAAGACACACAATGCATGCTGGTCTAAATTTACATGTATAATATCATTTTGTCTAAAAAGAAATGTACTTCATCTTGACCATGTGGTCTTTCAAATGTAGACTTAGAGTATATCTGCACTCACAACTACATTTGTGAGTGTGACTGTTGCCTAGGTCCAAGACTGGCTCTGAAGGGAAAAGGAGTGCCATTCCTGCTCTGAGGAATGCTGGACGCGGCTGTGACTCCAAGATTGAGGCTGTATTTGCATTATAACTGTGGTGTCAGTGTGAAGTGACACTGCTTTGCACCAAGTGAATACATGCATGATCACTCCATTGACCACTGAATAGAGTTTAATGCTGGTCGGTACTTGGTATGCATCACATGGTGCACACTATCAATAAAATAATTTGTTTTTTTTAAAGTTGTTTTGAAGCATCTTTCAATTGTAAAATGTAAGGGAATTATGTTTATGACAGCAGCAACTTTGTTTACTGTAACAAAATGAAATGTCTAGAGGGGCTTCACAGGAAATTTTTCAATTAATGTAGCACCCGAAGAACACATTAAAACAGATGGCCAAAAGCTTGGGTAGTGGTAGCTTAAAAGGAGCGTCTTAAAGAAGAGTTGCAAGGTAGAGAGATGTAGGGAGAATGTTCCAGACTTTTATGCCTAGGCAACTGAAGGCATGGCCAACCAATGAAAATTAAGCACATAAGAGAGGCCAGAATTAGAACAGCACAGATATCTTGGTCAAAAAACAGAAACTGCTGGAGAAACTCAGCAGGTCTGGCAGCATCTGTAGAGACCAAGCAGAGTCAACATTTCTGAAGAAGGGTCACTGGACTCGTAAAGCAGTGTTAACGTTCTCTCCCCCAGTTTAGAAAGCTAGCATGTTCTGCCTAATAATTCTGCACATCTGTATTACAAACTTATTTCCTAGCTTTTTGCCAGTAACACAATACTGCTGAGTGAAATGCAGAATACACTGTTTTGTTAGCATTTATTTATTTATGTTTAAAGAAATATTTCTAACCATTTCAAATTGTATTTGTAAACAGCACCCACTTAAAGGACTGATGAGCAGGGTGTCTGCAGAGGGTGAAGCCACATGTGTGCTGCATCAGCACTGGGACATTCCCTTGGACTGAAAGTGAAGATTAACACAAGCAATCTACAGGGGAACAGGGCAACCAGCATATTGGTATTTCAGTGGGTGGGGAGAGGCAAGAACACCAAGACCCCTATGTAGAGCCAGCAGTGGTTTTTACTGGAACATCTCCTTCCTGCTGTTTGGGAGTGTTTTTTTCAGTTTAATGATCAGAAAAATATACTTGGAGAGCCTTTTAGAAATACCTTCGGCAGTATTTAAAGTTCTGAAAGGCTAGAACACAGTTGGCAGAGGCAGCATATTGCAGTAGGTCGTCAATAACATGCAAGAGATTTGGAACATGTAGAGGAAGAGAATCTTTGGAGAGTTATAAGACTCTGGAATTCAAGAAAAATCAGTTAACATTTTCAGTCTGGTGACCCTTCCTCAGAATTTCTGAGGAAGGGTCACCGGACCCGAAACCTTAACTCTGATTTTTCTTCACAGATGCTGCTAGACCTGCTGAGCATTTCCAGCAACTTCTGTTCTTGTTCCTGATTTGCAGCATCCACAGTTCTCAGGTTTTATCTGTAATTTAAGAGCTTGTGGTTGAAGCAGAAACTATGTCAACATTCAAAATTTGATTGAAGGATAAAGTGATATATCAAATGGGCAAGCAAATGTCACTATAATTGTTTGTTTGGATGAAGGATATATGAGCAGGGAATAGCTCACAAGAATGGCCTTTTCCATGTTGTAAATCTCAACATATTTCTAAAAGCATTTCATTTTCTTTTTAAAGTCAAAGTTAAGAACATTTTCAATGCACTTGCTGTCTAAGACAGCTTCCTGCGATTTACAGTTCTATTGTTCCTTCTACATTTGTAGACCTGCTACAAATTTGAGTTATGTTTTGTGTTCTCATCAAATACATGACTTTTTGGCTTGAGATTGAAAAGAAAAACACTTTGTAGTGAGTCAAACTGGACTTCCATTCTTGGGATGAATAATATCTCCACAAAGTCCGAACAATCAGTGCTCCATAGAACATTCTGTTTTCTGATCTTCAATTAGAACATTAGGTCATTACATCATGGGGCACACAACTGGTACTGTATTTCCATTCAAACAATTGAATAGTAAGTTCTATTCTCTTGGCAATAGATTGTAATAAACAACATATGAAAAGCTTAGAAGAAAATTATTAATTAATTAGCAATACACTGAACAGTGCTAGTATCATCTGGCAAGCCAATGGGGTATCACAGAACTAACTGAAGACTGGATAAATGAATATATTCTGTGTGAAGGGATGCCACAAGAACATGTAACTTCAAGATGCTGAGCAGCCATTGTTTATAGATGGATGGATTTAGCTGGTTGATTAATGCTGCTATTTCAAAGATGGTATTCTAGTCCCTCCAGCTCCTGAATGTTGATACTGGGAGATTCAGCAATGGCAGTGTCATTGAATGTAAAGGGATAATGCTTAGATTTTCTCTTGTTTGAGATAGTCATTGCCTGACACTTACGTGGCTTGCCACTTATCAACCCATGTTTGGATGTTAGAGCATAGAACCGTACAGCACAGGAATGGGCCCTTTGGCCCATGATGTTGTGCCAAACATTACAGCAAAATAAACTAATTTCTTCTGCCTGCCCTTGGTCCATATCCTTCCATTCCTTGCGTATTCACGTGCATATCTAAAAGTGCCTTAATTGCCCCTATCGTATCTGCCTCCACTACCACCCCGGCAGCATGTTCCAGACTCCTACCTCTCTCTGTGTAAAAAAAAAAACTTGCCCTTCACATTTCCATTGAACTTTTCCCCCTCGCCTTAAATGCCTGCCCCCTAGTTTTAGACATTTCAACTCTTGGAAAAAAGATTCTGACCGACAACCATATCTATGCATCTCATAAGTTTATAGACTTCTATCACATCTCCCCTCAGCCTTTGACACTCCAGAGAAAACAACCTGAGTTTTTCCAGCCTGTCATTATAGGTCATATCCTCTAATCCAGGTAAACCTCTTCTGCAACTTCTCTAAAGCCTCCACATCCTTCCTGTAATTGGCAACCAGAATTGAATGCAGTACTGTGTGGCCTAATCGAAGTCTTATGAAGCTGTAACATATCATCCCGACTCTTGTATTCAATTCTACGACCAATAAAGGTAAGCATGCTATATGCTTTCTTTACCACCCTGTCTACTTGCATGGCCACTTTCAGGGAGCTATGGACTTGAACTCATGCATCTGTACGTCAATGCTTTTCAGGGTCCTGCCATTAACAATATATTTTTCCTTAACGTTTGATCTCCCAAAGTGCAGCACCTCATACTTACCCGGATTAAACTCCATCTGCCATTTCTTTGCTCATATTTCAACTGATCTATATCCCACTGTATCCTCAGGCAACCTTCTATACTATCTATAACTCCATCAATCTTCGTATCATCTACAAACTTACTAACCCACCTATCTGCATTTTCACACAAGTTATTTATATTATAAACAGCAGAGATCCCATTATAGATCCCTGTGGAACACCACTAGTCACGGATCTCCAGCCAGAAAAACACCCAGCCCTACCATCTGCCTTCTTTGGGCGAGCCAATTCTGAATCCATACAGCCCAGTCACCCTGAGTCACATGCATCCTAATCTTCCTGATGAGCCTATCATGAGGGACCTTGTTGAAAGCCTTACTGAAATCCATGTTGACAACATCCACTGCTCTACCCTCATTGATCACCTTCATTGAATTTGAGGAGACAGTCAAGTCAGGAAGACGTGACCTGCCCCGTGCAAAGCCGGGCTGATTGTCCCTAATTAGGCCATGCATTTCCAAATGTGTGTAAATCCTATTCCTAAGAATTCTCTCCTATAGCTTCCCAACCACCGATGTCAGACTCTCACGGATTATCGCTGTTTCCCTTTTTGAACAGAGGAACAACATTAGTTACAGGTAGTTCTGCCATGTGTTTTGTTGACGCAAATTGGCTGTAACATGATTGATGAATAGCTGACGCTGTTTGTATAATGTGAACAGTCTGCTGTACAGGTATAGCAATTTTCTTTTGCAATTTCCCTAAAGCATGATTTTCTATGGCGATTTTCTATAACGTGAGTGCACGCAAGAACGCAACTATTGCATTCTAGGAGAACTACTTGTACTCGCCAGTCCTCCAGGACCTCTCCAGTGGCTAGCAAGGATGCATAAATCTTGGTCAAGGCCCCACCAATCTCCTCTTTGACCTCTCTCAATAACCTGGGGACGTATCCACCTTAATTCTTTTCAAGAGACCCAACACCACTTCTTTTTTGATCTCAAAATGCCTTAGCATATCAGCATGCTCCACACAAATCTCACCATCCTCCATATCCTTCTCCTGGGTGAATACTGACACATGTTGGATGTTGTTCCAGTTAAACTATCATCTGGAAGAATATGATGCCACAATTTAGTTGTTAATTTGTAGCATTTGAGAGATTGGTAGCAATTAACAGTTATCAAGTTGCCAAAAGGATTATTTACAACAAATATCAATGACTTAGTTAATGGCTAAGAGTGATGAATCTAAGTTTGTTTATCAGGAGCCCTCTTGTGGTCTAGTGATAATGTTCCTAGAATTGGACTGGAAGGCCTAGGTTCAAGCCTCACTTCTCCAGAGGTCTGAAATAAGATTTCTGGATGGGGTTGATGAGGGGAAATAGTTTAAGTTTGTTGACATTGCAAAGCTAGTGGGAATGTAAGCTGCAAGGAGGACATGGCAAGGCTGCAAAGTGATACAGATTAAATGAGGGGTCAGCATGAAAGTAGGTTGAGAATAAAATAAGAGAATGTCTAAGGTTATCCATTCAAATAGAAAAAATGCTCTTTTAAAAGGCATAAAACATGTAAATATTGATGTTCAGAGAAACATGGGTATACTTGTACAACGAGTTCAGTGTTAGCAAGCAATTAAGAAGGCAAATGGTATGTTAACCTATAATGCAAGAAGATTGGACCACAAAACGAAGTATCTCACTATGTTTCTAGAGGGCTTTAGTGAATTTATATCTGAAGTGTGCACCATACTTCATATTTCGGTACAAATATATTTGCATTGGAGGCAGTTCAGCAAAGCTTTGCTGGACCCTGAATTAAAAGGCTGAGTGAATTGGGCATATGTGCTTCAGAGTTTGGATAAATGCGAGGTGCTGCATTTTAGTAAACCAAACAAAGGCAGGACGTGTACAATTAATGGTAGGGCCCTGGGGTAGTGTTGTAGAACAGAGACACCTAGGTGTTCAGGTACATAATTCTTTGAAATTTACATCACAGATAGACAG